ATGGTCATAAATTACTTTGTGTCTGTTGATGATTTGCTGCAGGAGAAGCTTTGATGTTTGGGACCTGCGAATAACCAACGAAGCATGTAACGCTGACGAGGTTTTTTCAGCAGCGAGGAGATTCTTATTTTGACGTTGTGGGACATCCTGTAGACATGGCGTGCGTGAAAAGCAATTATTAATGGCTCTAAAATGCGGAGGAAGAAAAGGATAGCTGCCAGATGTGTCGGTGAAAAAAAGGTCTGACAACCAATACCTAACATTGGTTGTGATGCTCGAAATGTTTCGTCTCATGTGGATAGCTTCCTTTGTCCTATCCTCAAATCAAGCTATTGACTATCGTCATGTTTCCAATTACTAAGACTGAACTCTGGGGGTTTCATTGACAATGCCCTCCTTCTCATAGGCGACTAATATTTAGTGGGTGCTCAGGCCCAAAAACCAATTATTTACAATAGATGCAATGATAGGGTAGCAAATGTCCTATTTCACTTCAAGATCTCCAAGCTTGCAGGCAACGCGCTCTTCTCAATCCATGCTCTAATCACATCTGCAAATAACTTTGGCTTCTGCAAATTCCATGTATGTACTGCTCCTCTGATAAACGCACCCAACGATCCCTCAACGGGCATTTCCCTGCCCATTCTCCTCACCGCCTCAACATCGTCAATGCCCTCTGCCGCAATCGCCAGCGTCTGCACCGGTAGCGTCCTTATATCTTCCCACTTGAGCTCCAACAGTCCCATGTCCACAGCACGAATGACTTCCCATCTCCTATTGTGCCGCATCTCTTCTAGTAGTTCTTCATGGCGACGCATGCCCCGACCTTTGACCGCCACAAGCATATACAGCCATGTCGGTACGAGTTCGAGAAGCACTGACATAGCGTAGTAGGTGATGCTTGGATAACGGGCGACCCATGCCCAGTGGCCCTTCATGGGGTGCCCCGCCGTGACAATGGCAGAGAGGACCAGCTCCGGATGTTGCCGGCTGATACGGAGAGTGATGAAAGCACCCATAGAGAGACCGACAACGTGGGCCCGGCCGCCATGTGAGTGTCGCCGGATGAGCACGGCCACCCGCTCTGCGGAGCTGGAGATATTCGCAGGGAGAATATCACGGGATTGAGAATGACCGCTGATATCAGGGGCGATGATGTGATAATCGGATAGGTAAGGAATCACGTAGGACCACTCAAGATGTGAGTTGAGAAGGCCATGAAGGAGTATCACTGTGATAGGTTTATCTTGATTGAGACTGACAAAGAAAAGCTCTTGTTCTGCCTCGATCGCTTCTAGTGATGCCATCTTTGTGTGATCTTAGAGAATCATTATTTAAGACGTATGTTTGGTTAAAGCCAGGTCAATATAAATCGAAAAACATCATGCCACCTCTTCTAGACTTGGGCTGTTCAGCTGATTTCAGCTGGCTACGCCGCAGCCATCCTGATCTGTTATCATATCACCACTAGATAAAAGCTATAAGATAGACGAGACGCAATATTACCGACACCGGCAGTCATGAAAAACAAACGTGAAAACTTTTAACTTTCCGATTTGGAACATCAGCTCTAGAACTTTGTTTCGCACTTAGTCAACAGTACCACTCTTCCTCAGGTGTTTTGACAGTGTAGTATTGATGATCATCATTGTTGTTCCCAAACATCCGCCAAGATGTTTGCATCTCAGGGTGACTTCTGTTATAGGGCTGGTAAACTTATCGCAAAGAGCCTGCAACACGTTTCATCCCAGGTCTTATGCCCTAAGGTTGAGAACAATATCTGAGTGTGGTATCAGTCGCGTTTCCAAGGCGATCATACATGAGCCGTCGAGATACCGATCGGATGGTCGTCGTTCCTGTTGCAAGAGAGTTTCACCGTGGCGACGCCGTTTCTGCCACTACACTTTTCGCCTCATCTGGCGCCACTATCAACATCCACAAATTCTGCAGCTGAGGATCGTAGAGGAAAAGTCTGACTCAATTGACCTCCTTATCCCTTGGCGCTAGTGGCTATGTGGCAGGCGAGTAGAAAAGTCACCAGATGCCATGTTTCACAAACCGTTAATGGGATTTTCGCGAAGCGCCATCGTGAAGAAATCCACTGGTTCATGGAGAATTCCAAGTCCATGAAAAACGTCTAACAAGAGTTGAAGATGAAGCCATCACCGACTCACAATGGACTGACGTTGACAGGGAGCGCACCCAATAGCCACCAGATCTGGTGCCGCAAGCTAGTGGGCGAGACGCCATGCGGAACAGGGGTCATGGCCCGAAGAGCCCCTGGCTAAGGGCAGCCGTTGCCCCTAGCGGTCCCTGACACGGGGGCCATGCTCATGCAGGTTAGAGTGACCGTTGGCAGGCCTGGGCTGCGATCTTGGGTGACCAGGGCTGAATATTGAAGTGAATTTGACTGCATCAATAGATATTGTAAGTTTATGAAGATGTATTTGAAGATGATATGGCCTGATGGATAGAATGATACCTGTAAATTTCTCGCGTACTGTTTCTCTCTCAGCGTTTCACTAGCCAAGCCAAACAACAACTAAACCTCTCGGTTCCAAAATCGCCCTCTCCCTAGTCCAACCTGAAACGACCTCACCCACCACACTCACCAGAGTCACTCCAAGGTCTGCACTGCTTGGCCTGCTTGGCTTGGTTTCTCGTGATTGAGTTTGCAGCCATGTCCACGCTAGTCTCCACGGCCCCGATCTTGACACCGCCACAACGAGGGAGCCAAGCGAAGAGAACCAACATCTTGGCCCTGCCTGTGACAAGTCCAGAACACAGACGAGACAAGCCTGTCACTCGTCAACATCGATATGTGTTTTGTTATTACCATTGTGAAGCACAACAGCCGTCACGATGCCAGTTGATGTCACCTATATCGCCAATATCAACTCGATAGCCGCTCACAGCCTCGTAGTTCCATAGTTTCAACTGCTCTTCAACCAACCAAATAACATACTTCCAAGCATTCCCCTTGCAACCGCCAGTCCCACGATAGCACGTTCCCCAAAACCCTTCTGCCAGCTAAAAGGACCAACTGTGCCGCTCTACCGGGCCCCATTACTACTTTCGATTCTTCGCCCCTCCCTTTCAATCTCGTTCTTTTGGCTGTTAAAAGTCAAGTCAGTCCAGGTCTGTCTTGGTCTGGTACGATTCGAGCGGCGCGTGGGCTGGTCCCCAATTTTTTCTCTTCTTCCCCCCTTGTTCTCTCGTACTTCTTTTTATTCCTTTTACTATTAGACGATCTGCCACTTGGCTGATCTTCGATACTTTAACTTATTTTGCTTCCTTGTTCTTCTTTCCTTACTCCATATCTCTTATAATAAGTACCGATCGTTGCCGGTGGTGGAGCTACCTTTTTGTCACGACGACTTCATTATTGGGATTTTGAGATTCTATACCCACTCAATTCAGCTCGACGCATCTAATCACTCCAAAAGGCAGTGGTTCAATTACATCAATTCTCACCGCAGGACGGGAAAAAAAAAGAAAGAAAGAAAGTTATTCTGTTGGACGAAAAAAGAAAACGGATTGGATATCGCTACGGATCACGGTGTCACGGGTATAAAAAACGACATACGGAAATCACCCAGACGAAAGATACGCAGCGCACTCAGAAAGAGCTTGGAAGAGAATACACGAGAAAATGGCTTCGGCCTTGTCAATTCGCCTCGCGGCAACAGCCCTTTTCGCCCTTTCAGTAACAGCACAGTCATCACCCGCCATTTCCATTGAGTCCTTCATTCGAGCAGCTGATGATGTTCTCCACCGGCCTTACGTTTCCCTACTATCAACACCGCTCGCTGAGCGCGATGGGAACGCCACAGTCGAGCAGCTTCCCGCGGGAGATGTCCCTTTGACAAAGGATGGCTCGTTGAACATGACGGCCTGGAACATGGACACCAACGCTGCATGCCGTTCAGTTCTTGGTGGACTGCACAAGAGCACAAATCCCTCTGGAACATGCGTGTGCTACAACCTTCCCTCACTCGATGTGAAGACAGGTGTTTTCGAGGCTGATATTCGTCTATATCAAGTATCTCAAGCAAGAGGTAGTTTTGCCGCTGTTGCACCAGAGGATATCAATGTTGGAATCTCATATAAGGGCGCAAGTGTTATGCCAATTCAGCCTACCGATGTCAACGGCACAGGCCTTACGGGTGGAAAGCCTGGTATGGGAAAGAGACAAGAGGGAATGCAACTCCTACAATCATACATGTTGGTTGGAAAAATTGATGCGGACAAGATGACGGATAACATGACCATGTAAGATTTCACTCTCACCCCTCACTTCACTCACATATATTGACTTTCTCAGGGACGAGCTCGAAGGTCATATCATGCCAACCCTCACCCTCACTGCCCGCAACAGCACAGGCAGTACCATCCGCACCAACGTCTCCATCAACGAAGCCGCTTTTCTCACTGGTGTCTTCTCCCAAGATGTAGTCATGTCCGACTTCGCTATGGCCTCGGCTGCTGTGGACGATCAGGTCGCCGCTCTCAACAACGGCACTGTCGCCTTTGTCCTTCCAGGCGTACAGCTCATGGTCCTCCCTATTGGTCTTATCATGATGAGCGTCTGGCTGCTCATCTTCGTTTCAGCTGTTGGCTTCGGCACATATGAGCGCTACAACTATGCTCTCATGTATCAACGCAGACAAGCTGTCTCAATGCCTAAAAAGGCGACAATATGAAGCAGGATATGAAGTTGGGATATAATCAAGCAAGCTTTTCATTACTCTTACGGCCATGCATAGCGTTGTCGACTCTTTTTTTCTTTACTACTTTAACTCTCATAAGCGTGTCGTTTCCACTCTGCCGATATTTCAGGCACCATATGTTTTTTTAGTTGATATCCGACCTCACAAGGTCCCTAGATTCATTTTCTACACTACAACAATAGATAGTCTCATAGCATCAATCTACTAGCCGTTAAATGGCTGAACAATCACATACTAAGAAGTATAAAGTTCATCCCCAGATTCGGCATCTGGGGTGAGATGTCATATTGTGGGACGATTCCCCTCTACATGAAACACCATCGTAAGGTACTGAACCCGGAAATCTCTCTTGCCGGGACCCTTGTTACATGACGTTGTATCAGCCCGTCGGTGTCAAAACGGTAATGAAATTCTTGGTATCGTAATATAACATCTAACATGGCCATGCTAAGGAAACCATGGGCTAGTCGCACAACTGTAACAACTCCAACGCTGTAAGGACCGTCTAATGCAAATGTGAGAATAATGTCGAGCCATAGCAAAGTAGTTCCCCCAACTTCTCCAAGCCATGCACATAATCGAAACGCCGCGTAACAAGACAAAACTTCAAACTATGATATTGACAATCTCCTCTCTGCACTTCTCCATCGCCCTTTAGCCCAGAGGAAGCATTCTGTGAAGACCATATACCACCCTGTCACCATCCAGAAAGACAGAATAACACCCAGTCCACCCATGAGTCGCGCGTCGACAATACCCCGTGTCATTGTCTCGCGAATGGCATCGTTCATCATGAGCCACCCGTAGATTGGGATAAGCGGCTCCTGGGACTTGAGACGTGATGAGAGTCGGTTTGTTGGGCCTTCTCGCTCACGCTTCCATTCCGAGATGGTGTCCGACATGCGCCAGGCTACCTTATTGTTAATCTTCTCCCATGTCATCTCGCATGCGTAAAATCTTGCGGCCTGGCCCATCTGAGCACGAAGATTGTGGTCTAGACCAAGTTTCATAGCCTTGGCTACGAAACCATCGAGGTCGTCTGGAGAAATGAGGAAACCATTTCCTCCTTTCTGGACGATGTCAGACGGACCCCCTTCATCACGAGCGATGACGGGAACACCACTAGCCATGGACTCCAAAACCACAAGGCCGAAGGTTTCTGTAACCGAACAATGCAGAAAAACATCACCACTGGCATAAGCAGCAGCGAGATCTTCCCCAACTTTAAATCCGGCAAATACAACCTTGCCTTTCTCTCTCAAAGGGTCGAATAGCTCTTGGACTTCCTTCTCAACATCAGGGTTGCGGTTACCACCCACGATGTAAAGCTTGAAGTCGAGTCCTCGGGCATCGAGCTCCTTTGCAGCCTTGGCCAGGAAATCGAAGCCTTTCTCGCCAGCGATTCGGGAGACTGTCACGAAAATGATCTCTCCATTAGGGGCCAACTGTTTTCGCAGTTCCTTGTTTCTCATCCGAGGGTTGAACAACTCTGTGTTGACACCCCGTGTCAGAACCTCCAGCTTGTCTGCTGGCACCTTCTGGCTCACCAAATATCGTTTCACGAAACTCGAAGGGTAGAATATAGTCTTGATCGAGGAGTGACTGAAGAGATAGCTCTGGACAGCTGCAAAGGCGAAGACAGCAACGTGGCTCAGAGGCGCCGGAAATAAGATAGAACAGTAACCAGCGAGATCGGTCTGGAAATTGCAGATGACGGGTATTTGCTTCTCTTTAGGCTGCTGTCGTAGTTGAAGCATCACTTGAAAACCCAGACTTGCAGGCGACGCGAGGTAGATCAGATCGGGAGGAGCATCATCGCCAAATGTTCTTGAGTACAATGTCGAATTGCGTACCGGGTATACAATAGAGAGCTCGGGATTGAATGGGAGAGGATATCCAGTGACTCTGACTTCGGGCTGCTTATCCGCAGGGGACATGGTTGGTGATGGCGGCGGCGTAAAGGTATTGTGCTCGGTATGGTTGTGTGGCGCAACGACTGCAACTTGGGCTCCATGTGCCCTTAGATGGTTAACAAGCATCAAAGTCGTGCGACTGACACCGTTGACGGGGCCAAATGACTCGGTGCAGAGAAGGATTCGCTTCCCTTTCAGGGTCTCAGGAAACTTGGAGAGGTCATGGCTAGGATAGCGCGATTGGGGAGCGGGCAGAGCTTCGGCAGTCATGTTGATCTGCAGCAAAGTGCTTCAAACGGAAGTTATCGTGAAGACATGCTGCGACGCAGAAAAGAGGCGGAACGCGACTCTTTTCTCTTTTCAAATACCGTAGTCGCAAACCAGCATTAGAAGAAATGCCTCGCACGTGGACAGAAACAGGGCCACGAGAGCGAGACAATACATCTTTGGGAGCACATGAGGCGCAAATTTTGGTATGAGCGAGGCTGAATACAAGCCAGAGTAAACACCACGAGGAGGGGCTGTTGGACGCAGTTCGTCGATCTAAAAGGACCAGTCTGGCGGGGGAGGGGCAAATGGAGGAGTCGATCTTGATCGGACGTCATGGTATGAACGAGAATAGAGCATTATATTGATGAATACGTTGGTTGTCTTTGTTGTTAGGAATTCTTGCGAAAGTTTCTGGTTGGCGTGCGAGAGGATCGAGGACAGACTTGTCTTGATCATCACAGGAACCTCAAAACACATCAAAAGACCCTTCTCCAGACTTGCATGTCCTGTCATGCAATCACTTGATTCCAGAATCGAGGGAACAACTGCCGGTCTTGTGCCGGAATCTCCAGTAAGAATGGCTCAGCCTGGGCGATATGCGATGTCCTTTCAGGTTGGTCCCTGACATAAACCATTCGCTGAGATCTGTGTCGTTGAAGATCCCCTGCTCGAGGCACGTGTGGTGGACGAATCAGATGCCGCGCCGATATCACATTGTTCCAAGACGTTCAATCCGCCAATGATTGAGAGATCGCGAATAACCATGGCGATTCAAGCCCCCGTGGCCGAGCTGGTCTGGGGCATTGGCGGCGGATCTTGCCATACCAGACAATAATGAGTTTTACATCGCGACTCGTGACAGATTCATCTCAGCCTGAAAACAGGTAAACTTGTTAGTAGTCAAAGTTGATCATTTTCAAGAAAGACATCGGGAATAGACGGAGCGCCTCCAGTAATCTCGACTCGCCAACCATGGGTTGAGCGGGAGCTATCGGCATAGGTAAATTGGTGGCGCCATTGCGAGTTGAATGGGCCTTTTAGGCAAAAGTAGAGACGTACTCCACAAAGCTCCAAGAGAGATGACCAATAATTTTCAATCAAACTTATCAGAGGTGGCGGTTGATTTGCTGAGAGAAAGAGATTAGATGAAGATTACAGTAGGTCCAGATTGAGGAAGGGAAACATGGTAGGAGCAAAGGAACCAGCACGTGCAACATCACGTGGGCGCTATTATCCTTCATTTAATCTCAACAACCACCTGATTGTGTACTGAAGTTAGGAATTGTCTGAGGAACCAGGAACCCTCTGTCCGGTTGCAAGTGCCCAGCTGTGTCGCAAATACGGCCTCATCCAATATGTTTGCGTGGATATATCTGGAACGACGCATAATTGAGGCTCTCAATTTGGAGATAACTTGACAAGGGTATGTTAGAAAATCGCGCCTCTGCCTTGATATACCTTGAATTATCCTCTATATTCTCCTGGCGATCTAAGCGAAGTGGAAATCATCAACGGTGATTCCCCTCTCGCGGAAGTTCTGAATAGAATCGCTTCGCGGTAATAAACATCTGATGGTCTGGTGTTTAGGAACCCGCCGATATGTCAAGCGAGCTCGAATGTTGATGGAATCGACGGGCCGATCCACTACCATGACCAGAATCCTCAAATACCTATCAACATGGGCATTGAGCTTCTGTGGACACATGAGCTGTCTGTCTTGCTGCTACTATGTACATGCACGGCTCACAGCCTCCGTTCAAGACCCCATTATCTTCCCGTCTTGGCTCATGAATCCCATGCGAGCTCATGACGCAGAGGTCCCCTGGCATCATGACACCCAGCAATAGTCACTGCTGGAGCCAAATAGAGTGGGAATGGGATTAATTAGTTGCAAGGGTCTGGGTTATTAGCTTGGTGGGATACCCACCCGGTCACAATTGGAGGCTCAAGATATGCATCAACAGATGAACGATATCTTGCTGACCGATCAACTAACACGAAGTCAAGTGCTTATGTTTAATGATTGAGAATTCGTACATCCTTTTGGTAATGGTTCATCCATCGGCTGCTGGCATCCCAACATTCAAAAGTCGCCAATGATGGTTTGTTGGTTGCCAAATTAGCGTTCAGCCGCAATATAATCTTTTCGGGTCAGTGCAGAGAGGCTGGAAACTAGCCTTCATGATAACATGAGTGATGAGAATCTATACGTATATCTGTGAAGAGCAACTAATTAACTCTTGGCATCACCTAAAAACAATCTCCTCACGGGATGTTGTCTGTCTAAATTATTTCCCCTTGTATATGACTCCTGAAAAGGGAAGCTGGTCAGAGCCATTTTGACAAGTCAAATAGGAACCATATGATTATGAGGATTGCAATAATCAATCCGCGTCGTAGCCGCGCCGATCACGATGATTTGTTTCAGAATAGGCTGACAGTTATCGCCAGGCTCAAATTAAACGTCGCCTCGTCCAACATCCAACAGACTATTCGAATGAGATTCCAGAAAAGTAATCCGAGAGCTTGCGGAGCATCGCGAGTATGTGTGGCTTGATTCTATTCCTGTCAATGTCAGCATTTACATATACTGCGGAGTCGGCCGAGTAAGCACAGTGTTTTTCTTCCTTCTGATTCGGCAAGACTCCGTTTTTTTTTTTAGCAGAATGACGGGCATCACAAAGTGTTCAGGCACCTACCCCTGAGGCGCTATACTCCATGCCCCATCGGCCGAGCCGGCATCGGGTGAAATGAGACGAATCGATATTACGGCGTCTCACCTCTTTCTGGCGTTGGCCGCCATCATGGTTGATTAGTTGTCTTGGTATTGAAGTTTGTGAGGGTCGCGAGATGCTTGCTAATCGAGATGCTGTCTAAGACAAGTACCCATGGAATTGGGTTTCTCCTTCTCAAGCGTGCCAGTCTGTACAGAGTAGGCAATACTCTAATGTCTTGAACAATTCCCTCCCTGATATCAGAAAAAAGACATGTGTGTTGTTTGCCTTCACCGTCTCGTCCCTATCTCCATTAGTCGCCTCATTATCACCTTTTGCATGCCATGCCATTTCAGCCGGGGGTTGTGGCTACGTATCCGTTCTAACGAGTCGTTGCAGCAGAGGATTAACCCCTGTCTATCAGTTGGTCGAAATCTCGGCAACCTCAAAAAATTGACTTGATCTTCAAATCATGTCAGCCTCGCAGGAATGAAGATATCCAGTATCAGAGGACATCTATCAGGCGATGTACGGAGGGCGCATTCCGCCGAAAATTCTGCACCTCGTGTTCTGATTTTACGAGCACACCAAGTTCTTTTTAAAGTCGGTCAGCTTCATGAGGCTGAGGCGATGTAACTTAGATCAAGTTGTTCGTCCTGATGGCGATTGGGATTGTTACGATGACAGCATCGCCCGTGCACCCTGACATTGTGAACCGACGGCGGGAGTGTATCGTTTCTGTAAGAAACAGTTTGGTCTGGCCTCTTCCCGTCCCCAGCAAAACACTGCAGGGCATACAGTAGCGAAGAGTCCATGTTCCGTTTGATGGCTTGGGTGATATGAGGAACAGTGCGTTGGACAGTGCATAACCGGGATGTGGACCCTTGCTTTTGTACCCGTTCTTCCTTGTCAGAGCAATTGGTGGATTGTTTGCTTTTAGACTATGTTCGTTAGATTCTGATAATATTGGCTATTAGTCTAATTAAAGATAGTGACGGTGTCCACCTCGAGATAACCTCATGTGATTGGAGTTTGATGATCTGAGACTAGGCAGAGAATTTATTCCGATCTATAGCTCGTATGCATAATTCCTTCAGAATAAACTCACCGACAAGCGTTAACCAACAGTCACCAACCCTCAATTTATAAGCTTAGCCGTGCAAGGCATGTGGGGGTTGTATTGGAGGGACCTGGTTTGCGCGGGAGTGGAGGGGCTTGCGCAGCCTTGTAGCGCACCGTGCCTTATCTGATGGATACTGTACAGTGCTATTGGATCATTTCTCGATCCAATTCCAGGGCCCCTCGAGCTCCCAAAAGTACCTTTTCCAGCGGGTTGCAGTGGCCACGGTACCTGCATCCAGAATCCCCCTCCGTGAGAAGGTGTCTGTGTGCCTGGAATCCCTGAACATCCAATGAATCCCTGCCCCTCCAAGAATCGACACCACACCTGCCGCTCCCTTGAAAAGTTGGCGGCTGGCGGGCGGGCGGGCAGAAAGTAAGGTAGAGAGATACCTGTAGGGACTGTGGAAAAAGAACTAATGGGAATAATCTCACCGCCTTAATTTCTCATGCCAAAAAGTTGCTCCCCAATCGTTGCGTGGCTTCAGCGGCTGCCCCTCCACCGGCCTTTGCCTTAGGTAGTCTCCCTCCATCCTTCTCCAGTCTCCTCCAGAGCCCAGAGGGAAAGTAGTGCCCCCCTTTTTTCCCATTAGCTCACCTTAACTGCAACGTTGAAGTGGGAATATCTTTTCTAGCCTCCCTTGCCTTTGCTTCCACCTCCTTTATAAACCTCCCCATTCCCTCTCATCTCCCCCCAAAGCCTCACACTCGCTAGCATACTACGTGTGTCGATTCGTGACCTCGTTTGCGCACATCGTTTCTACAGATTGTCCTTTGCCTTGTCTGTAATATCTTCATACCACCTCTAATCATCATGTCTTCAAACGGTACCCAGGAGGCCCCCATTGAGGTCCGCCGCATCTGCTGTGTTGGTGCTGGTTACGTTGGTAAGTTGCAGAAACCTTTTCCAATCGACCCCTCGTGAGGGAACGAAGAGCTGGTGTATCGGATTTGCGAGAGTTGTGACAAGGCGCTCAATATCATGACTGCGCGCTTATCAGCCCCTCGAATGCTATACACCGCTCCAATATCGCAATTGAGTTTCAACAAACTAACAAACTTCACACAGGTGGCCCTACCGCTGCTGTCGTCGCTTTCCAGAACCCCAACATTCAGGTCACTGTCGTCGACCGAGACACCACCCGCATTCGCCGTTGGAATTCCCGCCATCCCCCTATCTACGAGCCTGGTCTGCACGATATCGTCCGAATTGCCCGTGATGGTGGCCGACCTACCAAGATCTCCAATGAGCCTACCACTGACAGTGAGGGTTCCTCTGCTGAGGAGGGTGAGATCGCCGTTGCTGAGCGCAAGCCCAACCTATTCTTCTCCACCGACATTGCCAAGCACATTGGCGAGGCCGATATCGTCCTCGTTGCCGTTAACACTCCCACCAAGTACCGTGGTGTTGGTGCCGGCAGCGCCACTGATATGACCGCTTTCGAGGCTGTCACTGGTGTCGTTGCTCAGTACGCCCGCGAGGGTGCCATCATTGTCGAGAAGTCGACTGTTCCTTGCCGAACTGCCCAGCTTGTCGCTGATACTGTAAGTTCATAGTCAATGTTGCAGCAGAGAAGCGGACAAGATGCTAACAATGGGATTCTAGCTTAACATGCACCGCCCTGGTGTCCATTTCGAGATTCTCTCCAACCCCGAGTTCTTGGCTGCCGGTACCGCCGTCAATGATCTCCTCTACCCTGACCGTATCCTGATCGGTTCTGCTCCTACCCCCTCCGGTAAGCGAGCTGCTGAGGCTCTCGTCAAGGTTTACAACGCCTGGATTCCTCGCGAGCGCATTCTGACCACCAACGTCTGGTCTTCCGAGCTCGCTAAGCTTGTTGCCAACTCTATGCTGGCTCAGCGTATCTCCTCCATCAACTCCATCTCTGCCGTCTGCGAGCAGACTGGCGCTGATGTCGATGAGGTCGCCCGTGCTGTCGGTGTTGACCCCCGTATTGGTAACAAGTTCTTGATGGCTGGTATCGGCTTCGGTGGCAGTTGCTTCAAGAAGGATGTTCTCAACCTCGTCTACCTCGCTGAGACCATGGGTCTTCCCGAGGTCGCTGAGTACTGGCGCCAAGTTGTTAAGATGAACGAGTACGCCCGTGATCGTTTCTCTAACCGTGTCATCAAGTGCCTCAACAACACCCTTGTTGGCAAGAAGGTTACCATTCTTGGTTTTGCTTTCAAGAAGAACACCTCCGATACCCGTGAGGCTCCCGCTCTTGAGATGATCAAGACCCTCCTTGAGGAGCGCCCCCGTGAGGTGGCTGTCTTCGATCCCTGCTGTAACCCTCTGGTTATCAAGGCCGAGATCAAGGAGCTCCTCGGACCCCTCGCTGAGGGACACAACATCACTGTCCACGGCAATGCCTACGACGCTTGCGAGTCCAGTACCGCCATCATCATTGCTACTGAGTTCGACGAGTTCCGCAACCAGCCTCCTCCCCCTCCCGCCCCTACGCCTGCTGTCCAGTCCAAGACCATTGGCCGCAAGCCCAACCCCAAGGCCGACCCTCGTCCTTTCGAGAACGCCACCCCCAGTGCCAACGAGCTCCTCGCCCTCCACAAGCACCTGGTTCAGCGCCCTGATGTCCAGTCCCATGACCCTCTGGACCGGTTCAACGTCGAGCCCAGCTGTGAAGACGACTGCCCTGACTGCATCCAGGAGCGTGAGAGCAAGGACACTGGCTTCGCCACAGGAATGGGTAGCTCTGAGGAGTACAAGCCCAAGGAGCGTGTCGACTGGGTCCGCATTTCTGAAAGTATGGCCAAGCCCCGCTGGGTCTTTGATGGCCGTGGTGTCATCGACTCTCGAGAGATGGTCAAGCTTGGCGTTCGCGTCGAGAGTGTTGGTCGCCAGCACCGCTTCTAAACGTCTCACCTGATTTTGAGACAGAACACAATTTTTTCGACGGCCGACTTTTAGATTTCTTGATTGTATGAATTCGTCGACTGTTGGCTAAGATTATACCGTTTTTAATAAGCATGAAATGACATATGGACGTGGTTGATGAGACACGCCGAGATACATTGGAAGGATAGGGTGGATGCCCGGCGTGAACAGGTGACGAGGTTTACTGGACATAGATTTAGATTCGAAGATGTTAAAAATGCGATGCGAGAGCAATGTTTCCGTTACCTTCTGTCTACTTTATTTATGGCCCTCCGACCCATAGCAGCGGTTTGGCGACGAACAGAATACCCCATGTCCATCAATTAAGCTTAAGATCGGAGGCTAGGTAGGTACTAATTTATTTCATAGCGATTCGGCTATCACGATCCTTATCTATCATCGTGTTCCCGCAAGTCAATTTGTTTCATGACTAATCCACCACGATCCTGTCCTGAGACGAAGCTTACAACCACCGTGTTTCAGCCAATTGACCAGGCGTCTCAGCTCTGAACCTCTAGTGTAACAAGCTATTACCGGAATACTACTTGTTTCCCAAGCCCAGCCCGTCATGTTCCCTGCACGAACGTTCTCGATCTCGCTCCACGTAGCATCGTGCCCTGCACTTGATACAGACTACTACTCTCATTTGGGTACGCGTTTCACCATGCATCGAGGAGTACCGTCGTCGTGGTTCGCCTCCTCGTGCGTGCCTCTCGTCTCGAGACATTTGTCGTCTTTGTCTTCCTGTTGAACGGGTGACATCTTCGTCTCGCTACCATACGCTCTTTAACCATATTGGTATCACTTTTGTGTTATCCCGGGGCTGTGCCTCTATATTCTTTCGCTTATTATTCAATTGCTGCAGGCGGCTCATTCTGTCTTCGAGGCCTAAACGTACGGGCCACCACCGTCGACTTGCGATAACGTACCTTGGACACAATCGAGGCAGCCACTCGTTGAGATGAGATTGTCATGGGCCAGACAGGCCGCAATTACAGGCCTCGTGGCCGTCGCCATGGCAGACGTCTTGCCGCCGGACGATATTCCACTCATGTGCGTGACGATCTGTGGTCCAATCGTCGAGTTGACAGCAAAATGTGATATTCACCACCATCGGCTCGCGAAGCGTCAGCCAAACCCAGAGTGGGTTCCAAAGTTGGCCGTGGAACCGCCCGAGGATGATGGACTGCACAAGAGAAGCTTTTCTATCATCAGAGCTGCACCGACGTCATTTCCTCCACAGTTCGAGCCTCAAGAGAGCACGACAACGTCAACTTCAACGTTAACGTCGACATCCAAGTCTACGCCCGCGTCAATGAAATGGGTTGCGGATGGCACCAGTGCGGAGGAGCAGACATTTACGATGAGACGTACCTCGATGAGTTCATCGTTTGTGAGCTCAGCGGCAACTCAGCCTACCAAGACTTCTCAAGGTGATTCTGCTATAGCGAGCATGACAAGTTGGGGAGCCAGTTTGCAGACGCAGTCAATAGTGCCAGAGGATGACCCTGAGAGGGAATGTGTATGCAATAACAAGAGCTTTGATGTGGCCAAGATTGCAGCGCTATGTCAAGACTGCATTGTCGTTGATGGGCACAAGCAAAACAGTGAGTCCTCATGGTCAAACTTGTAGATCAACTGCTAACGAAACAGACCTGGATATTATTATGCGGTCATGCGGGTTTGAAGCACTTACTTATACTCCCGACCAGGACAAAGCGGCGGATAACATTCGGGTCGAGGCAACGCGGCCGACTGCCATGGGTGCGAAGCAGGACCCAATAAATTCTGGTGCTGTATTAGAGTCTGGTGGTAATTGGGTTATTATTTTCACTTCACTGTTAGGAATTGCCATGGCGGTATGAGTTGCGTTCGATTTCAACACTTTAGATATGTAGATCATAGCGCTTGCGACAGCTTTCCTTTCTCACTTATTATATCCTATTTTAGATAAAACACTCGTTGAACGAATATCTCCTTACATAAGACTATCTTCTGCAGTTTTGGGCGGGTTCCAAATTGTTATGTTCCCTCAGTGATGATGTGACGATGCCATAGTCGGTGCTATGCGTGAAGCAGAAGGATACAAAGTTAATAATTATTCTATCTCTATGATGGCTTCTTCTATATGCAACCCAATGCCCAATATTAACAGTCCAGATAAAAAACATTAGGTATGTGGTACAAAATATCCCCAGAGTCATGAGCCGTCGAAACCCACTATGCATACACCCTTTTGTGTTCAAATCACCATGGCAGCCATAGCCGAGGCGACGAGGAGTCCCTATTGTAACGTCAGTACAACTTTTGAAATAACATAAAAGGATAATATCTTACCATTCCCCATGTACCAGGCCACAAGCAAGAGGCACCACTATCAGTGTCCTCGATTCGTGCGACTAACTTATCCCCAACACCACCGAGGCTCTCTTCGAAGTCTTTGAAGTTTTTCGCGTCCCAGTCGGCGCCGTCTTCTCCTGGCACAGCGTCGTTGCCTGGGAAGGCGATATATAACACATCATCTTCGTCGTGGCCATTGTCGCCGTTCATGTCATCGCCGAAGCAAGCCGTTGCAAGGGAGATTGAGGCCTCTCCGACCATGGCTTCATCACCATCATCGCCATTCTCGTCGCCCCAGATGCCGTAAAACTATCAAAGTCAACACTAGCTCAGCACCCAAGCAAAAACAACGACTTACCATTTTGTCGCCGCATACAACAGCCATCACACTCAATGGCTTAATGCCGTGCTTCTGCGCATCAAAAGTCGGCCAGTTCTTCTTGGTACCCACGTTCCCGAACACCACGTAAGGATGGATATTGGCATCGAGGTCCTTCTGGTCCGTGCCATATGACTTGAGCTGATCTTGAAAAGAGGTGACAGATTGTGTATCGCCTGATGAGCCACAGCGTCCATCATCTGCAGAACTGCCCTGCACTCCATCGCAGTCGATGTCCATGTTGACGAGTTTGCCTTTGGTGCCCTGGAGATATATCACATTGTAGTCTTTTAAATGATCGCCGCAGTAGACGTATGCTGCCACTGATTAGTCGCGATAGCGGTTGCGGAAACTGGAAGGCTTACAGCCATCGTCGCCGTCGGCACTATGGAATCCTTCTGCCAGAGTATCATTGCAAGAGCCTTGTTTTATGATGCTCTCTTTGAAAGCCTTGATGTTATCGGGAACATCGCGACAGGAAACCAGAGTGGCGATCGATGCGAAAAGGAGAAATCGAAGGGAACCCATGTTGTTGATTGAGACTGCGACCGAAATGAAGTAGCGAGCGTGGGGAAAGGCCGATCAGTTTGATCGCAATAGTTTGTCTTTATGTTTAAATGCTAAATATTCCCCTAGAAACTTCGGGGTGAGAGTAGTTTTATTCAAACAGGCAATTTTTCAGGGCGCGGCTAATGTTTGCTTTGCTTGCATGCAGTGATCCTCGTCCAATTTACTCGGAACCAAAAGTTCTCCTTGCAGAGTTGCATTCCCCGCCAAGACGGGTCGATCTGGTCTAGAACGGAATAATTTACTAGCATTAAGCATATTTATAACCTTTGGAGCATCGGCTGTTGTTTTGCTTTTATAGAGCGAGATCTTGCAGATTGGGTAATTAGTCCGCCTAGTTAAGATCTATATTGGTATGGCTCTTGTTTATTGTATCACTGCATTTTAACGAGCCCAGTAATGATTGACGGGAGGGACAGATTAGGCAAATGAAGCTGAGGTTGTTGCTGTGAACTTACATATGAGACAGGGTTACCCTATGTTTTCTCACCTGAACCAACACATTCAGGTATAATAGAAATCCACAAATAATTGAGTCAGTTCATCAATCGATCTACTTTTCTTTGAGTGTTTTTGCAAACTCAGAATGTATATGTGCTGGTAAGTTGATCGCCATCGATGATACTACTGGTCTGCTTAGCCCGAAAACCAATTCGCCTGAGAGGAGCCACGGTCACCCATAATGGTTCAATTAAGTGCCTTCGTCGGCACACACAGCAATGAAGTAAGAAAAATGTTCAATTAATGAAATTCACGTCAAGCACGTCGCTATCTCTTGATCTAATATATATGGACCCTTTTGATCAATGACAACTACACTTGCAAGAATTGGTAAGGAATGCATGGATTTGTCCGTCTCGGCCTCCGCGCGGTCGAATAAAATAGCTGTGAACCAACACGGACGATCCACTATCAATTGAGCTTCGTCCGTAGATTCGTCCGCACCTCGACCGGAGGCCATAGATATATAAGAAAGCAGTGAAAATAGCTATATAACGAAATACAGACCATCAGTGTTCCTTTTCGTCTGATTTTCCTAACAATCACAATGTCTTCTCAGCTCCAACACAATGCCGCCTGGGAAGCTAGCCCTCTTGCATTCCTGTCCCGCCAATTCATCGAAGGAGTTCCCAAGATTCCAAAAGGTGTCACTCTATCCGGCAAAACAGCTCTTATCACAGGTTCAAACGTTGGATTGGGCTTTGAATGTGCTCGTCAACTTCTTGCACTTGACCTTTCACACTTGATCATTGCTGTGCGGAGCCAAACAAGAGGCGACACTGCGGCACAGAAACTACGAAGCGAGTTCCCAAAAGCAAAGATTGAGGTATCGATAGTTGACATGGCTTCGTATAAGTCCATTCAAAACTTCGTCAAGTGGTGTGAGACTTTGCCTCGACTCGATATTGCCATCCTGAACGCTGGGTTGAGCAGACCTCAGTTCGAGCGATCAGACGAGTCCAAGCATGAAATGACATGCCAAATCAACTATCTCTCCACTGCACTCCTCGCTATCCTTCTTTTGCCCGTCCTCAAAACAAAATGTGGAACTTCTGAGCCTGCACATCTCGCTCTCGTTGGCTCTGACATGTCGTACTGGGCTCAATGGACTGGAACGAGCGATTCCATCTGGGATACAGTGGACGACCCTTCAAGCTGGTCCAGCAATGGCGCCTACCAGATATCCAAGCTTCTTCTTATCATGTTTGTCGGAAAACTCTCCGAGTACGTCTCGCCCGACGAAGTCATCGTCAACTTTCCGAATCCCGGCGCCTGCAGGGGAACGGAATTTGGAACAGATGGCAAGAGGAGCAAGATTGAGCAGTTTTGGATGAGCATTGCCAAGCCTATCGTTGGACGAACAGTTTCTACTGGCGCAAGATCCTATGTTGATGCGGTTGCCGTCAAGGGCAAAGAAAGTCATGGAAGCTTTGTGGGCGAGGGCAAGATTAAACCGTGAGTACTTTGAAGCAGATAGCGACGAAAATTTTCTAATTGTATTTGACAGGTATCCCCAGATTATGTACGAGCCAGCGGGAAAGGCACTCCAAGAGACGGCCTGGAACGACTTGATGAAGGAATTGAGTTTTGCGAAGCCTCTGGAGATACTCAAAGGTAGCAATTGAGCTGATGTTTACGCACTAGGTATGGACAGATATTTAAGGAGAGTCTGAGATATCGAAACATAGGTAGAGAATGTAGTTAATGCAACACCACTGTACTAAGCCTCATCGCTCTTCATTCCAATCTGATCAGCACAGGCGACTCCATTGCTCTTTGCTTTCGCTTCCTCAATGTCGCCAACAGTAGTCGTATCGTCGTAGAACCGAACCTTCTTCACCACCTTTTTCACTAACGGAGCGTGTTCCCCAGATTCTACCCCTTCGACTTTTCTCTGGTCATGTCGTCTGGGTACTTCCATTCCAAAGTATGCTCGCCATCGGCCGCTGCGGATGAAAGCCTTAAAAATGCTGATTTGGAGATCGGTCCAACGAAGGATTGTAAGGAGCGCAAATACACTGAACAAGATGTCGAACAAGATCATGCACCAGGGTATTGACTCATCTTGCTGAAGTTCTCCTTCGGTATTGGACATTGTGCTGCTCTATTGGTCAGATGGAGTATTAAATGTGTTGATGGGATAGTTACGAACCGATTTGAAGTGATATGTTCAGAATCGTAGGCGGCAAGGGGCATTTGGTAGCTCCGAGGACTCATTTTGCTTATCAAGCCACTTAAATTGGACAGTTTAATTATGGTTAAGGGAAAATGTTGTCGGATCCGTAGTCATGACTTGCCTCTCGTTTATACTTATGAGAATAGACACCAAAGTATAAAAGGTCTTATCGTCGCCATCTCTGTATACAAAGTTTCTTTCTTGCACATGGTCATCCAAGCCCTATCTTAACTAAGTTCCTCGTCAATTGATATGTCCTCACACGAGCCACTCTTATAGACTCGCCTCAAACTCTCCTCTTAAACTCTACAATCCACCTCCTCACGCCATATGCCTTGACACCGTGTTACCGCCACCCAACCGCCCCCATTATTATTATTGTTGTTGTTGTTGTTGTTGTTGTTGTTGTTGCTGCTGCTGCTGCTGTGGTGGGTTGTGCTGCTGCTGCTTCTCTTTTCTTACAGGAGCCTCTCGGGGAACAACCTGGAGCTGGATAACCTTTTGATCCTTGCTTCTTATCGCCATTTCCACAGTTACAGTTCTTAGCGGCATTTTCTGTTTCGATGGCGGAGCATACGGTATGGTAAATATCGTCCAGAAGCTGCTCCTCCCTTTGTGGCTGGGTGAGGACGAAGACGACACCTAGAACGACACCAAGGACATATACGGTCGTGCTGAAGGTCAAAAGGCACATAGGGAGAACGTTGTTGCTGTAGTCCATTTTGGGTAACATAGACAAGGTGTTTGCTGTATTGCGATGTCTTGTAGGTAGCGAATGATGAGTGTATTGTTTGAAGTGAATTGGTGATCTGGAGTTGGAAATCTCTAAGAAGTTGTGGTCTAAAGTTGTCGTGAAGAAGAAGAATAGAATATTATGATAATACTGCAATCGATTTGTATTTAATTTGTGTGTAGAAATTCGCGACGTACTTATATAAAGTTACTGAGTGCTGATGTGGCACATTCTCACTTTCGAGATAACACCATATGGCAGAAATACTGAAAGATCGCGATGGAAGCACACCGAAATACGGGCTTCAATGTGGAAGGAGTTGAGAGATTAAGTATGAGAAATCGAGATTACTGTCTAAAATGCAGTCTCTGATTTCCCTGCCACGAAGATGCATTTTGGTGATATTTCCCAACAGCCACATCGTGACCGCACTGATCACACGTACTTGGCCATAAAGCATCTCTGAACAACACGTAATTTAGTTTAGTGTTCAAGTGACATAACAAGACGTATTAGGGTCGTCTCATATCTTTCCTGACACGAAACCTTTCCCCCATGCTCGAGATCCTTCACTACATCTTGGTACATTGACGTTCTGGGTACGCAATGCCAGATGTAAAATAAACCGCAAAAGCAAGGACTAAACGCTATGGCAAGCGAATTGAGGCGACGGTCCATATTTGGATCCATAAGAAGTTATTTGTTTGCCTCTGGCTGACCCTTTGTGGTTCACCGTGGGGTTGAGCAGGCTTATCGTAGCCACGGAGATAGAATGTGAGTTGGCCGCTCAGCTAGCTGATGCGACGGAAGAACAATTCTATATTTTCGATGGCGATATGCCTAGTGGCCCCGTAACGGGAGAAATTTTACATCGCATGTGTCTGTTTAGTGGATTGTTAGTTATGCAGAAGTGTTGGTGTAGTGTCAGTCTCCATTAAGCATAGCAATCTTGCTACCTCCTCACCATGAAAGGCGGAATTTACCAACTTTTGTTTGACTTCGCCTTATTCAAGAAGGTTATATCGACGTTTATACTTGTGCTTCCGTTTTGCATTAACACAGTTTGATCAATAGTTGGCCTTGCCTTTCAGTCTCAATAGACCCTTCCTCCTTTTGGAACAGCACCTACCTCTTTGCAGCGACACGGCTGTTGTTTTGATATACTCCTATATTAGAGATATAATCCACCGAGAAAGTTGAATCCTCTTCTCGCTTGTCCAAAGGCCAGTCTATACTTACCGAGAGGTGTTGCCTAAGTACAAAGAATATTGACACTAAAACACGGAGAAGGGAACTGGTTCATGATATAGACTGAGGACTTTCGCCTTTGCATACTTAAGCTCGGGACAACGAGCTTTACAAGAAATATTGTCCTCGAGATGGACTCGTCACTATGATTGCGTAAATTCTGGTCAAACCGCATGTCAGAAAAGGTTATAAAAGCAAGCCATCAACAGAATAGAGATATGGTAACAAGAAATCAATACCCTAAGATTTCGTCAATCCCCAGGTCATGCTGCTTGGGGTGTAGCTGCCTGGGTGTAAAGCAAGGCAACATCCCCAGATGATCGACTTTGACGTATAGGCAATATGGGGGGAGGGATTCAATTTCTGTCGTTCCCTTCAACCAATCCAGTCGTCCCTCACCATCAGCTTCAGATTCCCACGTCAAGATGGATCGGAGTTTGTTGTAGATTCGCTACCAACAGCAGTGGACGCAAGAGGACAAGAGCTGCATGCCATTTCCATTGGCTTTTTTGTGTTTATTACAAACATTCTGTGTAATAGTTTGATGATAATTGATATCCATGCACAATTTTTGTTCATGAGCATTAAAGTTCAAGCAACGGCCTGGTCTCAGCCTCCCAACCTAGACACCATGCATTGGCTGAAACGGTAGCATCGCTACATTCACGATACCACTTCCAATCGCAGACATGCAGGAGTCAGAAGACTCGATTGGTTGGACCGTACCCAATCTCGTAAGGTTTAATACTCGAAAGTTATCACGAGTCGCAGGGTCTTGGCGAGAATTATTGTCTTTGATGGATGTTATCAATTACACAAATATCTTATCAATCTCCACCGGCTTGAATGCTATATACATCATTAATATCGTGATCCAGTTAGTAATGGTACAATGAATCGAAGGCCAACACAACACAACAACAAAGACTTGAACTTGATGTGCCAGCATCAACACCCAATATCACCACCCAAAAGGCTTGGCATATCGTTCGACGGTCCCAGATGCTCCGCCAAGTCCACAAATTCTTCCCCAGTCAAGCTCAGCTCGGCTTCACAACACGTACACATAGTCCAGCTCCATCGTACACTTGTCACCCACTTCTTCCCGCGGGAGTATCTCACATTTTCAGCAGCGCATCATTGTCAATGATACGATCTTTATAGCCCTCGCAGGCTACCTTGACAAAAGCCTTGGCCATTTGAGCAACTTCAATACCGTGAGCAGAGCGACCGCCTACAAGTCTTCTCTTCTTGGGCGCATCTGGGGTGACGATGGCGCTGGGTCTTAAGATCCAAGCGCTAAATGTTTCAGGGCTGGCGTCTGCAATCTCGCATAGACCCTTCTCCGCCTCGGACTTTGGCTTTCTTGGGTCCCCGAGCGAGAGCAGTGAAGATGCCTTTGAGTTGGCCCTGTTGCTGCAGAAGACAAAGTTGAACTTGTTGCCTGTTGGTGTCTTTGGTGCTATGCGCTCGCTCAATGTTTTTGCTGCCGTGAGTGGTAGTTCCACGTTGACGTGGTGAAGAAGTGCCTTGTCGTGGCTGAGACGATCTAGCCGTGCTCCAATGGCCCTGTGTGAATAATCAGCCTCTCATGTTTGAGCAGTATGAGGATTGATCTGCAGAGATCAAAAGAGGGTGTCTTCTTACCATAAACACGCTGAAGACCCTTCAAGTCGCCGTAAAACTTCATCGGAATACCTCGCGAAATCCTGAATCATAATGACATCCGCTTTTGGGTGGCTCTCAATATCCATCGACACGGCCTTTCGAGTGAGAATAACGACCTTTGTGATGCGCGCGTCCGCAAGACACTGTTTGACGATCTCATTGCCGACCATCCCGGTCGCCCCTGTAACCACAACCTTCATCTGTTGAGTAGACTATCGCAAAGTAACTTGAACCGATAGTGCAGCTACCTCCAGAGAAAAGAAGAAGAAAAGAAAGTGTTTGACGGATAAATGAGTGAACAAACGAAGAATGATGGGTATTCCGTAGGTAGTCTTAGAGATGATCCTGGTCTTGCGGGCCTCTCGCCTTGCTAAGGGCAAAAAAATTAAAAAGGGCCGGAACCAGTAAATATTATTAGACAAGCAACAAAAAAAAAGGGACAGTGGCAGCGGAAAATATGATGAATGTCGCTAATTGAGATGACTCTTATGAATGGTACCTTGTATTCATCTTGATCTTGGTTTGCAGGAAAGAAATCATATGGATTCAAATATGATCAGCCACGCAAGAGAAAACCACACTTGACCGCTTGAGGAACTGGACTACCTTACAGCAAGTATATTGCCGGCAGCCCGATCTGACTTGACATTGACAGCTTCTAGCAACTCTTGGCTCTGTTGCCGAGCTACAAATACCACGCGCGGGTAGATCCTTGTATGGTATGGTATGGTATGGTACCCAGTAGGTAACTCGTTGCAGTATTTTTTAACGACTCCAAATTGTCCTCCTTGATCCTCTCTGCTAGATCGACACTTTGCCAACCAATCCTTTGAGATCCGCCGGCTTTGGCACGGAGATACGATGCAAAGTCTGTCACTGCCCAGAAAATGGCTTTTCTACGCCAAGACCCGTCTCAAATTGCTTACGGGGAGTGACATAGACTATGGTGACTATTGGTTGGACTTTACTCAACTCTGTCATTATTATTTAATGTGGATATTCAGTTATATTGGCTGAAATGTTCCACCATGAGAAACATGACAATAAAGCAGACTATCTACAGCCAATATTCACAGGCTAATTCATTTTTTGTCTGATGCCACCGACAGAACTCATTAGACCTCAACCCTTCTGTGCCGATCATCCGCTTTGCCGACCTGCTATGCCCAATACTGCAAGTACACGTTTCATTCTGCAATGAAACATGGGCACCCGCATGTCTGGCGACCTTATCAGCGTTACTTTGTTGAGCGTGACTTGTGGAAAGGAGATGCCGAGTGGTGTACAGTACTGTATTACCTTCATTTCCCCGGGCATAGTAAGCAAAAACTTGTTTCATCCCATTTCCCGTGATACGCAATGCCTAGGCCAGCGTCAATAAACAATTTAGAGACGCAAATAAGCTTCCTTTTGTAAATAAACAACGAGATGCTGCGCTTCAAGCTCCGCAAGATCGACGCTGAATATTCGGATCCGAATCGGATCCGGGCTGATTTTTGAAGCTGGGGACAGGCAGAGGAGACACTTGATGATGATTGGCTCAGTGGACCCATCCAGGCAGTAGCAATAAAACGAATCATTCAATTACGCGAATATACGGATATACGAAAGTCAAGAATTCAATTATTGTTCCATTTGGATATCATACTATATCATTAATTAATCAACCGACTCGGCTTCCTTCGAGGTTGTCCGCCGCGCTCTTGCTTCGAGGATCAGACTTGTTGCCGTAGTGGTTCGCGTCTCCTCCCAGCGCCTCGATCTCCTTCTTGCTGTTCTCCTTGCTGGCCTGGCTGGTGTCTGTCAACCACTGTTAGTAACTGGAGACGACACTCGCTCATATAAAGACGGTTCATACTGGGGTTGGAAAGGTTCGCCTTGTGGCCCTGGATCTTGTGGGAGATCTCTTCGCCGCCCTCGCGAAGCTCCTGCATGTCATTCGAGATGACGGATCGGTCTCCAGCGGAATTCATTTTGGTGATAATGTAATTATTCGATTATGACTTTGTACAGTCCCGGTCTTTTCCTACATGTCCTGACCTCTTCATCCTTATATACCTATTCTCATCTTCCAAACACCTGCTGTATTTCTCGGCATGACACGCCATGACGTTGTAGCATGAATATTGTTAAGGCTGTTATGTCATGCTTGAACTGAATCAAGGACATCTCCATGTCCCACATACCTGGTTCACCTTCCAGGTGTGTCGAGCGATGCATTCTGTGTGGTTGGATCTGTCCAGCATGAGGGGCGGGATGACATAGCTTGTTACGCATGAAACCGAGGTCAGACTCAAAAATAATCTGAGCTATCTTCACCAAAATTTGGACTGAAATGGTCGCGTTATTTCGAACTGGGGCCTTGGCTGATCCACCATCTCGATCACTTCAACGACTTTCTTGTGATACAAATACAAAAAGCAACGGGTTATGCACTTTTTGAAGCCATGAAATACATACAGAACGCCACTTTTCGACAATTATCCTGGCGGCCGTTGGAAAAATTTCGGAGAGAAAGAATGTCGTAATTTTCCAACTTGTGACATAAGTTTCGTCAGACGCAAACAAACGAGCTTCCTGTGACAGGTTGCAAAGTCATTGCCGTTTGCAACCCCCAGGTTCCGTTTGGCATATTGCAAACACAGTCGGTGATTAAATATTTGCATTAAAACATGCTAGTAATAGATATGCTGTATCCGTTTGTCCTAGGTACAAACAAACCATGCCCTGCCCCTTCTCCAGCTGTGAGTACCCCAGATACATGAAGCGCTTGCTCTAAATATTCGAATGTATGACACTACGCGCAGTTGTCCGCAGTTCTTATAGCAGGCGAAACCATCCTACTGAGGATCCGACTCAAATGCAACGCCATATTTTGAAGTCCTCAACAGTTACTGGATACCAGGTACTCTGTTCAACTCATTTACGGTCTGGCGAGGCTCAACTCCGTCTCTGGACTAATGCTTGAGTTACGATTGATGCGATGCTCTGAACCGGTACTCATTTCTTGTGGAAGTGTATTACTACCAACCATTTCTGAAGCGATACCCATCCGCTGTTGGTTGTGGTTGTGGTTGTACTGTTGATGGTAGCGAGGAAGAAGGCTGGGGCTGTGTGCATGTTGGGCACTGTGCTCCGAAAAGTGTGCGTAGGATTGCGGTCGTTCAGAATGAGAGATGCTCGGAAAATACTTTTGGAACTGTTCAATTGAAGATAAACCGCTATGATGCTGGCTCATAACCGTGGGAGATGAAGTGAATGGCTCTGCGTTTTGTTAGTGCCCAGTCTCCTTCTGAACGAGTTTCCTTACGCTGATAGCCACTCATGGGAGATTGGGCGACGAATGTGCTCGGGTGAATAGGAACACTTGGAGGTGGAAACGGATTCGCCGTCAGTGTCGGTGCAGCTGGAGGCACACTGTAACCAGCATTGCGTTCTTGTCGATGCTTGCTCTTCTGTCTGGGCTTCCACCAGAACAGCCAGGCCACGAGAATGAGGGCAATCAGACCTCCGACTGATGCACCCACGGCGATACCGGCAGTGGATCCAGCTCCTAAGCCATCGCTCTCAGTTGTCTCAACTGCAGAAGTGCTCGAAGCTGTCGTAGAGGCTGTCTCGGACACACTCGAGGTAGTAGAGCTTCCGCTTCCACTAGGGTGAAGGAAATTGAGCCTGTTATTCTCAACTTCAGACAACTTAGCCGGCACAAGCTTTGCCCTTGGACAGCCTGAGCTACAAGCATTCTGGCTGCAGCATCCCAGGAAAGGCGGGTTGGTAGAGGCACATGAGTACCAGTTGTCGACACCTTGAGAATTGTCACAGTCCTGCTGAGGAAGTTGAGAGTATTTATCAGAGTCGAAGGTCGTGGCACGCAAATCGCCGTCAGAACAGGTACCATTATTCCTGCCACAAGGGTCATTGATACAACAACCTATGAACTGGGTATCGTCATCTTCACAGACGTAGAAACGGCCTCCGTTCGGGCACGAGAGACCCCAATGCGTACGAGCTTCAGACATTTAAGTGCTGAAATTGATGATTCGGCCTCGAGGATGACGTTAATGAAGTGCAATGATTGTTTTGGTAGGGTCCAAAGGCGAGTCTGGCAGCCTCGGAATAAGAAGATGAAGAAGGGTGACTGAGGACCAAGGTAAAGAGTAAGGGATCAGTAAAGCCCCCGACTTTCAGCAAACATGGGACTCTCGCTTATTGCCGTCGAGTGACAGCATCAGCTCACGTAAAGCAGCCTCTTTCTACTTTCAAGGCACAGCCCGCACGGGATGCACTGCAAGATTGCGGATAGCATGGGTATAACTGGACGGAGTCCGAACGACATCTGTGGTTATCCCTCCAGCTGGAACAGGTCGCTTCAACACACCGAGACGAACCCCAAGCACCTGACCACATTCGTATATCAAAGCAAGCTGTCAAGAGCTCTGGCGACTTTGGCAGCGGCAAGCTCTGGGGCTTGTCCGACCAAGGGCTTGAAGCTGTGAAACAGTACTAGGCCGTGATCAGATTTCATTGCAGATGCTATCAGAGGCAACATTGCTTAAGTTGTCTCTATGTGATATTCACTTTCAGTGACAAATATAGGATCTTCTTGTGCGGTCTGTGCCGCATTTAGAGACAAAGGTGTTCAGCTCAGTCACTAACCCTTCCGCAACTTGTCACTGGGTCACCACACGCACACCGAAGATTGTAGGCGATGAGAAAAGGCGTGCCAAGACCTATTTCTTTTCATTACGTTGGCTCCGGAAAAGAATGGCGAAGGCTTGACCAAAATACCAATTCCATTGTATCGGGATTGATTATCGACGTAAATAATCGCGCTATGGTCTTAATAAAACTATGAATAGCATGCTGTGATGCTACCATAAGCTTGAACATGGAAGCTCAAGGATGCTTGGCGACGGCAAACACTTTCATCTCTTCTGATGCCAATGAGCATGACAATTGCATGTGGCTTCTTGGAATCAGCTTTATTGATATCTATCCCCGGCCTTATATGAAAGTATGGCTCCAGCTTTGCTTGCCGCTGTAGCCTTCGGCCATTGAGTCAGCGATTCCGTAGCGCTCATCCGAACTTCTGATACATCAGCAGCCGTTGTCGTGCCACAGCATTGCTCCTCCTGATCGTGATGAAGAATGGTCGAAACTTTCCATCTCCAAGAACAAGCAAGGACATTGAGGCAACGTCCTCGTTGTGTGTCGTATCTCCAGCTTCAAATGCACGAGTTCCATAATGTGCAAAAACATCACCAAAAATAGCCCCCCCTCTTTGTTGTCATCTCCACCACATTTCACGACACAGCCTTGTTTGTCTGACTTATTGCCCTGCTTAAATTATGCCAAGGTGCTGGCGCCCGATCAGCCAGCACAGATCATAATCTACACCATATCATAAAGAGGCGCTTTTGCGAAATTAAACCGCACAACAAACAACAGGTTTTGCTGTATATGCGACGATTGAGGCTGACAGAATATGACACCTCGAATTACATGCCACAAGATGAGAAGACACAGACTTGGTGACTAAAAGAGTCGCAGGCCGAATTGTGCTTGATCCAGCTCCATTGGTTTCTTTGAAGACAATGGTGCAACGGGAATGGGTTTCCGCGCTCAGTCTCAGCATCCCAAAAGCAATGTTTGTCGTAGAGGCAGGCAGTGAAGCTGCAACCGGTGAAGGATACTTGAGAAAGGAGGTATTCCCAAAACGAACGCTGGATACTGGCATTGGTTGATCTGAGTTGAATTCTTTCCCCCTTCGACAGAAATTGTATCTTCATTACTGTCAAAAGGGCCGATGGTATTTCGTCAGAGGTTACTCCGTGCAACGAAAGATGGTGTGTGAAAGCAAAGCATTGGGCCAATCACCCTTCCAGTGGCATTTGCATCATTCGGTTCGTGATTCTTGAGCTCTTCGGACTGCCCCTTCAGCCTGATCATGATGGGCAGTCAGAAAAGATACCCTGTCGAGGATGATTTCGAACAAAGAAATGCACAGAACGGCCCTGCACTAAAATCTGGTTCCTGGCGCACCGGCATTCACGAACCGAAGGTGCCAGGTAGATGTAGGTAAACCGAGCCAACGCGCTGGCTCAAACTCCAGGTTGATTGACAAATACCTGCGGCAGCTGCTCGCCCTGAACTCTTTGCCCAAGTTGAGCCACGAAGGACCACGCAGCGCGGGAGAGGCTCTGACTGATCTCACCAGGCATTATGATCTTTAGGCGACTCTGACCGAGCACAAACCCAGCGCAGGAGATCTGAGTAACATGTACGCTGGGATGAAAAAGATTCAGTGCAAGATGGTGATGTAGATAGAGCCCCAAGGCTTCGGTGAAGGGGGATGCTTCAGCAGGTCCCTTTGTACGCCAAGCCCAGCCATCGTCTGTGTTCCCCCCGGCAAGCCTACGGCGTTCACGGGCGTCTCCTTGCCAAGAAGCATCACCTGGGATATGGCTCTTTTCACCAGCGCGCACAAAGCGACGAAGGTCTTGTGCAGATATGGTGATATCAACAGATCGAAGCCCTGGGTTAGCCAAGGCTTCCTCTTGAGTTTGGGTTTTGTCGATAGCTGTTAGGCCCTCGCTGGTCTGAAGAGACATGTTGAATGCAAGTGTTATGGTAAAGTCAATGCCTCGGTCGTTGAGCCCTTCGTTTGCGACCCAGCTTTCCCATACTCCAAGGATAGTCTTCGTTCCCATCGTTACCCGACTGACGCGGCAGTCGAATGAAGCAGCAAGCCAATCTGCTACAACGCTCTTTAGTTGCTGAGGCATGCGCATTAACAATAATGGTAGATATAGAAACCTGCTTTTATCATTCATCTGCCGCGACTCTGAAGAGTCTGATAGTCCAGGTAGAAGAATCGCAGCATAAGCAGCATTCTCATGCTCTATGCTTATCCAGAGCCCTTGTTTCTGGTCGTCCGGGAGGTCGCTCTGATCGCCGCGTGGAGCTTCGAGGTCGAAATCAGGAGCGTCTTCACCCAAAAATGTACTCGCATGAAACCACTCGATTCGGACACCATTAAGAGCACCGACTTGGCCGAGAGATGTATCTGCTGCCTCCAACCTGAGTTGAATGCCACGAACTACATCACCGACGAGGGTATCACGAAGGCGGCTGGCGATGACTTGGAGCCGTTGATTGGTGAGACGTGATTTTCCAATGTGCATAGGGGAAACACGATGAGTAGAGAAAGTCGTGTTGAAGAAGGGCGGAACTGTTCCATCGTTGGCGTTTTCAGAGGTGGTATTGAGCGACTGCGTTGGAGATTGCTGAACCTCCGTAGACGCAACGCCTTGAGCACTCAGGCGCGCCATCCTTGCGATCACTGCAGTATTTGCTCAGTGCCTGATATCTTTCTGCTTTGAGTGTTTGGCGCGATTCTTGGCTACTGTTATTGTTCTGGCTTGAATGTGGGGTTTTGAGTGTGTATCGCAAGGTCAGACGCGTCTTTGGGACCTCTTTCCTTGAAAGGAATTTACAAAGAATGCGCAGAATTGAATCATGAGTTTTACGTGATTCTACCGGTTATAGTCCGCCCATGTCAGAGATATGCTGGTAAGATCGGTACCTTAGATGAAAGCTTGGTGCATTTGATTCGAAGGGAAGGATAGCGTTAATCTGATGACTAAGCGCGAAGGATGATATCTTCTTTCCTCGCAACTTAACTCACCATTGCCTTTTCATTTTATCCATAGCAGAATATGGATGGCCAACGGAGGCCGATTAATCTTTTCATGAATGCTTTCGATCACCCTCAGAGATGAAATCTTCCCAGTTTCTCACCCTTCCGGTTCTGGGAGTTACGCTTCGTACATGCTACATACCGAGAGATAGGGAAGCTATCACCTGTGCACCCTAATGGATCGCCCGTGAATGCGCACCGGCTTTGTCTGCTATAGAACAAGGTCTCTCACACTTCAATGTGGACTTGTATTGCAATCTTGGGTCGTCCCAACATAGTGGTCGGATTGTCCTGCAGCCATCGCCCAAAGGTCAACTTATGCTAACACAAAGACACCATACGGTCAATAAGCTCCCTTCAATATTGATGTTGGGTAATGCGAGATACTTTGACTTGTGCTTTCATACGCTTATAGCTCAATAAGTTTGTTCGATCGACCAACACTCGCCCAGCCACTCGGACTCGAAACAAAGAATACCACAAATGTCAGTGCTCCTCATGGTATCCCAGTTCCGAAGCCCCAACTGCCTGTGCAACCAATGCGGTCTATGGAGTGGATTGAAAAGACAAAAAAGTGCCCGCAAGAAACTCTGGCAGCGCCCTTGCGAGGGTCTGGCAGATGGATCTGGACGCAAACATGGCGTTAGATACGTGAGTAGAATGGGCACTCACACACAATACTGGATGATCCGAGCAATTCAAGGGTGTAAGCGCTCAACTGCTTCTGTTTTCTTTGTTCCTTCAAGGTCTATTGTGGACTAAAGCTTCCGACCGCACTCTTCGGATGTCCATATCAATCAGGCAGCTTATAAGTCTGATAAAAGCACTTAGGAGAGAAGCTACGACTACTTGAGACTACTGATATTATTTTTTGGGAACTCTTCCTGGGCTTTTTCGTCTGTGGAACGTCTGAAGACGATCTCGACAAGTCTTTCTCTACTCATTAGTTCTTTAAACGAGTCAATTCCCTTTCCAAGACAACAGTTGACCCATGACCCAGTTCTCAATAAGGGAAATTTGCATATCACAATGGCCGACGAGTGGCAGGAATCCACAGAATACGAATACTCGAACTACCATGTCAAGTGGCTCGGGAAAAACTACAAGCTAGGCGATCCAACGCATGGATCGATCCTGGATTCAGATCTCGAAGACTTTGCTAGGGAAGAACATCTTCGTGCAGAGAAAGCAAAACATAGCCAATCACTGAGAAGTGCCCGCGTCCTTTGTGCCTTTCATGGTTATGGAAGAAACTCTGTATGGCCACCGGTTGACCCGGGAAGGCCAACTAAAGAGCTTGCGGAAGAATTCAGGCATGTCAACGTTCTCGTTGAATCGGAATGGTCGAGATTGAATGAACTCGTAGTCGGCAAAGAGCGAGAGATCCAGGAGACCATTATCAACCTCACTGATGGAAAAATCAGAGACCAAAATGGAGAGACTCTACGCATTCAAGACTGCCTGGAGAACAGCTGGGAAGAGGCTACAACCGCATTCAATGCCCAATACACCAACAACCGTTCAAAGTCAAGACCCGGTCACATGGACAGTGATTTCAGCCTAGATCCTGACGGCCATATCAACCCCAACCATTCAAGTGATCTCGACGAGTTTGCCCATGAATACCTCCGCAACGTCAGAGTCAACTTCCACTGGGAAAACAACGGTATACCGAGGAGACTTGAGGAAAAGAGACAGTACCCACTCTACCGCAATACAGGGAACTATCATGACGAAAGGCAGGCCATGGAAGATGCTATCATGGACGATGTCAAGTTCCGAAATTTGAGGAAACCGAGCCCAGACCCTGCAGTAGACACCTCCGAACAAGCCTGGTGCAACTACGAAGTTGAAGATGTACTGCGAAAGCACAGAGCTCGCTTCTTGGTCTCACACATCAACAAGGAGGATCTTTCTATCCCGCTCAATCTGCTCATGTTCATCCACTATCGGGCCCGACTTCACCCCATTGACTTTGTCTTCCAAGATAACAATCGCATGCACCTAGGAAAGCAGTCCCATATTTTGTCAGGCGCTTGCGATCCTTCGTGTTATGTCATGTTTGTCCCGGTGAAAGACTATGAGTACGGAAAACAATACCATAGAGCTTGGTGTGAACCTAGACCCTTTCTACGATACTCATCCGGGATGGATGAAAACAGATTTGAGAACTTACAATCCGCCGGACGGATGTTCGGTAGCATGGAAGCATGGCTTATACTGCATTCCCAAGCTATTACATACCTATTCTTGGCTACTTTCTGCAGACAGATGCTTGATCTAGCAAAGCAGGAGCTGATCACAGGCCACATTAGCAAACTCAGCAAAGAGGAAATTCTGGAAATTGGGACTTCAGCAAGACAAAAGATCAAGATGATGAAAGAAAAGAAAGGAGCCGAAACAATGCAAGACATCGCGTCCATTCGACAGTATGAGCCAAATTGCACCGGGGTCAACCTACAAAGGTATCGCACCAAGCTCAAGGAAAAATGTGCAGCGGCTGAAGAACACATCAAGAATCTTTTTGACAACCCCGCCTATCTAGTTAAATACATCATGGAACAAAAGGATCATCATTGGACTAATCTTATCGAAGACTCAACCTATCTTACAAACGAGTACTCTCAAAACTACCACGATGGAGTCTTGCGCAGAGTACTATATCGAAGTTGCATGAGAAGTGTACTTCGAAGAGCCTTTTTCGAGTTCTTCATCTGGGATGCTGTTACAAAGGCCTTGGAAGACTTTGAAACCTTCGAACGGGAGAGACTTCAAGAATCACCCACGATGGAAGAATTCAGATACTGCAAGATGACAGCTGTATCTAGGCCCCATCGTTCTGCGGAATTCCATTCCTATACAGCGACATACCATCAACTTCAGGAGTTGATTCGGCACGCCGCGGCTTTCTTCATCTTCGAATTCCGTAAAGAAGCAATTCATGCCGCGTCTGAGCCCATGCGGAACATTTACCATACCACTAGAAGGCCAGAGTACAAGCGGGACTGGCTGATCAGAGAGTACTATGACAGCGAAGACATTATGCTTGACTTCCAAGAAGAGGCTCTGGACAGTGGCCGAGAGGGAAAACATCGTATCGTGGCTGAGCTCATTGAGAACTTCATTTCGAACAAACATTCTTCCATGTATGTCGGCATCCGGAAGACTACGGATAAAGTAAAGAGGCATATTGAAGCCCACAACAACGATGTTGAGACAGAAGACAAGTTCTCCAATCTGATCAGCCAAACAATCGACGGCTTGGACTTGCTCGCCGATGTTGCAGAGCATCTGGAACTCATACCAGGCGTGTTTCGCAAATTTAACAAATGGACGAAAGAGGCCGAAAAAGAATGTCGCGAGACGGTTTCCAGGATGCTCCAGGAGTTTTCATCCTATGACCTCCTTGCGCTCGACAACTGTGATTTTCAAGACCAACACGTCCCTGACAAACGGACGCATCGAATATTCCGCTTTCTCGACGAATTGCAAGGATATGATGTGAAAGAAAAAGAGATGAGCTTCGGTAAGGCGAAGGGCGACATCAAGCGCTTTGGTGCCTCTCTTCTCAGGGGGCTTATCTATCCATTGAATGAGAAAGCCGATAAACTTGTATATCGGCAGAAAACATGGGGCGTGCGAGTCATGCCAGGTCTAGGCAAAGGAAAAGTATTCCCAGCAAATGGACGGGCCCTCGAGCGTCTGACGAATTGCATGGGAATTACCAGGGAGCAATTCCCGTTTGCTGAAAATGAAGTTCCTCTCGATCTCGATGCGCAAGAATCCAACCGTATGCAGAAGACCTCTGAGCAGGAAAGAGAAATTACCTCAGAAATCTGGTCAGGCCTCAAGGAAGCCATGATAAAACGTCGGCATGAGCAGAATAACAAGTTAAGGAATTTGAAGAAGCGCAATAAAGATAAGGTGCTGCCATCGAGGTCGTCCGAGCCATACAGGGTCGGCAAGAAGGACATTAAGGGAAAGGCGCCTATACGAACGACGGGGATGCAAGTGCGAGAAGAAATGGAGGCGCTCAACGATGTAGAGATGGAGGACGTGGACTTTGAAGTTTTACCGATGATGATTAGCCAAATTGGCCGTGAAAAACCTGGAGAATCTTCACGAACGAACATCGAGCCAGAGCCAGAGCCAGAGCCAGAGCCAGAGCCAGAGCCAGAACCAGAACCAGAATCTAAAACCCAGCCCCTGAATGCACCTGAGGAAGAATTCAATGCTCGGCCGGAGCGTGAACGTGGTCCCAGCAAATGGAAGCCTCCGCGTCCAACGCCGGCACGTCGTACCGAACCTGTTCCGCCTCCTGGCATGGCACCAGATGGACAACCCAAGAGAGAAATCAACAAGCATGCGTGGGAGACACTACAGTCACTCACGCTGCGGAAAATAACATTCACCAACGCTTCTGGGAAAAAGACTAAAGAAGCACTCCCAGCGGTTACATTGAACGATATTGATAGTACATTTGTCGGTGAGCTCGGGTTTCGTATGGAATTTGGGAAGGGCCGGCATCGTAAGTTCATTTGGAATAAGGATTGTGTATTGCCAGAATCGAGTCTGGGCAAGAATTTCAACTTCAATCCTGACAAAAAAGCGACAAAAAGCTCGGACTTGATACAGGAAACAATGAAAAATTACAAGAATTGTTTAGAGGAAACTGGAATTGATTACGCCTTTGTAAAGCGGTGGTTCATACAGAAGAAGGAGACGAAGGAGAAGAAAGAGACGGAGAAGAAGAAAGAGACATAGGATGTTGGATCCCAAGAGGTTGTTGCATGGCTATCCCTTTGGATTTTTCTTGTCTTTCTTATTTTGAACTCTGGAATTAGTATTCTATTGCTATTATAGCTACTATATTTTATTGACTTGTTTTGGTTTGCTTTACATCAGTCTCGAACAAGCGTATACGTACGTTAAGTTGTCAACAACATATCGTCTCATGCTGCGCAGTATCTACACCATATATCTTGGTCGCTGTCAACTCCGTTTAAGACTAAAACTAATAAATAGCTTCTCATGAACAAACTATCGGATCACTACCATTGACCGAGTTTCCAAACTACCAACCAACATGCTATTGACAGTTATACGGATGTTTTGTGGGATGAAGTCATGGAAGCGACACGGGTTATAGCAAGTGGTACTTATGATGGCTAAAAAATCTTTCTGGTTGAGAAGTTGGATTGTTTACACTGAAGGGAGACCATCATGAGTCGTCCCTTAAGATCCGGGAAATGCGCAATAGAGTCTCCAACCTTTATCATGATTGTATCATATCTTTATAATTTGTTAGCCAGAAGCTCCTGAAGTCTCGATTCTCTGACATAACGCGGATGAGTTTGTTCTGAACATCCATTAGCTCGTAAAGCACATCCAACAGATATACAAACATCCCCCCTTTTTACCATGCTCTCTCAGCTTCTCAACATGGTCGTTACCCCTCATGACAAGTTTGACAGACACTCACCACAAAATACCAACTAACGTTAGCATTGGATTCCACTAAGCACGCCTTCTCCATATTCCCACTAGAAACCCCAAGAGCTAGGTAGGTACAGCCGTGCCAATGATACACGAGAATCACCTGTTAGTAGTGGCATTTTAGCATTGACTCGGGGTAACTAGACCGAAAGCTTGCACCCCACGAGCAAAAAAAAGTCGCTGATATCATTCTCAGGCGCATCCGCATCGCAACAACAGGAGCGCTACGGAGTACACGCAGCGCTAGCAAATGCGGGCTTTTTTAGCCCCTTCAACGGGGCAATGACGACTTTTGACGTGGGGCAGTAAATTGCCCCGCGGCGTCTTTGGTTTGGTTTCGTCTGGTGATAGGCACGGCAGTTTGCGGCTGGTGTTTTTGCACAGTAGAAGCTTCTCGATCGATGCCTTGATTAGCGAATCAGTCTCTCTAAACGCCCTTCGGAGCTGCCCATTTAGGTATCATGAGTACCTTTTTAGTGCAACAAGTCATACCTGTTACAGCTATCGTAGATGAGGAGTTGGTGGTGGGGGAGGGAGCCGTCACCACCAGGGTTCTCGATGCGCGAGACATGGCATTGGAGAGGATCAAGATGTAAATGTGGATATCTATGGCGATAGCAAGTAGCATGAGTAACCAAATGGGTCCTCATCTGCTGTCATAACGCGTCCACGTTTATTACATTACATTACCTTACCTTACTCTTGCGTCTCTGGCGGTTGTTGCAGCTACGCAATTCTTCTTATAAACCCCTCCACCTCTCCTCTCCTCTCCCAGGTTGATATTTCTCTCTTTTCTCTCTCCCTATTCTCACACATACACAACCCTCTCACATACCACCCTCACCCAAAAACACAATCGCAATCATGTCTTTCGGTCGAACTGTCACCCTCAACTCGGGCCACAAGATGCCCCAGATCGGCTACGGCACCTGGCAGGCTGCCCCCGGTGAGGTCGGCAACGGTGTCTACGAGGCCCTCAAGGCCGGCTACCGCCACCTCGATCTTGCCAAGATCTACCAGAACCAGCGTGAGGTTGGTGAGGGTATCAAGAAGGCCCTCAACGACGTCCCCGGCCTCAAGCGTGAGGACATCTTCATCACCGGCAAGCTCTGGAACAACAAGCACCGCCCTGAGGAGGTTCCCGGTGCTCTCGACGACTCCCTTGAGGAGCTTGGTCTTGACTACCTTGACGTGAGTTGAAGCTGCATCCACTCGTTTCCACACACAGCTAACCATATATGAACAGCTCTGGCTGATCCACTGGCCCGTCGCCTTCAAGAACGGCCCCGAGCTCTTCCCTCTCAAGGCCGACGATAAGAACAAGACCGAGCTTGACCAGGGCGTCAGTCTGTCTCAGACCTGGGAGGCTGTTACCAAGCTGCCCAAGGAGAAGGTCCGCTCCATTGGTGTCTCCAACTTCTCCATTGAGATGGTAAGCTTCTACAATGCTTCAATCCGACTTTTGAACACATAACTAACCCCCACTAGCTCGAGACCATCATTAAGGACACCGGTGTCACCCCCGCCATCAACCAAGTCGAGCGCCACCCTCGTCTTCCTCAGCCCGAGCTTGTCAAGTACCAGAAGGAGAAGGGTATCTACCTGACTGCCTACTCTGCCTTCGGCAACAACTCATGGGGCGAGCCTCTCCTCATCAACACCCCCGAGGTCAAGGCCATCGCTGAGCGCCTCAGCAAGTCCAAGGGCAAGGAGGTCACCCCCGCCCAGGTTATCCTCGCCTGGTCCACCCTCGACAACCACATCGTCATTCCCAAGTCCGTTACTCCCGCTCGCATTCGCAGCAACTTCGAGGAGGTTGAGATCGACGAGGAGGCTATCAAGGAGCTTGAGAAGTTCGGCGAGAAGCCCCAGCGTTTCAACATTCCCAAGACCTGTAAGTCTCAATCCACAAGACCCCAAATACTTGAATTTTTGCTAACATCCTTCAGACTCTCCTGACTGGGACATTGATGTTTTTGGCGATGAGAAGGAGAAGACCGCTACCCACAAGGTTGTTCTTAAGCTGTAGAGGCTTTCATGATACCAAGTTATGATGCATGACGACATAGAATAGATCAGTCAAAAAGTCGAGCGGAAGAAAACTCGACCATAGAAAAAAATACAAAAATTAATGATCATCATTCCTACATATTGTATGTACAGCGCTGACACTGACAACTGCCGAGCGAATCATCGCGTTTCGTTTTGTTTGGACATCAACTGCCGATGTGTCTCGGGATTGACTATCCACATGTCTGAGTAATTTCAAAGATTTGTAAACACGACAATCTAGAATGAATACTATGTCTCCAACAAATAATACCGCACCTCGCCTGGTAAATTGTTCTGCAACTGCTGTTTCCATACCAAATAAGGCTATGGCAGTGTCTTCCCCATCTACAATACGTAGTCAAAATGTTCCAAACCATATATGCACCTTATCCCAAATAAATATTGTATACATCGTAGTGTTCTCCGTATCTTGCGCCATCGCATAGTAGATATTGCCTGCTGTATGTGTTGTCGGTATCTAGGCGCCGACGCTGAAGCCGAATGAACCGTCAAAGACGTCGAGTTTCTTGACGTCGGTGCCTCCGCGGAGGGCTAGCAGAACGTCCATCGCAGGGACTTTGTTTGCAGGGTAAAACAGAAGCAGATTGTCCATGTCTTCGTCTGTGAGGCCGCACATCTCGTCCCACTTGTAGGTATCGCTAACTTTGGACATCCTATTATCGGCATTGTCAGTGTAGTCCGTGTGCAAAGGGATTGATGAAACTGACCAAAGCATTCGCTTGGGTCCATCCTCAGGTTTAGGGGCCATCTTTCTTAATCTGAGTCGTAGTTCACCGATAGTCTCGATGGCATTACCGGCATTCTTGGGTAGCTGCTTGGCGATAAACTGCCGAATAGCTGCCGCCAACCTGGGTCCTTTGCCGTTGGTGCTGACCATAATCTGGAGGGGACCATCGCGATGGATACTGCCGAAATAGAAATCGCATTCAGGTGGTACGTCGGCGATGTTGGCGGGAACCCTTCTCTCCTTGCAAAGCTTCCAAATGACGGTCGAGGCGGCAGGGTCGTCGATAGCGACCAGAACCATGCTGGCTCCGTCTAAATCTTCGGGTTCGAATAATCGGTCGACGTGGGCAACTTGACCTTCGCTAACTCGGTAGGCGACTTCATCGTTGAGGCCGGACTTGGGGCACACGACAGTGACGTTGGCATCGGCGTTGAGGCAGTTTAGGATTCGGCCAGCAGCGACCTAAAGAGTATTGTCAGGTAAAATGAATCATTGATTGTACGGTAGTTCGTGATTGATGAGCGCTTCAGACATCAAAGTCTCGAGGCTCGGCGCATGTGATGATGATTCAGACATACCTCACCACCGCCGACAACAAGCACTTTCTTGTGCTTGATTTGCCATGCTAAAATCAAACTGCCTCCAGGCTGCACAGGAGGATAAGTCTTTGCCATTGCGACTGGAGCAGAGGAAGAAGAAGCAGAAGCAGAAGAAGATTCAGAGGAGGGAGTAGATGAGGCGGGAGGAGATGCCGGAGATGCCAGCGCCGGCTGGGCTGATACTGGCTTCTGAATGGGGGTCATTTTTCCCCATCAACTAAAGCCAGGGACGGTAAAGGTGACAAAAGGTTGATTCTTATCGGAGCTGCAGGGGTTGTGATAAGACACGATGGGTCTTAGGGAGCAAGAAAACTTCTGACGCTTAACTAAGGCGTCAAAAATGATTGATCTATAGACCTACCGATTTCGACCAAACTTACCCAAGTATTTTTATCGCTTAAGATAACAGTCCTGAGTTTTCTTGCTCCCTATGGACGGGGAACGGGAGGAAGCGAATAAGAGCTAACCTTATTTGGCATGGTATGACGCACGCTATAAGTGTACTTGGTTCACCGCCTTTGGAGCTCCGAGTCAAAGGTACCTCTTTATCTGGCTGGCATGAGCACCAAGCCACTGGGAGCAGTACCTTGCCAGGCTATCCTGTATCCCCTCAATCCACCATCTTACTTCCAACATCCCCCCGCGGTGCAGCTCAAGATAGAGCTCGACCAACTACGGTCGCACTCTTTCTATCTTTGATTTTGTCTTCTAATTTCGAAATTTCTGAATCATGTCGGGCCGCAAATTGGGCGGCGGCCGTGTCCTAGGCAGCGGCAGGGGCCTTGCTCCCCCGACACCTCCGGTTACGAATGCGCCTCGAGTAGCAAGTCCATTAGCAGCGTCCGAAAGCAGCATCTCGATAGCTTCATCGTCAATATCCCCGCCCGTTAGTGGTATCTCACCAGATCTCCCGGGCCAGGACATCGGAAATAGCATCAGCGTTGGTGCTCAAGGGAAGGGCCCTGCTGATGGCGCACTTGTCTGCCCAATATGCAACGAAGAGATGGTAAACTATGCTGACATCGGATTTGAATGCTGGTTATTAACTACAATTCCCTTAGTTGACCCTTCTCCAACTAAATCGACATATCGACGACAACCACCAAGAATTACCAGAAGAGGAGCAGGATGAGGTCAAGACGTGGTTTGACAAGCAGGTTCTTAAGGCCAAACGATTTCAGCCTCTGTCCCTCATCAACCAAAAACTACGCGGTCTCGATGTCTTTGAATCAAACGAATCGCTCCCTGTTGCCGCGCCATCCATTGCTGCTGGAAAGAACCCTCTCGAAGGCCCTATTGACCCTGACGAACTAATCACACGACATCATTGGCAACGGTCTACAAGCTACGATCTTTGCACAGATCCGACATGCGGAAGAAGTCTGGGTCCTTTAAATGGAAGCATAAACTGCCGACATTGTGGACGATTATTCTGTGAGGAACATACCATGTACCAAATGAAATTAAGTCGAAGCGCAAAACACGAACCGGTTCGAGGCTACTGGGCACGAGTATGCGAGACATGCTTTAAATCAAGAGAAGGATACAACGATCACCAGGGTGTATTGACGGACCACACTAACGCATTCGTGGAAATAAGAAGAAAAAAGGTCGAGCGCCAGAATCTAGAAATCTCGCGGCTCGAAAAAAGATTAACAAAACTCACAAAGCTATTAGCGAACCCTCCCGAAAAGCTTACACAATCCAATGGCTCCTTACTAGGCCCAGTCACATCACTAGCAGGACAAAAGAACCCTCGGAAGCTCATCGAGCAATCTGTTGTTACTTGGGAAGAAGATGCTACCGTCTCGAAATGCCCCTTTTGCCAGCAGGAATTTGGCTCTTGGACGTTTAGAAGGCACCATTGCCGTATATGTGGCCGTGTGGTTTGTGGAGACCCGCAAACAGGATGCTCTTCTGAAGTTGGTCTTAATGTGTCGAGCGAAACTAATGGAGCGATAAGAGCGCCTCCGGGGACCGAAAAGCCCCTATCAGTAGCCGGTGATGGGCAAGTTGGGATAGACATTCGGATGTGTCGTGATTGCAAGCACACAATTTTCTCTGCCCGGGACTTTACAGCTTCATTACAGCACAAACCAGCCGATCAACGAGCATACGAAACCTTGAGGCAGTTCGAACGTGGAATCCAGCAACTTCTACCATCTTTTCATCGAGCTTTGCTGAATTTACAACCGGAGAAAAAGGAGAGCGGAGAAATTGATCTTAACAAGCCGCCTCCTACACATGCACAAATTCAAGAAGCCGCCAAAATTCGCAAGCGCCTGGTTGATAGCTTTGGAAAATATGGCACTGCTGCGAAGCGCCTGCGAGACCTTCCAACCGAGAGCGCAACACAACGGCGTCTTCAAATGGCGATATATACATACGCTAGTGGCTTCCTTCACACAAATATGCTTCCTCTAAAGAGCCTCCCTCAGCTGCTCCGCTCACGCTCATCTGCGTCATCTTCTACAGCAGTCTCAACTTCACGACTTCTCGCTTCACATCACCACTCCGGATCGAGTTTACGACACTCAGAGCTAGCTGAGGAGACATCGTCGCAAGCACCTAGTGAAGGAAGTACGGTTGTCAGTCAGCTCGAGGCGGAGGAAAAGGAGCTTCGCGAGCGACTCGTTGTCTTGGAAGAGCAGCGTTTCATGGTTGAAGCTATGGTCAAGACCGCCCAGGGTTCAAGACGGTTTGAGGAAGTCAGCGCACTGTCAAGAAACGTAGACGAGCTTGACGCTGAGATCAGGGTCTTGAGGAACAAAGTTGGGGGTGTAGAGGAGAGATGGGAAGGGGTATATCGCAACGGCGTCGCATAAACATGCCATTAGATTATCGGAAACATCGCCCTGGGTATTTGAGCTGAACTGGACAAGTCAGCTGCTTGGTTGTATATATCGCATGGCATTGCATGGCGTTTGGAGTTTTGAATTGGGCGACACAGGAGTGTTACCCAGAACGGCACATAAAGTCTGCCCCAGTCTCTCATCACATAACTTATATTCACCAAAGTGAAAAGCACGCCCTTCAATAAATACTCTTCATGTCATATGTTATACACCATTACTCGTCAAGAAAGCTACCTAGCCAACTATCTCCTCCCCTCTCCTCTTTTATGCTCACTCCTTCTCGTCCAAAAATAAAGGTATAAATAATCGTCCAATCTTCGGTTCTCGTAGACAAAACGATAATGTGACAAAAAGCTTGAAACAGTAATGGAGATATAAACAGAAAGGGGTGGAGCCCATGCCAGTAAGTAAGAAAACGCCCATCGTTCTAATTCACCACGAGCAGCGGTGCTTTTCGGGCTCAGCGGGTATCAAAAGCACCGTGTACAAATAAACACAGAATCGTACAGAAAGTGTAGTCGTTACAGTCTGCAATAAGCACAAACCGCTGTGTGCTGTGCAGTCGAAGAATCCAAGAAGAAGCGCTCAGCATCAGTGCACGACGCCTTCGACGCCGCCGAGGAAGCGTCTCACACGGTTGATTTCGAGCTCCTCGTGTTCGCTTTCCACAGCTTTGAGTAGACCGTCAATAACAGCGTCCACCTCGTCTTCTTGAACTCCCGTGCACAGCGCCACCACACGACGGTACTTGACTTCAACATCGCGACTCCGTCCTTTTAGGGCGTGGACCATCTTTCGAGTCATATCGCGGCGTCCCTCGACGGCACGAATACGCGCACGGAGAACCGCTGCTGAAGGGAGGAGACCCTCACCACCAAAGCCGCCGCCCGAGGTATCATCAGCGGCTTCGAGCATAGCCGATAGCTCTGTTTCCCATGAAGATGAGGGGTTGGGCTGTGATGCTCTAGACTGTTCCTGCATAAGACGGACTTGCTCGTCTTCACGTGCGTGTGACAGATTGGCGACCTTTTGCCTAGCTAATTGTTGCTTCTTCAGTGTCGCGCTCAAATGCTCGAAAGTTCGTCGGGCTTCGCCCAGTTGTGTTGACGTAGTGCGGAGAGTGGTATGAAGAGTGTCGAGAGAAGCTTGTTTAGCCTTCATCTCAGTTTGGAAAGCGGAGCCTGTTTCTGATAATAGGTGAGAGATGGCTGTTCTTGTTAGCAATGAACCAGTGGATCCTCGAGTTGTGGTCAACTTACAGGCTACTATCTCATCACTGCTCTCACGGCTGCGTTGATTTGTCCCTGTCGCACCATTCTTATCCACACTGGCTTCGCCGTTCGTTTTGTCCTCAACATTCTCACTACCAATGCCAAAGTCAAGGGGGCGCAAACCAACACGGTTGGCGATGTTCGGATCGGCGCCGACCTCTAATAGTTGTGAAATGATACTGCGATTTCCGATTCGTGATGCAATGTTCAGGGCGGTGTCGCCAACGCTATCTTGAGCATTGACTATCTCACTCATGAAGCGAGCGATTCCCATTTTTGGGTGGCCCGACTGCGAGCCGCTGGGCCCATTCCCGTTGGTAGCCTGGCTGTTAGGTGCACTGCCCTGCCTTACAACCCACTCCAGAAGGCTTTCGAGGTAATATCGGCTTGCAGCGTTGCGTCCCTTGACAGCGCTCGTTACCGCAATATGATGAAGCACCGTCCGTCCCTTGTGGTCTCGTGCCTCTATGGTGCTTCCCAAAACCTCTAGGAGGTCAGGAAACGAGTTATGATCCTGTGAATTTGTGACTAAACATGCCCTCATCAGGGCTGTTTCGCCGGAAGCATTTACGCGGGACGGGGAAGCGCCAGCAGCGATGAGAGCACGGAGTAGAGGCATACGGGCGAGTGTAGCAGCCCAATGAAGAGCAGTATGGCTTTGCAAGTCGATAGGCATATCCAATTCCTTCGGGGTGTAACTTCGGAGCATATCGTGCTTTGTAGGATCGGTGCCAGGAGCTTCCAGAAACAAGCTCATCAACATGTTTCGCTTCATCTCAACCTCTGGTGACATCTCGTAAGGGAGAGGCGCCAGGGGCCCACTGCCCTCGTCCACCGGCGAGCCATCCTGCATAGTATTTTGGGTGTAGATAAAGGACTCGTTTGGTTCTGTTGGTGATCCAGGGAAGGCCGCTGCATACATATCCATATTTTGTCCGTATCCGCTAAAGCTATCGCCTGGCGTCATGGTCACTCGTTGACGTTTTCGGGGAGGCTCTGTCTCATTAATCTGAACTGAGTTGTTAATCTGTTGCGTCGAGTATGCTGAATCAACTTGTTGTCCATAATCAGAAGCAAAGCTCTGTTGAGAGTTGCTAGGGAAATCGTCTCCGTTCTGCATGGATGCTTGGCGGCTAAAGGAGGGCGCTCTCGAAGGGCCATTACGGCTTCGAGGGCCTGGTGAATCGAAGCGAGCTTTGCTGATGGCGGCGACGGCATGTGAAGCAGTAGTCGAGATATTCTTGAAAAATGTCCCACTTAGACCGTTAGGTCTTCCGTCCGTACTTTGATTATACAACCGTTTCCTCTGTGCGGCCATAGCTTGTTCCTTGGTTGGCGTATTAAAATCACCTCGACCAGCAACACCTCCATCCTGACCCATGTCGTAGGTCAAGAGTGGTCGCAAAAGCTCCTCGACTCCGTATTGACGGCAAACTTGGACACCTCGATCGAATTTTATCCAAGTACCTTGATACTTTCCATAACCGCCTTGAACCTTTTCATGCTCGCCCGTCTGGATTTCTTTCTCGAGAATCTTGGTGCGCTTCCCCTTATCTACTCCGGCAACTTTTAGGATCTGGGTCGCATTGAGCCATGAGTCGTTGCGACGGCGCATCACGGCGACATTGTTAACCTCCATCTCGTATACATCCACGCCAGAATATGATGCCTATATCAGACGATTGTTAGTAGAGGGAGAGTAGTGTAGTTCATGGGCATTGTATACCGAGTAGATGGTGGCTCCTTCAGAATCGCCATTGTAACCTCGGAAGGAGTTACCCACACCAGAATGCGATTGTTGGCTCATGCTGAATGACTGTTGAGATGATTGCGATGCTGACGGCATCTCGTATTAAAGGTGATTACTCGTAGCGTGATATTAATACGTTTTCAGTCGAGTGGATTTTTCGAGGTGGATTGATGAAAGGCGTAATAGCATCACAGCACCAATGAGTACCACAAGAACGAGTCGAACGGGTATGTACAATCGGTAGGGAGACGCGCAAAGTTTGAAACAAGAGGTCGAAGTGGCAGGCCAGTATGATAGGATACAGTATTTCAAAAGTGCCGTACGAGGCTAAAGGCAGTTATCCGGGATCGCCCATGCGCTTCGTCGTCGAGTTTCTGTCGTTTTGTGCGCTTAAAAACTGGGTGGTTGCAGAATGAAGATGGAGTTGAGACGAAATGAGTAGCTCGAGATAGTGCAGTGGGCGGGCCAGGGCGGAGTTGTGCAAGTGATTGGAAGTGAGTTGCAGGTGAACCAGCCCAGGGTCTCAGGTACCTGGAAGATGCCCCAGAGACGAGCGGGGAGTGTGCTGAGAACCAATGCTTTAGCGGGTTTTGCGTAATGAGCCGCCTGTAGCTCAGTTGGTCCGGTGAAGACCTCCACTGTAGCTGCTTTCAATTAAACTCGTGTAAGAGAGCGAGGTGAGGATGAAAGCAGAGAAGAGATGAAGATTGCAGGTGTGATTGCAGAGCAAAGTTGCCCAGAAGATGCTAATGCAGGTTACTTCTGCATCTGATAAAGAGGGATAAATTGGCTTCGGTGGAGGCAATTAATGTACCATCGTCAACGGTACTAAGCTTATGCACGTCAAAGTGACTTGTTAGTTTGTGCTCACTTGCAGCAAATTCCCGATCCCTCGGCTGACGAGCGTGAACGGGAAGAGAAAAAAGATGCGTTCAATTAATCGAGACGTGTCCGTTTCGTGCTCGGTCGCGCCCTTGGACGTGTCTCGCGCGTAAAGCGCGTAAAGGCCGTGAACGCACGAGCCAAGCCTCGCGAAGTTTGAGGTACTCATCTTGAGGCCCGCTAACATTGTAACTTGGCCTGCTGCAGTGACCATGCCTTTGTTGTTTCCGAGCAGGCCATTGGATGGATCAAAATTGTGCAAGTAACACGAAGCTCAGGGCCATTTATTCTCAGGCCACGCGCGGATTCTCGAGGCCACTAATGCAACCACTTGTTGATGGCCGTCATAACTTGGCCTCTCTTTGTTTTATGCATAGCACAACAGGTACTCCCTTGAATGTGAAATGCATAGATCTCCAGCTACATTCGCACTGTTGAAACACAGTTATACAATGCCATCAATGACGTGGGGTGCATTTTGCAAGCTCTTATTGTTCCAGCACAAGTATCTCCAGGCGACTTCTCACCCCTGCCATCATGATGGTTCACTGATATGACTGAGACACATCACCTTCTGCCTCCAGTCCATGACTTTGGAGTAAATCAGATAGTTGCAGATATATCAGATCCAGTTCACTGTTCCTTTCTATCTGCTATAATTGTTCGTGCTCTTGAGCACCTGAACCCACTGCCCGAAGATCTACCGTAGAAATGAAAATTATACCATTGTAGACATTTGAATGCTTCGAGATCCTTTTCAATATGCAATCTTGAGCATTTGTAATTGCCAATTAAAACTCTTTCACAGGCCTTTAGCCTCTCCTCCACTCTCTTTGTCCCTTATACAGTCGCCATAATGCCTCGTCCTCATTCCACAATTCCCGCCCATCTCCCTCCTCTTCACCTTTATCGACACATCCTTCGCGAAACATCATATCTCCCTCCAGCAATACGTCCAGAGGTTACGCACCGCATTCGCACACGATTTCGAAGCCATCGAAAATATGATCGTCTCCAAAACAAGCACCGTGCCAGTGCGGCCAATCTTCTGCGCAGATTAAGAGCAGCAAACAGTGGCAAGCAATCGCGGATGTCAGACTTAATAATGGACGCATTTGGCAGAACAGGGGCCCGAAGACGAAGGCTACTTTCGAACTATATACAAACCGAACCTCCCAGCAACTCGGATGCTTTGGAAGCCTTGATCCAAGGAGTTGAAGCGGATAAGAAACCTCCAGAAACGACCGAGCCTAAAGGAACTAAATTGCAACATGAACCAGCCGAAACAGTGATAGAAAGTCAACCCTCTACGAATTCTCCGGAGGACACTAGCGATACGCCAAGCAATGGAGAAGAAACAATACCAAAAGCGCCCCTAGTAAGAAAAGGACCAAACCCTCTTCAGCCAGCATTCTATGAGAAATGGAATACCGAGAAACTCCGAAAGCTCCTCCGCAGTCAGAGGGAGTTGCAGAATTCAGCAAGACTATCTTGGCCTAAAACCGATATCAAGAGTCTTAATCCCGACCAAGCGGTTCCTCCCCAAACCATCTGGGGAAAGCCAACACCCCAAAATATATATCAAGCCAAGCGAGCAAGCTTCTGGAAGCGCATTTCTTCCAAAGCGATGCCACCGCTTGGAAAAGATGAATGGGATCTTCTTGGCCGTCTCAGCAGTGGCGCTCAACAGGAAGATCAGTGGAAGGTCCCAGAAAGACGGCCTGCTGCGAAGCCCTCACGTGGTGCTACTACTAAGCCTGATGCCTGGGATTGGGAGGGATATGCTTCTCGGCCGGCCTACCAGGTTGAGCGTCAGAGTCCGCTATCCGTTTATGCTTTGGTTGGACGGGATAAGGAAAAGCATCCATATCAGCCAAAGTTCGACCATCAGGAATTGTCGCCCAGGTGGTTTAAGCGTGCTTATCAACGAGTCTGGCATTTCACCCCGAAGATGGACCCAAATTCAAAGCCAGGCAGGCCCAAGTTCATATGGGGTGCTTTGACTAATCCTGCGGTTCCTCCTACAAAAGCGCAACTCGCTATCTTCGAGGGCGTCAATAGCAAGGGTGAAGAGTCAAAACCCTTCTCCCAGACTCAAAAGGCGCCAGAGTCACGATCAAAGACTGCGATCAAACCTCTCAGAACGCCGAAATCATAGACATCACATTTCATACGGCCTCCGTGCTCATGAACGTTGAACTTGTTTTCTTTTCCATTGGGTCTATCAATCCGTCAAATTGGCCAGCTTGTTCAGGCCCTCGCCATCTACTCGCATACCGACCCAGTCGTTCATAGCGTATGCACCAAGGCTCTCGTAGAATTTGATGCTGGGCTCGTTCCACTTGAGCACTACCCAATCGAGTCGAGCACCATCAATGGCAAGGACTTGCTTAGCCAGAGTGCTCAACAACTTCTTGCCGTATCCCTTGCCACGCGCCGATTCTCGCACGTACAGGTCCTCTAAGTAGATACCTGCACGCGAGCGCCATGTGCTGTAGTTGTAGAAGTACAATGCCATGCCGGCGGCTTCACCTTCGGGAGTAAAGAGGAGAAGGCATCGAGCGGGCTTCGTTGGTGAGATAGGCTCCGTGGCTGGGATAACGGAGGCGTCGATGTTAGGGGAGTCCGAGGGTGCGAACGCGACTGTGGCCTGAATGCTTTCAACGGTCGCCTTGTTGGCATCAGGCTCCTTCTCGTAATCGGCGAGCTCCTGGATGAGCTGCAGAATTATGGGAGCGTCTGCAGAGAGCTTAAGTTAGCGCCATGGCGACTCTCTAGAAGCATGTTGGAGCTTACCCTCCCTTCGGGCATGTCGAATTGTGGCCATTGTAAACGTATGGTAGGTGATGACTGTACAGAAACTTCAAGATACCCTCTATGAGAATTGTATTTATACTTCAATCAACCAGAAGAGCTAAAAACAGTAGAAAGTTTGGTTGACTTGGGCGCAGTTGACGCCTTGTTAGTGGGGTTTTGTTTTACGTGAAGGGCGTGTGTATGGAGGGGCAGTAGTAGAAGCTGGGCGGAATTGGGTTTAGCGAAGGATCCCACCCGTTGGTGTAAGTCAATCTTCTATCCACCTGCATCCTTTATTACCACTCTGTAGAGGCACAAAGTGAACATCGTTAAAGAGTTTTCTTTTTTTTTTTTTCATGGATAGTTACAGGAACTGCTCTTGAATTCCAGAGTTGTGAAATTAACCTGACCGCATTGTCTACGGCCAGCGTCTAATCCGATGTGATGCACTACAGAGGGGGGTCACGAAGAATTAAAAGCAATACCGCCGAGCCTCCATGTTCCCCAGAGGCAGTGTTGACTTGTACATGAATGCATCGAAATGGAGGACTTTATCCCTGAGGACCAATCGATCAGAAGCGGCTCAGAGTCAGATTCAAAACAGAATCACCAACGGGATAGCACAGGTAATGAACAAACAGTACGCTAGAAAGCTCTTTGGATCATTCGTGATTCATCAACATTACGCAAAATAATTACTCAGGGTATGTATCCAACTTTTGTGTACCAGCCACATGTACAACTCTATCTACAGCAGATATCTGTATGTCGGCGCATTATCGCCCAGCTCGGCCTTCTCCTCGTTGGTGAGTTCGGTCTGTGGTGGGTTCGCATCTCTCTTCTTGTTCTCGTATAGGATCACGGCAGCGTATGAAAGACAGGCGATGATCGACAGGATGGTGAATGCAATGCAGATGGAGTAACCCGGGATGAACTTCGGTGCATCCTTGGCCAAGAAGGAATACACGGCGATAATACCACCAATGTTTCCGAAACCAACCTGCCATGCGCTGCCAATGCTTCGTCTCCTGTGGCCTCCGAGGTTCATGTTGAACCAGCAAACAATGATGGGCATAGCAGTGTATGCGCCCATGGTGACGAGGAATAGAGCACCATACTGAACAGAATGGTTGTTGTGGACGGAGAGGAGTATTGCAAAACCGGCGATGGCGACGAGGATGGCGAAAATAGCAAACGAGGCTCGGTGTCGAAGCTTGTCTGACGCAAATGCGATAGCAAGCGAGAAGCCAAAAGCAGCAGCCCAAGGAGGAACGCTATAAAGTTGTGTCTGAATGGGACTGTATCCGTATGTCTTGATGATACCAGGCGCAAAGTAGGCATAGCCGTATGCGGGCACAATAAGACCGAAGTACATGAAGCCACCAATGATGATCTTGTAGTCCTTGAGCACGTTGAGCGCATCGGCAAAGGTCGTCTTGCGCTCGGCGCCGGCGTGACCCTGGTCAATGCGTAGTCTTGCTGTGACGTAGTTCTTCTCTTCGCTGGTGAGCCACTTGGCCTGCTCAGGGAAATCGGGGAGCAGGAAATAGAAGAAGAAGCTAACGAGAACGGTAAGACCACCCTCAAGGATAAAGATCCAGCGCCAACCGGCGTAGCCACGCATACCGCTCATCTTACCGATGGCTGCAGCGAGAAGACCACCGAATGCGCCGGCGAGAGTGGTGCTGTTGAAGAAGAAAGAGTAGCGGCGCTGAGCTTCGTGTCGGCGATACCACATGCCGATCAAGTAGAAGGCTGCGTTTGGTGTAAGTCATATGTGCTATACCACAATACACTAGATCAACTTACCACCAGGGAACATGCCCGTCTCAAAAAGACCCAGGAAGAAGCGAGTCGCAATAAGACCGCTGTAGTTCTGGACCAGACCCTGGAGGAGGGTGGTAAGGCCGAAGAGGAACATGTTGAGACTGAGCCAGACATGGGGCTTAAAGCGCTTGAGAAGAATGTTGGAGGGGATCTCAAAGAGGACGTATGGCACGAAGAAGACGACGAGGGCGGTATTGTATTCTGTCTTTTCGAGGCCGAGTTCTTCAGAAAGGCCAAAAACGTCGGCATTAGCGATGTTTACACGATCTGTAAGTCATGGTATTAGCCGGTTATTTGCGATGCGACGCAACACATTGTGAGTATACGAACCCAGGAAAGCAAGCAAGTACATGATACACAAGAAAGGAATGACATGGAGATCAATCTTGGTCATGAGCTTGTTGTCAGTGGTACTCGACGGGCAAACCACCGTGGCGTCGTCTGTGTGAACGGCATCGCGAACGTTGGAGCGCTCAGGGTCGAGGGAAACGGGCGACTCGTTGCCTTCATCTTTTTCTGTGTGGTTGAGAGCCATTTCTGCTATCCGATGGCTTCTAGCAATTGTATACTGAGTTTGTGTGAAGACAACGCGGAGGAGAAGGAGAAAATTAGAGTGCTCTGCAGATCTTCCAACGTGGAAATGAGTTGCGGGCCGGCACCTATAAAGAAAGTTGAATGTCTCGGAGCATGTCCGCCTTTTTAAACCCTGGGTAGCACGACGAGTCACACCCTCTTCTCTCGGACAAGCTACCTAAGGTAATTTATCGCCATACCCAGCCAGTCAAGACGATCAAATTGTCAATCCTACAGTGGATCGTTGCATTGCAATGGGAAAGGGCCAGCCGAGGTCGGGGTAACGAGTTGCAAGGAGGACGATGCCTATCATGACGCTTAACCAGAGCAGATCCACAGACTCCATGCGGATGGGGGTTAGATCACCCCGCAGGGAACAAGGAGTTCGCCGGGCCCGGGCCATTTAACAGGCTAGACATGCTCTTGATTTACGGCCGAGTTGCGGAGCGAAAAGTCTAATGGATTGTTCGTTAATCCCGACTGTGGAGGAGCAAATGGACCGATGTCGCTTGTACATTCCAATATCGGAGATAATTCATCTTGATTGACAAATGTACGTTATCAATTGCTTTCATCTGAATATCCGTGATTCATATAAAGAGAAGAATGCTCCGGCTCTGATGTGAAGTTGAAAAACTTGGCTCTGATACGCCACAGCCGAGGAGCCGTCCTTGATGGTGGCGGCTCTGCAGTCTTGGTTGGAGAACAGGGGGCCCCATTGCAGTTACGGTACTGGAAAGTTACAACGCCTGTCACGAAACTCTGTTTGAATAATCAGTCGAGTCTTCACATTTCGGCTCTGGCGATTCCTTTGCTCACGTCTCAGTGGTGCTTTACCAACAAGATCTGGATGAAGCCTCAGAATGCAGATAGAGTATCAATGCAGGACAAAAGGACCAACAGCAAGCCACAATATGCAACTTTGTTTTGTAATCCCATCTGCTACTGTAATCAGAAACTGAAAAAGGAAGCTCATTGTTTCCCCTCACGGACCAAACCCCACGGGGAAGTCCACGAGGCAGGACCTCGGAAATATGGCCAGCGAATGGCAACTCTTTCCATCACTCCTTCGTACTGTGCTAAGCTGCTTGCGATCTTGAGTTTATTCCCTGCTTTAGGGTTTTGACGGAGGTGTTCCGCCTTTTTCTCCGCATCGTATTAATTGATGGCTTCCCGCTATTGGGGATCCGGAACGTTGCTCCCGGACAAGGAGAAGGGCTTGAAAGTGGAACAGTTGTTTCTGTGAGATTGTGATATCTTGACCTCCATCGTAACTTTGCAAATTGTTCTGTCCCTGTCCAAGTATTGAAACTTGGATTCAACCCTACCACGGCAGCTCTCAAGACTTTGTCCGCGGAAAGTCCGTCACATACCATAAACCAAAATTGGCAGTGATCTCCTATTTCCCTGTTAGAACAAACTCTAGAGCTACCACTCGGTATTGTAACAGAACAATAGACGTATTTTCTTGTCAATTGCTGTCGTTTATTTTTGGAGTTTGCTCATTGAACAACGTCGTGGCCTATTGGTCCGGAGTTGAGCATTCCCCCACTGAAGGTCACCGGAGTTGATGGGCCCACTACAGCTATGTCCGGCCTCAACTCCGGCAGGGATGACGAAAGAGTAGGGTAGGCACCGGAAAACAGCTTCACTTGCCTCCAGTGAATAAAACATATATAATTCTTTCTTTCGCAACAAAGTTTAGATATTTTAAGAACCTAGAATAGACACTTCAAGATTGATTCATCTTAGAAACGGAAAACCACCTGAACAAGCAATACTTAAACAAAGGATCATGGTATCAGGACACAACGATTACGGCCACGGCTATGCCGCTACCGAAGTGAGGCATCACGAATGGCGAACCGCCGAGAACAGCAGCCCCCATCTTATCCCAAAGCTGCAGGCCATTGTCAAAGAGAACCCAAAGATTAATCTCCTCGACGTGGGTGCTGGCTCTGGCACGATTTCTGCATCTTTGGCAAAGTACATGCCTGATGGTGAAATTACTGCCACCGACATATCCGATGAGATCCTTGTTCGAGCCAAGGAGTATGCCGATTCTCAGGGCGTCTCCAACATCAAGTTTCAGCAAGCCAACGTGTTCAAGTTACCTTTCCCAGACGCGGCATTTGATGTCACCCATGCGCATCAGGTCCTCTGTCATTTGGATGCACCGGTAGATGCCATCCGGGAAATGCTCCGAGTCACTAAACCAGGGGGCACACTTTCTCTGCGTGAGAGTGACATGCACATGTGGTGCATCTGGCCTGAACTTCCAGCCCTCCTCAAGTTTCATGAGCTTCAGGTCAAGAACATTGCCGGCAAGGGAGGACAAGACAAGGGAGGCCGTCAACTTCTTTCATGGGCCTTGAAAGCTGGGGTCCTCCGTCAAGACATTACCTTGAGCTTCGGGACGTGGTGCTATAGTGCACCCGGGGACAAGAAAGCATGGGGTAAGTCAGAAATCAGTCAACATACTGAACAATTACACTAACGCGTTACAGGATCAGCCATGAAGGATCGCTCACTGACTGGCTTCGCGCGCGACAAGGCTATCGAGATGGGTAATGCGACTGGTGATGAGTTGGATGAGATGGCAAAAGCATGGGAGGAGTGGATTGAGACGGATGATGCTTCGCTTGGTATCATGAATGGTGAAGCATTGATCACCAAGAGATAGAAGAAGAAGACGGATTGAAGACCTGATGGCAATTATAGAATTAAAAGTCATTGACTGGATGAACAAGCACCATTTTAGAACACCAAATCCCTGACCATAGCCCTTTTCTCTATTCCTGGACTGCCAACGTGAAATCTCAGTACTTGCAATTACAATATCAGTCTTGCACATTTTTCGAGTCCTTTCTTCCCAACAGAATTGGCGATCTTGCACATAGGTGCCCACGCTCCAAGAATTGCCGTGACGCCAGTGCAAAGGATCATCGGACCATATTTGGTCGCATACCCAAGGCTATCACCACTCGCCAACGAACTTCCTGCTGAGATGAGCGCACCACTGAGAGGCCCGGCAACAATGAAGCCTAGACCACGGCCTCCAAGTAGCATACCGAATACCAAGGATGTATCGATTGATTCATTTGTCCCCTTGACTTCTTGCAGAGCTCCTGACCATGTCGCACTGAACCCTCCGGCAAAGAAGCCGTAGAGAATCACAAAGACCACCATCGTGCTGATATGACGATCCAAACCCCACAGGAGGAACACTGGAAGTGCACTTCCCAAAGAGGAGACAAGGATGACTTTGGCACCAGACATCTTGTCGCCTAACATTCCATGGATAAGAGATCCAGGCACGGAGGCAAGCGAAAAGAGCGCCAGCAAGATCGGTCCTGTGACAGATGAAAGTCCAATTGCTGTGGCATAACTAGCCAAGTAAGTGCTTGGCATCAGATATCCCAATGACTGTACAATAATGCCGAACTGAAGCATCCAGAATGAAGCATATCCAAAGAAAGCAAAGCTGATAGGACGCGGCCTTGAATCACGACTGACTTCAACTCGAGGCTTCAGAAAGAAGAGCGTTGGTAAAGTCATAACAACTGATGCCACTGCCCAAGACAGTAAGGTTGCTTTGAGCCCGAATCGCTGGAGTAAGATGTTGAAGAGGAACGGCATAGCGACACCAACACTTGATTTTCCAGCCCACATAACTCCGTAGGCAAAACCTTTTCGTTTGACAAACCATTCGTCCATGTAGAGTGAAATTGGACTGAAAAGCAAGCTACACCCAATAGCGTAAAGAACACCCTGGGTAGCGATGAGGCCAGCAACGTTACCGACGAAAGCTGAAGTTATTAAGCTGATTATGGTGATAGCTAGGCCAAGAGGACCGCACCACTTCCGAAGACGGGGGAAGCGATTTAGAGCGATGAAGGCCAGAGGCATCATGAGATACATGATTCCTGTCTGAGATGCGCCAATGGACGCGATAGCGCTTGGGGAGGCCTTGAGGCTGGTATGAGCGGTGTAGTACTCTTGAAAGATTCCAAATGAAACCGAGTAACCTAAGGGCAAGTCAGATGTGGTTCTAATGGCTGGAAGGTCGGATACTGACCCCATATAGGCGCTTGGGCAATTGTACAGCAAGCCAGGGCTGTATAAGCCCCTCGACCTCGATCTGTTGGTGGAAGCGCATCGATAGATGAAAGTTCTGCCTCACCCTCGTCAGTAGGGCGAATACTCGCCAACTCAAGAGAAGTTATAGTGGTCATGATTAATTTGTATATTCATTGAAGACGATTGAAATCTCTGCCAAGCCTTACGATATATATATATATATATAATACAAGAGAGAAAAATGAGTCAATTCCTTAGATCTCGGTGAAGAGACTTCTTTCCTCTTTGGGAAGCTCAAGTGTATTTATAGCAGATGAAGTCATGGTTCAACGTGACTATGCCCAGTCTAGCCAATTGGACTCACGATGGTTCCGACATCGCAACTTTGGATCGATTTGTGATAAGGGGAATAACTTCGTTTTCTTCATGTTGAAAAGTGGCATGGTTTTGGAGGAAAGAAAGAAGGACTTGGTTGGAATGACATGATCAGACATGAGTTTCCAGGAGGTCTAGGGCTCTTGTAAATTTCAAACGATATCTCCAAAAAATCGACAACATTTCTGGATTTCAGTGCTTGAAATTGGTTACTGATAAACTATATAGCTATCTTTTCTGCAAGTGAAACATGAAAATGATGGTTTTGTAAGATAGGAGATCTAAACAGTCTTGCCCTGGCTCATGTCAAGTTCCCATGCAAGTATCATTTTGTGTTATTCCCTAGTTAGATTATATGGCAGCGGAATTGGAGGGTGTGTTGCGATTATGGTAGGATACAATTGATCAATTTTGCGCTGTGAATACTTCCTTAAACTTCAATACACTTCAACAGTGCCGGACACACGCTCCCAGCCTCACAAACATCACCTACAGATACATATAACTCTCTCCAGCATGCTCTTATAAAGCACCCAGCAGCTTTTGTTCCTAATCCCCAGCTTTAAAACCCACCATTAGGGTGGATAAGAACTTTCGTATATCCGTCAATTCGCTTGTCAAACTTCTCATAGGCCACTTCAGCTTCTTCAATATTGATCTCATGCGAGACAACAAAGCTGGGCTTAGCTCGACCAGAAATAATGAGATCTCGGAGATATCTATTGTAAGACTTGACATTGCATTGTCCGGTGCCGATAGTAAGTCCCTAATTCAATCTTAAAATCTCCTTCAATTAGCGAGACAGTATAGGGAATCATACCTTTTCAAATAGCTTGCCGAAGCTGAGGCTGATCATACCCTTCGCTGAAGCCTCATCAGAAGCACCAGGATCACTAGGGACGTAAAGACCAGGAATTCCCAGACCACCACATGCTCTAGTCACCCGAATCATATTTTCCAACACAATATTGGGCTGCTCAGTATCACCGCTCTTGCTGACAGCCTGGTAGCCGACAGCATCAACAGATCGATCAACCTCTTCCCCATCGTTAGCCTTGATAATCATGTCAACAGCATCTCCCTTTGAGAAGTCAATTGGTGTGCAGCCAATCTTCTCGGCGGCTTGAAGACGCTCGGGAACCCGGTCAACGACGAATACTCGGGATGCGCCACGGAGAACAGCGGAGTAAGCGGCCATGAGACCGACGGGGCCGGCACCAAAGACGGCGACGCTCTCGCCTGATCGGAAACCAGAAATTTCAACGCCGTGCCATCCAGTGGGGAAGATATCTGCGCAAGCTCAATAAAAGATACAAGAGATAGAAAGTGGATATGCTCACCGGCCAGAAGAATAAAATCAGCCTCATGCTCCTTACCAGCAGGGAGCTTGAGGGCGTTGAAGTCTGCATAGGGAACGCGGATATACTGAGCCTGGCCTCCTCGATAAGGACCCATGGCGACATAGCCATAAGCGCCTCCGGCAAATCCGGGGTTGACGCCAGTGCAGAAAGCAGTTCTGCCCTCTTCACAGTTACGACATCGGCCATCAGCGACGTTGAAGGGCATGACGACTCGGTCTCCTTTCTTTAGCAGCGTGACACCTTCACCAAGCTGTTCTACAATACCCATGTTCTCATGACCTGGGATGTTAGCAAGGAGATGGATGATGTAAGAATAGTAATCGTACCAAAGGTAATGCCGGGTTCTGCTGCTGTTCGGCCTTCATACATGCTATAATTTGTAAGTATAACTTTTTGTTTACATATTGTTCTCCTTACTGTAAGTCTGAACCACAGATAGCAGCCTGAACAATTATTAGCCCTTGCGATATATATACAGAGAGATTTGGAAATCTTACAGTCGTAACCTTGACAATAACGTCGTCAGGATGCTCCAGCTTAGGGAGTTCGATATCCTGGACCTTGACCTTGTAGGGGCCTTGGTAGTTGACAGCCTTCATAGTTTGCGAAGTCATGATGAATAGTGATGCGAGTGTATATGGCAACTCTAGAGTATCGAAGAAGAAAGATGAATAGTATTTAAGTTTAAATACATGATTATTTATACCCCGCGTTTCCAAGCATCACAGCCACGTTCTCTTGCCATGATTACCCCAGGCCGGGACTTGCTCGGGATTCTTACCGTCATCGTCTAACGTTTGTTGCCTCTTCGAGATACCTCAATGGTAGGTTGATGCGGGGAAGCCAAGCCAGAATAACCTACCATTCTCGTCAATCTGAGGTAGAAAACGGCCCCACTCCTTGGGTGGGATACATCATATCCGTACCCCATTGTTGAGGTTAATAAGCTGCGAGTTCAGATGGTCTGGTATGAGCCCTTGAGTGGTATCACTTTGCGAATGAAGCATCACTTTTGGCGAATCTCAGCCCATTTATAATAAACCACTTTGCTCTCCCTGTTCAAAGAATGCTTCTCGGGTACTCCCACTCAAAAGGTGGATGTAAGAGCGAGTAGTGGGGAGGACACCAGTCGGCGGAAATGGCCTAATCAAGCGACTCAGAATGTTGACTTTACCAACGACCAAATAAGGAAGATCTCCCCGCGGAGCACCCAACTACATGGTTTTCGAGAGAGAGGGAGAGAATAGCTTTTGGTGTTCGGAAAGAAGACCAGAAAATAGTAAACCACTACAGATACTAAGTCCCCAGAAGTAGGTTCGCTCCCTTTTATACCTGACATGGCCCGTATCCATAGCATTGGTATCTCCCTCGTAATGAGGGAGGGTGATGCTGAGATTGCGAATAGTCTAACACAATGCGATGATAGAACAGCCTTTCCATGCCAGGCTTGTATAGCAGAAGGAAATAAAAGAAATGTGACAATATGGGAAAACAACCTACAGAAAGCATGACGATTAAAATTTTAATTTTTCTGGTTCTAATCCATGTTTTGCCCATAATCTTGTTCTAGTTGGTACTCGATACACCACTTACACAAGGCCAATGATACATGCCGACAGAGTGATACGAAACACCCCTTCAACGGGTTGCTGGGCCTGGCAAATGGCTGAGATTGATTAGGACTTGTCTCATACCTACTTCGCTGGATGAGAAAATTGTTCACCTTGACCAGTGGGTCGGCCCAGCAGGGTAGAATTCTGGAAACTGGGTGTAAATCGAGACAAGATCACAAGTCAATAACGTCGAGTTCTTTTTTCGCATTGTAAATGGTGTAAGTCACATGGCGCTGGACACCTGTGGCGATTGAGAAACCCGAATTAATTAAATCGCAGTGAGTTGTGAGACACCCATACTTCAACAACATGCAGCCACCTGCAGGTAATGCCGCCATAAAATCGTATAAAGATGGCGCTTTATGATAGAGGTCAAGAGGCTTCTAGAAACTCGAAGACAAAAGCGACAGCAACGTTACGCAAAAGATTGCAGCGAAGACAGGGCACAGCAGGTATGGCTTTCATTGAATGGCGTTCCGGCGTTGGACGACTCCCTTGGATGTCTCACCACCATGCGATCTCCCATCACGACCACACCGCTTTACATTGTTTGCAACACGAAATATTCGATATCGCTAATTAATCATACGTGGTATTGCCACAATTCTTTACTGACAACGAATGTTATTGGGACCGCTCATGGGCTGCATTGAGAGACGACATCGCTGTGTCAACGGCTGAAGGTCACGAGAATCACACAATTTGAGATCATTAACATGTCTAATTGCGATGCAATTATTTCATTGATTGTCTAAAATGGCTGCTATGGCAGCTTTTCCCGTATTCCTCAATCCAATTAATGCTATTAGTCTAATGAATGTCATGGAGATCGTAGATCATATCCGTCCGTCGTTACGGCGTAGTCGTGGATGAAGAGTGGTATCCCAAAAAGCCAAATCCAACTCCAAAAGCTTGCGCTTAAAAGGTATTAAAAGATGTTATCATGAATCGCGAATGAACAACAAGGGTCGTAAGAATATTGCCCCCTACAGGACAGCCTGCATCTCAAGGACAGGAACCTTGAGTTGCTTCTGCTGGCAAGTTACCCGACGGTTGGAGTAGGCCTTGTCACCGCCGGCCTTGTAGTGGGCGTTCTTCCAGGTCTTCTCGGTGCACTTGGGAGTGAAGGTTGTGTTACCCTTGGCTTCGTACCAACCGCCCTCCTTGACGCAGGACCAGTGCTGGAAGATGGAGATGACGCCGGACTTGCGGTTGTACTTGAATGAAGCAGAGTCGCCCTCGAAGGGAACATCACAGTTGTAGTCGGTGTTACCAGTGAAGAAGTCCTTCTTGGCGTCTGTGGACTTGGCTGAGCACTTACCCTCATAACCGACGCCGCGGTTCTGAAGGGTGAAGGTAACGGTGGCAGAGTTTGTCTGCTTTGTGGGGGTGTTATGGGTGTAGACGGCTTCGTACTTGAAGTCCTTGACGGTCCATTCAGTGACCTTGCTGCCCTTGTCCATACAAGTCTCTCGCTTGGTGAGAGTCTGAGGGAGGGCCAGGGCGGAGGTAGCGAGGCAGAGAAGAGTGAAGAATTGCATGTTGGCGATTATTGAGAGGCTACTGAAAAAGTAGTATGAGTTGAGGGAGGATGGAGGAAGATTTATGACTGATTATAAGTCGAGTAGTGAGGAGGTTGGCCTGCGAAAGAGACTAGACTGCGGGGTGATGAGGATGATCTTTGTCTGTGATGGGAGATGATGATCTTTTGGAGTTGAAGTCAATTGATGATCCTTTAACGTCAAATACGCGAGCGGACAAGGCCTTCTTTATACTTCAACCTAACTCACTCGGTTGCCAGTGAATTATGCATATCCGTGACTCAGATAGGACCGAATTCACTACATTCTCAGCACAAGCGTTGAGAATGATGGAGAATATGTCAAGTGACGTACCACAACCACAACTCACTCGCATCGCTCACACTCACCCCTGCTGGGATCTCGTATTCCCGCCGTGGGGCCATGTCTTCAGCTCGGCAGTCCGGTACGGTTTTGTGCATGCACGGCGGGCCTAAAATAGTAGCTAAGGTAACTAACAAGGTCCAGAACCTTTGTCTACAAGGTGATACTATTGCTTTCCCTTGTGCTGTTATTGATTCTTGATTTGAGATATTAGGGGCACGTTGTATTAATCTTGATGGTCTATGCTACCTTGACGGATGATGCGGGACGGAAAATATAATGCGTTAACGGTTGTAGGTCCTGGAGGCTAGGAATGCCATAATCTGTAGCGGATTGCCCCAAAGAATCACAAGCTTCCACTGAATGCCTGCCAGGGTCTTCTGTAAGTCAGCGTTGAAGACCCGCTTACAGTGGAGGAGTCTAGGAACCAGGCCGTAGGTCCGCATGAAACATTGACGGGTGGTGGGCTTTTCTTTATGCTTCTTTGATCACGCTCAAGGCTTTTGCAGCTTTATTCAAGTTGAGCTTCTACAATGAGTTAGTTGGACCATCACCAGCCACCACAAGTATCGACGGCCGATGGGCTAACCGTCAAGCAGTTTCCGTGCCATCAAAGTTCAAGGGTGGCTGGCAGATGCACTAAGCTAACGCGAGAATCGGAAGATCACTAACATGATGGATCATGGTAACTTTCATCGCATGTCAAAGCTCTCATGAGGTAATTATGTTGGGAAAACTCTTCAAGCTTGGTCACTAAGTTGGTAAGAATAAAATAGTAACAAGATCAAATTGGGCACTTTTTCCAAGCTTGCAACGAATGATATCGCGTAACACGGTACACATTCACGATGTATGCATGCAAGTAAAAGCAAAAGGCATGATAACACGACAAGCAACAGCAACGAATCCTCGTGGCAAACTCACAAGTTATGTTGTGTGTATCTTGCCCTGGCAGATTATTAAGTCTCAAAGACTCAACTCAACCAGTACTTGTCAAAAGCGGGAAAAGCGGAAGAAACCTCGAAAGGCTGGACTGTGCCATGTCTAATTCTAGACCCAGGATCCATCCCCATCTCACCAATCTATGATCGACGAGTCCACCTCTCCGCATAAACGAGAGGAACAACGACGGTCATCGAATGTTTGAAAAGGCACGGTGAGAGGCACAGGCTGGACCCTGTTACAGTGACCGGCAGGTGGCTTTACCTCTCATTCACCGTACGCAACGTTTCTGTCAATAAGTTCCGGATATACACGTTTATTAAGCGTACCACAAACAATTTCCAATGACGGCTATCAGTTGACCCCAAGAGAGCGGTCTGCGGGCGATTGCCTCGTTGACATTTCACAGCGCTGTCCGATGGCATTGACCGCTAGAGATCTAGGCCTGTGGAACCCCAGAAGGCCTCGGCAGGGATCTTCCCTCAGCTCATGACTTGCATCACGCCCCGTCATGCATGGTGTTGCTAAACATATCGACGGGCAAACAATGTTATGTGGGCTTCTAACGTTTACGTGACATCGTTTTTTTCCCCTCTATTCTGCTCAATTGCCGTGTTTGTTCACATCTTGCGTGTTTTTGAGCATCTGCCTTGGACGGAGCCACGTTTATTGCATGTGCGACGGCCCGTATCGGTATCCTACCGGCCGCCGACGCCGGAGCCGATTGACGACGGGACATTTGTGATCCCGCTGTCGGAAGTCTGGGACTTTGTTTGTGATATGGTGCGTGGTTTTGTATGATGTCAAGTATTGATTGGTAGCGAAGAATGACGTCCATGGTCTAGGTACCGAATGGTCGCATGTTGAAGATCGAGGGTAAACCTTGCAGAAGGCGAGGACTTCGTTTCTGTGTGAAACCCTATTGTTTGGCTGCCTCCTTGATTGCTTTCTTCGTCTACGCCTTGTGCTTTGAGGAGACGTTTGGCAAGCACTTGAATAGCTCCCATTTGATCAAGAGCCAGCATCTAACCGAGTCTTGAAGTGGTGTATGTTTAAACAGGTTCGTATCCCAAGGCAAAAGTGCGGCTCTTTCGAGGATCACAGTGGCTTAAGCCACCGTCGGTGTCCAACAACACCCATCTGTACGATTTCGGACTTTTACTAACTGCGATGCTACGTTGAACCTTCGCGTCGTCATATACCTAGGCAAGTAACGGAAGGTTCCTCCCGTGTTCTCGAAGTCTTCCTGAATTGTCATAGGCGATTCACGAAGCGAGTGGCTTTAGAAGATGCTTAAGTACCATTTGCCTTGAAGCACATGAACCTCAACGGTGTGTAAGGGTTCTTTTTAATCTGTAACCATCTTATCGTAGTAAAGGCCCATGTAGTGACATCGCCTATTTGTTAAGAGGACAAACTTGTTCGGCAATCCTCCTCAAGTGACTACCGCGTACCTCTAGACTATGGACGAGAGTTAGACGTCGTGAAGATGATAAAATATGGGACCCAGGAAGTAACTTCGGCGTATTTGTGGCTTATAGTCATAGTTATCAGCTTTAATGTACTGCGAGAAGGAGTGAAATGAAACATGTTCTGATTCTAAGAGGCATGTGTATGAGATGAAAAGAGTTGCCCGAGTTGTTTCATTGCCGACCTCATAAAGTTTGCAGCTGGATATCTCTAATGGTAGTTCCTCAAACACCTTAAGGAAGACGCTTGCCTGAACGCGTAGCCTGACCAACTTCAGAGTTGGTAGTATCCTCGGCATATCTCTTATACGCAATGATGTATCGTTCATCAGCACTCCAGGTCTCCTTCACACTATCACGGTTGAGAATTGCATCATACCACTTCTTCCACCTCTTCCAAATCTCCCCATCTTTACCTTCTCCAGATTCCGGGATGCCATGGCCGCCCTCCTTGTAGTGATCAATTAGAAATAGACGTTTCGCCCATGGTGCTAAGCAAATATCCACCAGACTCAGAGTCGAGCCGAGAAACCATGGGCCTTCAGGGTTCATCTCCACAACGAGAGACTTGATGCGTCCTCTGAGTTCTTCTCTTGCCTCATCAAGGCTGAAAGGCTTGTCGGGAGTGTGCTGCATGAGCTTATACCACGCAGGAATGATGCGTGTGCTGATATGATCGATCCAAATACGACATCTTGCCCTCTCATATGGGTCGGTAGGAAGAAGGCGAGGCCCAAACTTAGACTCGTCCGTGAATGCCTCATCGAGATATTCACAAATGATGTTGCTCTCAAACAGAGGTTTCTGCACCTTGCCCTTCGGGTCAACGGGTACTGCAAGAGTAGGGACCAATCCACGGGGGTTCATGGCCATAAAGTGAGCCTCTTTCTTGTACGGATTGATCTCCACATATTGGTGAGGAATTTTCTTTTCGTGAATTGTGATCCAAGTGCGTTGGACGAAAGGACAGAACCAGCCTCCATAGAGCTTCAGCGGATGCTCTTCGGCATGCTGAGCAGCAAATTTGGCGGCTGCGCCAGTGGGTTCTGGGGGTAAAGAAGTGTCGACGTTTGTCATTGTGGATCTACTTCTAGTATTTAAGAAGTTTGTTTTTGTTGATGAAGTTGAAGGCAAAGCTCGCAAGAAATAAGATCGTTGCATGTCTAATGATGGTGATGGGCTGAGGGTAGTGAATGACGTCGAAGCAACTGTGGAGTTTATAATACGGAAATGGTTGGTAGACAACATTATATTCGATAATTACGCTGCACAGCCGTCATTAGAATCATGATATGTAGTTCTAGACCTCAAATTATTTACGATATCTCAACACTTAAGTATTCATATCGGTAAGAAATTATGTATTATAGTGGGAGTTACTGACCATGACTTCCATTCATTGAAGCCCACCCTGGAGCAGTTGAACTTAAGCATTATGACACATAATAAACAGTGCACAACGTTATTTGACACAGTCTTCTTATCGTTATCGTACCTATCGAGTAAACCAAGCCATTTATTCCGCCGACCATCACAAACTAAACCATAAAATGTCAGACTCAGGAACCTCGCGGTTCACACCGCAGAACAAAACCACAAATGAACGGCTCTCCACGCATACGGTCGGTCTCGTTGCTCTCTCCGATTTTCGCAAGCGACGCGCCGAAGTCCTTGAACAACAGGAGCGCGAATCTCGCGAAGCTGCGTTTTCAGGCACGTCCACTCCGGATGCTTCCTTGACAGGCACTCCTGACAACGCTGGCAGTGATACAGGAAGTGGCGCGCGACCATTGAAGAAGAAGAAAAAGAAGCAAGGGAAGAAGCTGTTGTCGTTTGACGATGAAGAGGGCGAGGATGAGGGACCATCGATAAAACCGACGAAGGCCAAGAACGCCGGCGCAGACGATGCCGAAGGTAATGAAGGCGAGGTCAAGACCAAGTTCAAGGCCAATGCTTCGGTGGGAATGGTGCCGAAAGCCATGACGAAAGCTGCATTGCGCAAGGAAGCCGCTGAACGAGACGCATTACGTCGCGAATTCTTGGCTATCCAAGCAGCGGTCAAAGCGACCGAGATTGCGCTACCTTTCGTATTCTACGACGGGACTAATATTCCCGGTGGAATCGTCCGATTGAAGAAGGGAGACTTCATATGGGTTTTCCTCGACAAGAGTCGCAAGGTCGGTGCCGATCTGGGCGTGGGTGAAAAGTCCAATGCTAGGAGGGAATGGGCTAGAGTTGGAGTGGATGATTTGATGCTTGTTCGCGGAACAGTCATTATACCTCACGTAAGTTTTCTCGCCGACCTCGCTATTTAACAACCTCTGATTGCCGTCTAGCATTATGACTTCTACTTCTTCGCCATGAACAAGACACCTGGTCCTGATGGCGAGCCTGTATTTAAGTACAGTGCGGAACCTCCTCGAAATCCCGAATCGATCGATGATGCCGAATCCAATGATCCTCTCGCCACACCCTCATCTAAAGCTGCTGCAGCAGAATCGCTCCCCGATATTAACACCCTCGAGGGCGCTGATGAAGATCCCACTCTCACCAAAGTCGTTGATAGGCGGTGGTACGAGAAGAACAAACATATCTTTCCTGCGAGCATGTGGCAGGAGTTTGACCCCGAGAAGGACTACGGGAAGGAGGTGAGGAAGGACGCTGGTGGTAATACGTTCTTCTTCTCGCGCTGAGATGGTGCTGCCGACTGTCACAAAACATCGAAGTTTGTTTGGAAATGGGTTGTGTCGGCTCGGGCGTTGGATATATCACGAGTGGATCACCTTTGAGATTTGGCTGAGAAGTCATAAAGACACTCGAAACGCGTGGAAGAAGCTTCAGCCGAAGAGCATCCAAACTCCCCAGCATGCGCCTGCAAGCACCCACCATCCAGGCCAGAAGAGCATGAGGAATACCAGGTTCCCGCTGCCGAGAATGAAGACGGCGAATTCGTACCAGAGCTTTTTGCGTAATCTCTGGACATTCTTGGAGTTCCATGCACTCGCAACGGCTTGTGTAGACATGTTGAAGCTATGAAAAGCGCTATACTTTGCTGCGATGAAGGCGTTTAGGGTCACGATCTTGCTCCCCTGGAGGACGGCGACGGACGCGCTGCTCGCAATGATGCAGGCATGGAGGCAAAGGAAGATGGAGATTGAACCGACGAGGCTCTGGAAGCGAAGGGCAATTTGTAGTGACGGAGCGATCAACCTGGTGATTTCGGAGCGGGGATGGGTCGAAACGTTCAGATCCACTTTGGAAGCGGTTAGAAGTGTAGCTTTGTCCATGATCTCGATCTGGGAATGGAGTCTCGATTAAGTACCGAAATGAACCAACGGTAGATCGAGGCTTGCAACAGCACAAGAATATCAGAGAAAAAACGAGAATGTCTATGACCAACCCCCACCATCTGTAGCATCAATTGACTCTTTGGTGTTTATATAAATTATCTTGAATTCCAACCCCCACTCTGCATCTCCATAGTATGCCCATCACCTCCCGCGTCTAACGGCAAGCCTGAGGCTTTTTACCGTCTAGAACGGTCACAAGCTTGAAACTCTACAATCACATTTCGCTTCTGCCAAACGTAACTTGCTGATATGAAGCCTCAGGCCCGCTTCAAGCCCCTCGTCCCGTGCAAAGTGAGCGGTTGAAGGGTTACAACGCGACGACCCACGGCGACACGTGGGGCCGCTGATTCGTTGCTCGGGAGACTCGTATTGACAATTGAATAGCGAGCGCGGGATGGCCTCGATGCCGGATCTAGATAGCGGGTGAGATCTTCAAGACCCTGAGTAAGGGACTTTGCTGCACGTGGGAGTAGAATGGTCTTTTGACGGAGTCAGAGTTCAACAAACATGGGAAAGTTAATGGTGTGGAATAGCATACCATAGGGTCTAAGGTAGGCTATTGTATGGAGTGCAGCGGGAGCCAAGCCCCAATGACAGACTCCACGTGGGAACCTGGCTGCCGTCGTTCGCTCGTTGAGGCCCGTTTGGCCGGACTATCAACTGATCGTCGACCGTTCCGGGTTTTAACGATCGGGGGATCGCCGAGACGGAGCATGGCATTTGTCAACCGTAGTCCGGCTTCGTAATATGGTAGGAATGCTTGGCTACGAATAATAGAGAATCGGCATGCTTTCAGAACAGGTCTAGCAATTCCCCGTCAATGGATTACTGGGCTGTTTGTTGCTGTGTAATTCATGGACAAGTCAATATTGTCTAGGTATGCCTAACTTCTTGCCCCCAAAACAGTGTGTCATGAAAGATGAACAGTTTCTGTTTCTGGTTTTATTTTGATTTCGGAGCTCGTATGAATCGCTTTGAGGCAGGTAGTTGAGTAATTTCGATTGATAGCATTTTTCTCATTTCGGTTTCTTCGTCCATCAGCCCTCCTGAGACGACAGTACTATTCTCTAGATGCTTAATTTACACGCTTGCCTTTTTCGCCTCCTTCAAATCGCTTCGAGCCTGAACCAGCTTCGACATCTCCTTTGCAGTCTCAGATTCAAGCCTAGAAAATCCCTTGATGACACCTTCTCGGTCGCCCGTGCCCATCTCTTGGCTCATTTTGAACTTTCCTCCCATATGCGTAATTTCAATTTCGATTCCAATGATGCTCTTCTTCAAAAGGTCGATGAATCGACCAGGCGCATCAGATACCTTCCAGTCCACAGGGTTATCACCACCAGTGAAACCCATAACATTAGTCTCGGCATGGCGGCTGAGATCCGAAATTTGTTTTGAAAGAAACTGTCCAGCCTCATCAGACTTGGTATCATAGAAGATCTTGGCGCGGCCATAGACTTGTGCAGCAGCGTAGTTCCATGTTGGAACGACTTTTCCAGTCGTAGGCTTGGTTTCTGTGTAGAACTTTGGCGTGACGTAGTGTTGAATAGGAGAGTTGAAAATGACGATAACGTCTTGCTCGATTACATTATTCAACTGTGGATTTTCGGTAAGGTTCTCGATCATGGCTTTGCTTTGAGGGTTAACTCTGGCGAGATGACCTCGAAGCTTTCCCAACTCCGTCTCGCTTGTCTCATCTTCGATATCAAGAACGAAAGGAATATGGCTGGACTGAAGAAAGGGGAAGTTTGGGGAGGGAATGGCGGTGGTCAGAAGACCCAATGGGTTCTCTCGAATTAGCTTCCTGAGCACCGGAAGTTCGGGTTCGGCATGAGGCCCTTTGATATACATTTCTGTTGACCTTAGATATTTAGATATGAAGATAGTGAGTTTAGGAAGATGTTCGGTAGAGACAAGAATTTCAACTAAGGTTGATGTTGGTATTTATTGCAGGCAGTGACGAGTCATCTAATAATTATATATCACACAGAGGAACGCCTTGAACCAATTACAGTAGTCGTAATACCAATTCAGGGTACTGACTTGACTATCTCCTCGGAACTTCGTTCTAGTTAATGGCATGGAAGTCGATCATATGGAATCATAGCAACCCTGTATAGCTTAAATTGCCTTACTTTGCCCACAATCGTAATAGTCATGTGGGAACTCATCGGAATGGCGGCTTTTGTAGATGACTCTCACGAGTCCATTCCTATTTCGCATAATCTTAACGACTGGTTTGTCTTGACGTTTGAAGCTGAGCCACATACCACTAACAAAAGTGATGTTTAGTGGTAGTTAAACAAGCCTGGTCTTTAACAATTCTGTTATACAACCGCCAAAACTGCCGAGCCTTCACAGGCTGAAGTGTCGAACCATGGTTACAGCTGAACTTGGAAACCCAATTCTCTGATTGGTTACTGATGTGATCTTGGCTTTGGAATCATTCTCAAGTTTGCGGGGCTGCGGGGTTGAAGATGTCTGAATGGTTCGATGTTCAAAGCTGCGTTTTCGGGTTTACGACTCATCTAATCAGTTGGATTTTATTGCGTAACTATAAGTGATAGGCACCGTAAATATGGCTGGTTGAGGCAACAATAAGAAATCACCATTTTTACCCCTTTGGGAAGTTTCTAGCCGGCTGAGCAGTACCAACGTAGTTGAGATATAAGCTGACGATTGGAGAAAGACCTGTCCCATCGTGTGAGCTACAGCAAGACCAGCAAATATATAGAATCTTACTCATTCCTCTGTCATGTGTGTTGGTCATGCATTAGAAGGATCATAGTATGTACCTTTCTCTAGGATATATGGACTTGCATTACATAAACGGCACGTTCAACTATGCACGAGGTTCGTGATTCCAAATCTGAGGCCTGAGGGTAATAGCGAAGAAACTCACATACGAACACAACGACCTCGAATCCTAAAACTTACTTTATAGCTTGGAATAAGTACGAGGAGAGATATTTTCAAATACTTGGTGACTTTCGTACGATGAATTCATGGACCCAAGAATAATTCATTCGTTATCAATTCATTCTGAACGCTATGCACTAAGAACTCAATGCTAACCCTAGCAGCAACCATGGACTTAAGCAGCGACTGGAACAACCTTAGGTTCCTCCTTAACAGCATCCTTAACCTCCTCCTTAGCAGCATCGTTGCTACCATTAGCACCGTTCGTGCCATTCTCTCGCTCCTTCAGAGCAGCTCGTACGCCAGGCAGAATGTATCGACCATAGTCAATGGCGTCGTTCAAGTTATCGTATCCACGGATAGAGATCAGCTCAGCACCGAGGTCGACATAATCAAGAATAGAGTCGATGACAGTCTGGTGAGAACCAACCAGGGCTGTAGATGCACCTCGAGCATTTGTAGCTGTGACGGTAGGGTACCAAAGTGCACGATCTTGGACCTCGCCCTTCTTGGCGATATCGAGCAGACGTTGCGATCCAACGTTCTGGGGGCGGTTGTCATTGGGAGCAGCCTTGCCAACGCCCTTAGGTCGGTTTTCTTTGAGGAGGTCCAGAGTTCGGTGAGCCTTGGCCCAAGCGATCTCTTCCGTGTCGCCAATGATAGGTCGGAAGGTAACCCAGATACGAGGACGATCTTTACGACCGGCCTTCTCAGCCTCGGCGTAGATACGATCGATCTGCTCCTTGGTCTCCTTGAGAGGCTCACCCCATAAGCCGAAGATGTCGGCGAGAGCGCCACCAATACGGTAAGCATCATCGGATGAACCACCGACTGAAACATCGATATGACCATTCGTAGGACGGACTTGGTTGGAAAAGTTCTTGAAAGTGTAGTATTTGCCCTCCCAATCAAATGGCTCAGGAGAAGCCCATGCCCGTCGAAGAATTTTGATATACTCCTCCTGGCGAGCATATCGCTCAGATTTATTCAAGAAGTCACCCTCACGGGCTTGCTCAGTGTCATCTCCACCAGCGATGAAGTGAACAACAACTCGGCCATTGCCAAGCTGGTCAAGTGTAGCGAGAGCCTTGGCAGCGACGGTAGGGTAGAGAGTGTTGGGACGGAGGGCAATGACAATTTTGATTTGCTTGGTAACGGCGAGAATGGTAGCACCGATGGTGAAGGGGTCAAAGGAAGAGGAGTGATAGGGGATCAGAGTGTAGTTGAACTTGTAATCATCAAGAGTCCGGGCGTACCGGACAAGGAACTCAGGGTCGATTCCAGCACCGGGAATGGGGTTGAGCTCCGTAGAGGGGTTAGGGAAAGTTAGGCTGATGAATTCTGTAGGCATTTTGGTGTTTGATTACTAGATATTATCTGATTAAAACAACACAGCTGAAATCCGGAGAGATATCCCAATCTCTTATATCAATCCTAACGTTACCTTGAGGTTGTTTTAGACCCGGTGTATATTATTAATCTCGAGTATGGCGAAATATTGCGACACATAGTTGATGATCACGCCTTCGCACCCACCCCGATCTCGGCTAATCAGATCAACTGCAACAATTATTTGAGAGATTAAGAGAATTATGATGGTATCTATTCTAATGTGTATTTCATATATGGTTAAAGTCATACTTGGTGATAATGTAGATTTGCTGTTTGCAGCTCGAAAAGTCTTTATACCTATACTGATCTACTATAATAATTAACAGTTTAGCGAGTAGATATCCTAACTCTATTATTATATAGTCATTTGGCTCTTTAGATCTTCTCCAAGGTTCCCCGCTCACTTCCCCTCCAGATTGTATCCTTATCCTCTTATGTGACAGGGTCTACAATGGCGTCAGATCGAAACAGGTCCACCATAATGACACCTGCGGCCATTACCGATGGATCAATGTATCCGAACTCGATGCTATAAAGGTTCTTGGACACCTCATTGGATACATTTATCGAAGTCCTTATCTGAATAGTCCGTCTCCATGGGCTGATCGGTCCATATCGGTTCATATGTGGACTGCCCAAGAAGGTGTGTCGTTCGACCAACCAATACTTATTAGCGGAGGAAGCTATCAAAACCCGATCATCCAGACTGGACCCTTATTTATAAGCCTTTATGTTTATTCCCGCATATAGACCCTTGCCGAGTGGGATGTGAAGTGTATCGGGCAGATACTGCGTTGACATGTCTCCGCCCTATTTGATAACCTTCTTCTTCGGACACCTGATATGTTTTATCGAGGAGCTGAAACTTTGAATTGACGTACTCATGGTTTCTGTGTCGTATATGAAGGTTGCAGGACTTAAGCCCGAGGTTCTCATGATGTAAGTTATCGTTTTCAACACAGTAACCGCTAGAGTTTAGCTTGTATACATATGAGGAAGAGCATGTGCACTTTCAGGTAACAAGTGAGCAAGAGACTAGCATCACTCAATTTATAGTCCTCTTCAAAACTCAACGTTACATAGTAGGGCTTTCAGTGAAAAGTCCAGTACGTCTATCAACGGATTGTGTTCAACAGAGGCTAATAGGAGATAGTTATTCTATGTAAGACGCTTTAATCAATCCAAGTTTTGTTAATTACCTGAAGGAACTCGTAATATTAAACTCCGGGTTATATAAAGTTTCCATGAGTTGATTGCTGTATTTGAACATCAACTGAATGTTAAATACAACGTTTAAGAAAATCAAGTCCATATGGAATGGGTAACATCCTAGCCCTACTATTCTTCTAGAAACTATTTATGTATCTGCTATTTCATCTCTTCTCTTTTCAGATTGTAGTTATCGGAACTCAAAAATCTAAATAGATGACCCTAAAGAAGTTTGACCAGTCAAAGTGTTGAGGATGAACTGCTTTCGTAGTTGATAGTGTTGATTGATAGTTAAAGCTTATGATATCTCAACGAGATATATCAAGCCAACACAATGGAAAATCCGAATTAACCCAAGCTTTAGGCAAGCTATAAGTACGAAGTCTTACCATGCTATCCACGCAGTTCAAGCACAATAAGCCTTTGTGTTCGTTCATGCTGACTATATTGTCTTCCAGGACGAGCCTTCCTAACTGGCAACTGGATATCCTTCCATCGCCAGATCTTAGCTTAAAGAGGCCGCCTGGTATTAAATTTCGCTGCCTAGAACGCATTCGCCTTGCAAAAATGTCTCATCGGATATCGTTGCCGTCTGAACGAATACAAGGCTGGCAATAAGAAAATAGGATGAGGAACACGCGTAAACCTTGAATTAGCAGTCCCCAGACTGGCAATACGTTTATCAAAGGTTTTCACTTGCCTGTAATAGCGGACGAGAATTGCTCCGGCCTCTTACGGATGAAAGCTATCATGATGCTTGTCGGGCTGATGTCCCCTAGCCGCCAAGACGATGATTGTTCCTTATTCTGCTCGCTTACAGAGAAGATCGAGAAAGCTTGTAACAAGAATGGTTGAATATCTGCACAAGTTGAACAAATATTCATAACTTCATCAAGAGATAGTGTCGGGTTCTCGGGTAGTGGATTCCTCCGTATCGAGGGATCGTAAACGGGCCCACATCTAATTTCCGCGATAACCTCGCATTCGCAAGAGGCCGCCGACTTCCAATCAATTGCCTCATATCATCAGTAAATCCGTTTCATGGCCGTCTGACATTTCAGTAAGAGCCAAAGGCTCTTTATAAGAGTAAACCTCCCAGAGTTCTGCGGAAATAGCACATTAAGATCATCCATCGTTAGTGAAACCATAACTCATCATGCCAGCAAAAACAGAGTTTCTCAGATACGCGAGCATGTAACCCTACCAAAAGCCAAACTGCTACCTCCTCTAATGCTCGATAGGTCCAAATGAGATGCGGACTATCGCCCGTGAGGATGTTGGTTACTATCATGCAGTCGTCATTGGTGCAGTCTACGACTTCGCCGATGGGGTCAACATCAAGTCTCCTGCAACCTATTTTCACGCGTTAAGACGCTGCATCGAGGAGCATCCCTTCTTCTGCGTCACGGTAGGAGATAGAGACACCGACAAGGGATTCTATGAACGGGTGGCTCGCATCAATGTCGAGGAGCACATCAGCTTCGTTGGGGACGAGAATGCTGAGACAGACTCACTGGAAGCTATTGGAAGATCTATGGAAACAGAGATAGCCCGTCCTTTTGTCGCTGGAATCCCACCATGGAGGATCGTGATTCTTCCTCTCGGCCCGTCTCAATGCCATGTTGCATTCTCTTTCTCTCACACCATTGGTGATGGTATCGCCGGGGTTGCTTTTCACAAGACGTTTCTTGCTGGATTGAGAGAAACCCCTGCAACGGAACCATCATCCACCATTGCTCCCCCGGATAAGCCTCTTCCTGAGCCATTCGATACAGCTGAAAGACTGCCAATCTCATGGTCATTTCTACTGGCACCGGTTCTCGCTGAATACATGCCATACTTTTTCGTTCGCTTGCTCGGCCTACGTGTCTCAGCATCCCATGTCAACGAAGGTACATGGACAGCAGCGCCTATCTTCTTCAATCCCGAGGCATATCACAGCAAACTCAAAATTCGACAAGTTGAGGCATCACAGGTAAACAAGGTTATCCAGCTTGCGCGGACTCATGATGCGAGGTTGTCAGGAGTCATGCACCAGCTCATCACCCGCGCAATGAGCAAGGCAGTCAAGGACAGCAACGTCACCAATTTCGTGGCGCAAACGGCTATAAATATGCGAAGATCAATCGGCATGTCCAATGACGTGGCGAGTGATATTGTATCGGGCTCCTACACTATCCATCTTCGGAGCGCTGCCACAGGTCCCTTGACTGAACAAGAATGGGCATCAGCTGCTGAAGCTACAAAGGAGTTCGCCATGACTTCCACCAAACTCGACGACAACGCCATTGGTTTACTGCGATATGTCCCGAGTATGAGAAAATGGACACTCGGTAAGATTGGCAAGAAGCGGGATTCGTCATACGAGTTCAGCAACGTTGGTGTATTTGATGGCAACAACGCGAATGATGACAAGGTCAAGGTGTCCAAGCTGACATTCGCGCAGCCTGGTCACGTTGGAGGATGCCCAATTTGTTTCAATATCGCCTCTGTAAAGACTGGCGATCTGGTGTACACGGTTACGTGGCAGCCCGGAGCATTGGGGCTTGGTGATGATGCGGCAGAGGAGAAGATAGTGGAGGAGATATGCGACGAAGTCCAGCGTGGCTTTAACGAAATAGCTTAGTTTCCGCTCGCAACAATAGCTTAATAATGTTTAATTTCTTGCTTATTGGCTCATACTATTCTGTATCTGGTGAGCATTTCGATATTCTGCCTCATGTTCCATGCACAGAATAAGACCCTGCCGATCAATGGTAACGGAGATTGTGGCTCAGCGTGTCCCAGGTTCGGACTCGGGAAACCCGACAACCCCACAAACGGCGCACAGCATGTCACTCGACGATATTAGTGGTTCAGCTCTGCACCGTTAGCGGTTAGTTTGAGCTTACGGGCTTGTGTGTGCGGCTGTGAACTGCGCCTACTGAGTGGTCTGTGACATGAAGAAGCCTTGTCGGGTTTTGTCAGCTAAGGCGGATTTAATGAGAAGCTAAGCCAAAGCAGCTGTTTGCTGTAACGGGAGAGATGGAGCGGTCGTGGCATTAAAAGGCGGGGGAGCTGTTGTTTTGAGTTTCCATCCATCATCATCTACTAGTCACTCCAACAATCCTATTGATCAAATCCTCAAACCTATCCATCTATCTACCTAGTAACTATATCGTATAACCGACACCAGCAACATGTCCGCCAACGATTATTACGGCAGTGGTAACAGTGGCTACGGTCAGCAGGGTGGTTATCCTCAACAGCAGAACTATGGCCAACCTCAAGGCTATCCTCAACAGGGCGGCTATCCCCAGCAGGTATGTTTCTCATCCCAACTCTCCTATTCCATCGCTAACAACATTACAGCAGCAGTACTCCCAGCAGCACTCCCAGCAGCACTCCCAGCAGCAACAACCCCAGGGTTACGGCTACAGCCAACAACAGCCTCAATACGCCTCCCACTCGCCTCAGCCTAGCTACGGCTCCCACGCTCCTCCCCAGCAGCAGTACGGCCAACAACCCACCTACGGCCAGCACGGTTCATCGTCCTATGCTCAACAACAGCACAACAACCCTCAATACGGTGCCCCTGCCTATCCCCAGGGCGGAGCTCCAGGACAATACCCTCCCGGCCAACCCGGTCCTGACGGTGATCGTGGCCTCGGAGCCACTCTCGTCGGTGGAGGTGCCGCTGCTTGGGCTGCGCACACCGCTGGAGGTGGTCTTCTAGGCAGTCTCGGGGCCGCTGCGGCCGGCGCCATTGGTGCAAATGTGCTCGAGAACAAGTTCAAGAAGGGCAAGAAGGACAAGAAACACAAGAAGGATAAGAAGCACAAGACCCGCGGCATGGACAGTAGCTCCAGCAGCGATTCTGACTAATGCTGGTTGTTCATGATGGGATATGGAGTTTAGGTGTCATAGCAATTATTTTAATTATTTTATATAGTTATTTGAGAATACGATGAATACTTGGTAACCTTTAACATAATGACATTTTTATAAGTGATAACGGACTAAAGCATATGCAATACTACATATCAGATTCTGAGTTCGCATCCTAAAAATAAGCTTATGCCAATGCCAAGCTTTCAAGCTTCTTGGCTAAAGTCATAGCTGTTTCCGAATCCTCGGTTCAAGTAACCCTCAAGCACAGCCTCCCTGCTCGCCCAATCCACTGGGACATGCAACCCCAGCTTTCCCTCTTTTTCTAGACCTTCTAGAATAGGCTTCACATCTTCACCCAGCTCAAGTCTCATTCTGTTCCTGAACCATGGTGCAAAGTGGATCATGGCGAGCATCACCCTAGTCTGTTGAGTAGTATTCGGCATACCAGCGTGCCAGAGTCTGAGATCGCGCACGATGATGCTGCCTTTCTTGATGACGGGCTGCAAAGGCGGCGAGATCTTTCGACGCTCGCGGAGGAGTTCTTCTCTGATGCGACTGCTGGCTCTCTCGCCATGTGTACCTTCTTGTGCATCTAGGCCAAACCCATTGTGGGTGCCAAGCCAGATCTCTGTGGATCCATTCTCTGGTGTAGTTGTGACCAGAGGAATATTGACAACGAGGGCGAAGGGATGGTCTGGGTGTGCAAAGTCTGCATCTGAATGAACAGGCTGGCGCTGAGGAGTCCCTCTAGGGAGAGTTGCCATTGCAGAATTAGCAGAGCAGAACGTCCACTTCGGCCGTGGGCCCATCACTGCAGTGGTGATTTGTGTGGCAATTGGGTCTTGAGTATGTAAGTCAGATGGGGTAGGACAGAGTCATCAAGATATGCTTACTTGTAAAGATAGAAGGGCTAAAGTATTCAGAAACAGGAGGAGCATCTTGCTGAATGTTCCCCTTGTTATAATTGAAAGGACCTTTATCACCTCGAGCCTGAAGGGTATGAGCATCCTCAGTCATCTTCCTGTTGAGGATGTCAATGTCCTCGTGAGGGACAACATCTTCTACAACAACTAAGCCGTCTCTGTGCATGTGTCGTACAGCTTTCTCGAGGCTTCTAGAGTCGAGTGTCCAGTTCTTTACTTCTTGAGCTGAAGGTCGAACCACTCCGACATGGGGAGGTTGTGTAACTGTTGCAAAGGTGCGTGCATGTTTCGCGAGGGCCGAGGAAAGTCTCTGGGCACGGAACATGATGAAAGAAATGGATAGAAAATTGTGATATTATTTGAATGAATTGAATTGAGTCTGAAGAAGTGTTTTCGATATTCCTGGGAGTGGATAGACCTCCTCATTTGTACTTGTAATGGGTAAACTTGGTGATGTGAGTTTCCCGAGCTCGGAAAACCTTTCCCCACTGGTATAGGTTCTCGGCCGCCACGATTCATCCGATACAACATCTTAACGTGAAGAGACTTATCGATGAGTCTGCTTCATGTAACATCTTTCCGCGGCTTTGGTAATAGTATCACGTTGCGGAGAGCCAAGACCTTGCCACCTTACTCCTGGCCCATCCCCCAGGATGCCTTTAGATCGCCAATGAGTCGCTCAACCGGCCATCCTATAGTTGATTTACATGCAAGAAGCTGCCGAATCAGCTCCTGTTGAGACGCCTCGGCTTTGATAAATCTTGCGCCTACTCAAACGTCAAACTCGTGATTACAGAGATATAAGATAGGATACTTACAAAAAGCTATTGGCCCGAATGCGTTTACCAGAACTGACGGGACCTTGGCAGTGAAAGCAATGCCGCAAATCTCAAGGGCAAAATTCTCTAGAAATTGTTCTTTGGAGTGAGCCTCGAGCTCAGGGAGATGAAGCCCACCCAAGTCCTCTAGACTTTTGGGAGAAGTGTAGATGCAGACTATTGTCATTGCGACGAGGTAGTAGTGAAGTATCGCAGCTATTCAGCATTAGGGACATGGCTGGTTCAGGCTTGGGAAGGACTTGGCTCACCATGGCAAGGCTGTAGGAACCAGATTGCAGGAAATAGATGAGATGTGACAATCTCACCCTGCAGTCTTGAGTAAGGCTTCGTGTGACGAGGGCAGGAATTCCGCCAGCATTTGAGGTCTTCCTTCACGTAGTCCCACTGAAGACCATCTGTGTCTTGTTTGAAAGACATATTGATTATCTTGCCCAGGATTAGAGTAATAGAGTTGAGATAATCTTGATCAGAACTATGCTGAATGATCAGTGGTGTACTCTCCAGGTTCATCTTCAACGGACACTCCTCAAATAGGCTGAATGTAATGTCCTCTCTGAGATAGTTCCAGAATCCTGCACCTAATAAACCTGCTTGTGGGATACCCGAGAGCACATCATGGAGTGAAGCCATGGAGTAAGCACCACGAAGATGCATATTGGGATCAACATCGCCATCAAGAATCTCGTATGAGCGCAAAAGACACGTCGCAGCCAGCGCTACACCTCGGCTGATGAGTTCATCGCCCGCATCCAAAGCGATAAGAAACTGGACACAGCGATGATGGTAGAATTCGGCGACTTGACGAAAACTTGGAGCTGATGTTTTACATGCATGCATTGAAGAGAGTGCGATGACAGCACAGAAGAGAAGAGGCTCCTCTAGAGCGATTGCCGGAACAACAAGGCCAAAGGAACATGTTGAGTCGCTGAGATCATACCATGCCGAGATAGTGGACGTGTAGGAGTGGAAGAGGCGTGCAATATTCTGATCTTGGAGAGCTTTTCGTGGAGTGTCGGGATTAGGTAATTCTTGATGATGGGCTTGTTGAGTAGTCAGCCAAGGAACCTAGGAAGAATGAGTGGATATACTGAAGCGTGTTGGCTTTTCTGATCTATCGCAGTAAAGACCGCTGGTTGTGCATTGCCCGCAGATTGGGAGTGCTTGATTGCCTGCTATAAGCATCAGAACAAGGTCTTGGAAATAGCGTCACTCTTACACTTTAGCTTGCGACGACGGCAAGTATTGCTTCATCCATGTTAGCTGAGCGATCTTGTTGGGAACAGTTAAGCTAACCATATGCCTTTCTTGGTAGGGCGCGGCATTTGAACATCAGATTCGAGCCATGAGTTGAGTATGTTCTATGCAGGAGTGAAGTGGACGTTGGTGATAATTGTTGGAGTCATTTCCGCTTTCATGATGGTGGGGTTTGCTTTAATTCAGCATTCGTACAAAGAATCAAGCCCCGTAAGTAGCCTCTTCTTGGCTTAAGGAACAATATAGAACTTGGTATCGCTTTTTATATCATTTCAAAAAATTGTGACAAAAGCAATTAAGCAGAAAGAGGCAATTGATAAGTCTGTTGGTCCAATCACGCTCATCACTAGCAACGAATCAATCATCCCTAAAGGTCATGTTGATCCAATCATTAAAAAGAGTCTAGACTATCTAATAAACTGTCGCAGTGTCTTTAAAACAATCTAGTCATCTATAGAAGCGAATCACAAACGACAGCATCCGACAGCATTCTCAACATCCCGTCTGCAATAACATGACGACTCGATAGGCACGTCTACAAAAGCCATAGCCGTCTTAAGCTGCTGCTTTACGACCCGCGCCTCCCCCTCAAGTCCCAGCTTCGCTGCACACTCGTGATAACCGTGGAGGGCCCAAACATTGTTAGGGTGATGCCTTGCCCTGAACAGCTTGTTATTCAAACCGAGATCGGTGCGGTATACGTCAGCAGCTTCTTCGATGCGGCCTTGTTCCATAAGGAGAGCGGCGTACGCATGGCGGGCGGGTTGCATCCACGCCCATGGCTCAGCGTATCGCAGACCGTCATCGAGATCAATTGACTTTCGAAGATGCTCAAAGGCAAGCTCAATATTGCCCCGTCGGTACTCGAGTTCGCCGTCAAGCATGGCCTCGGCCACAGCCAGGACATCAAGGCACTTGTTAGGATATTGTGTACGAGTCGGCGGCACACGAGCTTTAGCAGCGATAAAGAGCTCTCGCTGTTTAGCTGACTCCTCAACATTTCCCAGCGCCGCATAGGCAACACCCTTGGCATAGTGAATTGTCGCAGTTGTCACACAGAGCAGCTCCTGATCCGCAGGAAGGGGCATTTCAATAATCTCCTCCCATTTTCCAAAGCGGATCAGGATATGTGGACGAACTGATCTGAAAGTCTCTAGCCAGTCTGCCATCGGGGGCGACTCAATCCGCAGATCTTCGTCTGGAATCGCCACTTCCATTTGGTTCACTGCCTTGATCGAGACACCATACTGGCCAGCAAACATGGCAGCGTAGATGAGTGAATGGTAGTCGTGCATACGGTAGATGGTGTAGAAGTCACCGCCACCACGAAGTGACACAAACTTCTCATCAGCTATGACAGCCTTTGCATTAGCAGATATGGCTCGTCGATAGTCTCCGATGAGGATGTCGAGATGCGAAGGCATGTGAGCCAGGTGGCCTGCTTCATTCGCCAGTCTGCGAAGATGCTCTGCTGCAAGGAGACCCTTTTCAGGCTCGGTCGACATCTCGGTGACGTGAATGTAGGCGTGCAAGAGTCCGATGTGCTCATACCCGCCCTCCTGAGCGATACCTCTTTCAAGAGCTTCTTGAATCTCGAGGACCTCAGAGCCAGGTGCAGGCTTCCCTGTTCGGACGTCCCACAGAGCCCATGGCGTGAGATTCATGAGTGCATCGGCGTACAGGGTTGCGATATCGAGATCATCTTTGAACTCTTTATAAACAGGTCTCATAGCTTCCGCGTAGGCGCTGTTCCAACTCCTTGCATGATTTGTGTCGTTCTCATCCTTTGGGAAGCGATGTCGAATGGCACCAGCAAGTGCTCGCTCAACGGGACTCGCTTTTGAGGCTAGAGCTTCAGCATTTTTGCAAGCCTCAAGACCTTTCAAAGTGGTGTGCTTAAGATCGTTCCGGTCGAATGCTTTCCATGGCTTGTTGTAGTTGGGACCAAGAGCAAAGGCAAGGCCCCAATATGCGAGGCAACATTCCGGGTCAATTTCTATGGCCCTTTCAAAACAGCGCTCTCCTTCGGCATGGTTGAAAGCGTAGCACCAAACGATGCCGTCTTCGACCCATCTTTTGGCCTCTGGCTTAGTGGTAGTAACGTCACGAGTGAAGGGCGGGAGAATAAACTCTTGTCCGTGAGAGTCATCTGACTTGTGTGTAGACTGTGATGGCCCCATTTTGAACAAGCCAAGAAGTATAAAATGGGAAATGGCTGTCAATAGTAAACCCCTTGTAACTTAAGACGTGTTTAGATGTTGATGGTTGCTTGTCTTCGGGAGATCGCCCTGATAACTTGTGGAGAAGCTGAGAATGCCCCACTCTTGGCTTGTACAACGTCAAATCAGCAATCAGTGACGTGCGTGCCAATGGCCGAATACGGAGTATAGAAGTGAATGGTGATAATCAAGAATGAAGAGAGGATTCTTATAGAGACCCAGAACGAAGAAGGATGTCAGAATCTGAGATAAGACATCCTGCCCCCGTAAGCCAATCTCCAGAGAAACAGCCACTAATAAGTGATCCATACACCGCTGTAAGCTCATGTGATGCAGGCACAGGATATAAGACTTGGGCTTGTTGTGATGCAGAATTTAGGGTTTTTAGGCTACATTTAGTCTAAGCATTTCATTCAACTAACGCCCGAAAGCCAGTCCGTGTCTTTGAAGGGTTGTAGTTAGTGTCTCGTGTCAGCATACATCTTGTCTCTGTAGAAAATCCAATCACAAGCACAACGATACTTGGTCATCCATGAAGCCAAGTCAAACAGAATGAATCATTCTGCTGCTGTGGCGTGTTAAACTTGGAGTCAATTACACGTGAGCCAGGCCACGGAAACTCTAAGCCACTATCGACAAGTTATAATATGTCTCTCCCCTTCTCCGTGTTCCTATTGATCTTATCAAACACAAACATGCACAAACTACTCAGGCGTTTCTTTAATCGCCTTCGACGGAGACCCGTTCTAAAAGAGCTGAAAGAAGATGCCCGGGGAGATCTCACTTGCATCTCGCCTGAGGTCATCCTAGAAGTCGCCGAGTTCCTCCCCAATGGCTCGTTAATCTCGCTCAGCCTTACCTGTCACGCCTACCACGCTCTTCTTTCGGGGGTCACCCGCAATGTCAAACTTGAAGGAATGGAGTTGGAAGAGTTCCTGCAGGTGTTGGAGAAGGATTGCGCCAGCTCGTACTTTTGCTATACCTGTGTGAGGCTTCACCAACGGGACCAACGAGGGGAAGTTGACCCCTGCAAGTGCTACAAATGGGGTTGTAGAAAGAACTGTGTGTACCACTTCCATTTTTATCTGTGGATCGGCTCCGGTTCGATGATAAAATATCCCGACGTGCGACTTATCATGAATCGCCATTTCAACGGCCCTACCCATGGACTCCCCCTCGACACGATCAACCACCAAGGACCAGTCTTGCGATACGGAGATGGCGGCATGAGGCAATGGACGGCCCATGCTCGTATAATTCGAGACGAACTCTTCGTACAGAGGACTCTGGTAGCCTGGATTCCAAATGACCTCCCATCCAAGAGGCCTATTGATCGCGTGGATATCCCGATTTGCCTTCATGTTAGAAGCATTTACACAAACTTCGCGGATGAATACCTCTACACAGCCTGTTATGGTCTACCAGAGTTGGCAGATGTATCGACGACCTTCAACGGCTGCGATAACTCATTGGGGTCGTGCCCCGTCTGCTTTACTGACTACTCCATAACTATATGTCCGGAGAGTCGCCAGCGGCAAGGCTGGCGCATAAATGTAGTGAGTTACCAGCAGCTTGGTGCTTGCCGATCCCCTTATGATTGGAAGTGGAGGCTTGCTGCCGAAGACTGCATTTGGAACGAACCAAGATGCCGGACCCAGGAGCCGGGGCTCGTACGACAGCGTTGGATGTGTCAAGATGGCTTCATCCAACCAGAGGGAAAGTATGTCGGCAAGGCTCGCAGAACGAGTGGTAGTCTCCTTGGATCGAGGCGCTGTCCTTGAGGAGGCTGCTGCCAATTTGCACCAGAATGTAAAGAGCACTATACCGCAGAAGAGAACCACCGGCCTGACCGTTCCAAGATTGGAATTACTCGGTGGTATCCAATCGAGGTTTAACAGACGAAGTGCTTTATCTGGCAGAGAAAATGAGAGTGAAGGCCACGTTCTTCCAAACGCCTTTGTTGCGATACTGTTTCATATGAACTGCCTCATAACAAGAATCAATTTGGGGTTACAATCGGACTAATAAACGAGGGACGCAGCCCTGGAGAACAACATCGCCATTCAAGGCTATATACCCAACTCCGCATTCACACATACGACCTATGTCCATCTCCCACAACCCCCAATCTTAGCCAAAGAGGTGCTCCTGCTTGGCACCCTCAGCAGCCTGCAGGTAGCTAACACGATCACGGCAGTAAAACTCGACATTGATCTTGTTGTCGAGGTTGGCCTTGCCGTTGTCAAGACCACCAGCCTTGATGATGATCTTGCCGGGCATGACGTCGAGGCGAGTGTAGAGGCTGGAACCGCAGTCACCACAGAAGAAGTGATGGTTTATCTTACCAGAGGCGCCGGTAACATCGTACTGCTTGGGAGATCCTGGAATACATCAGTGTCTGCTCGTTACAGAAACTCGGATTGAGGCCATACCTTTAGTGACAGAAAAGTCATCCTCAGCGACAACAGCGTTGGAAGTAAAGGCACCGCCAGTCCACTTCTGGCAATCGATGCAGTGGCAGAGGGCCGTAATAGCAGCGTCGCCTATCTAGTCAGATGATTTCGTATAATATGATTGGTTCGAAGAACTTACTGTCGCTCTTGTAAGCGATAGCACCACACATGCAACTGCCAGTAAGAGCCATTGAATAACAAATTAAGCACGAAGCTAGCGTGTCTTTGGAAAAGTGTAGGCTATCAAGGTGCCTATGAGACAATCTGTGGAGTGAAGAAGCTCTCAAGGTTCTCGGACATGGGATATATATACTTGAGTAGATCTCCGCACAATGGGGGCAGTGAGTAATGGTTTCTACGATCGTCCTAGCAAGTTAAGCAAGAGCGGGAGCTAGTTTGGAATATTACTTCATCGCCAAGTGGAGAGCTATTCTGCGACAATATTTCATTCGCTTTGGAGCTATGTCGGAGGCTTGAGGGGTAAACAGCTGAACTCCCTTCCTCCGGAGGATTCAAACGAGTTTTGACACTATTGGTATTAATGAAACTCTTTACAGACTCGGTCAGCTGAGTGAAGTTTGGAATCAACGTGTTGATTCAAAATGTACTATGTAACTATCTTCGGGTCCGCGTTTGAGAGTGGGGAAATGCGTATCCGGATAACAGGTTCCCCAGACGTTTTACGCACCATGATTGATCCAGAAAAAGGCGGAGGAATTAACTAAGAATTCCGAAACGAATTGGATCAACTGATATTCTGGGGAAATGGTCATGAATGCTTGGCGTAGACTACCGACATCCGGTCCACCGGTGCGGGGAATGCCATGAGGAATCATCACCGACGATCCGGCATATCAAGTACAACGAAGCATTAGAATATCTCATGAATTTCATAACTATCTCTGGACTAACATCAAGAACTAGATTCCTGCAGAATTGCACCTTGGTCATCATTGCAGAACACCTCAGCCATTCATGCCTTCTCCCAGTCATCCCACTACATCTAATCCCGTAGGTGGACAACCTCGGGCTTCTCACTGCTGATCCTACCAGTTTCCTCATCATCACGCCCATGATGGTCAGCGTTCTGCTCCAGAGCCCGGTCACCCATGGCCTCTCTGGCATCAGAGTCGTGAGCAACATCGAACTTGCCCCTCAAGTTCTCAGGACCGATAAACGTCAAAACAATGACGTACACGTATACACAAGCCATAAAGATACATATCACTTTTCCGTAGTCGTAGCGAGTCTCGCCTTCAGCATTATCGGGAAGAGGGAAGTTCTCGCCGAGACGGGCCTCGATGGTCGATGAAGCTGAAGACACAAGGTTACCAAGTTGGTAAGATGTACCGACGACGAAAGTACGGAAAGCACCTGGAGATAATTCCATGAGATGAATGGGAATGACACCCCAAGCTCCCTGTACACAGAATTGTTGGAAAAATGCCGCAGCAATAATTGAAGAGTCGCGGACGAAAGTATAGGGATAGAGCAGGGCGCCGCCGACGATACAGCACGCGATGATGCTGATTCGACGACCAATAGATTGGCTGCTGAAACCAACGACAGTGCCACCAAGCATAGCTCCCAAGTTGGCCACAACCTGGGTAACAGTGACCTTGTTCTTGGAAAAGTTGAGCTGGTTCTCCAACATGGTAGGATACAAGTCCTGGCTACCGTGGCTCATGAAGTTGAAGCCCGCCATGAGAAGGACGAGGTATACCAGCAGAAGCCAATGATGCTTGAGAGCAACTTTGCCTTCTTTGATGAAAACCTTTCCTTTGCCATCTGCACCAGCAACCTCTCGTGCGCGTTGGCGTTCTTGGTAGGCTTGTGTCTCGGGAAGCATCAGACGAGCGATGATGAAGAGGACGGGGGGACAAGCGCCGAACCAGAAGAGAGGGCGCCAGTCGTGAGAGGTTGTGTCGACGAGACCGCGAGCAAATGCGGCACATAGAAGGTATCCGAAAGCATACTACAACAATTAGTTAGTGTGAACCTCAGTTAGGCGGTGACATTGTTACTTACACCTTGCTGGAGCATACCACTCATAAGACCACGTGCTTCCTCAGGACAATCTTCGAGAGCAGTGGCGGCAGCATTACCATAAAGACCACCCATGGCAACACCGAAAAGGGCTCTGCAAGCTAGAAACTGCTGGTAGGTTTGACAGAAACCGGTACCCTGATTTTTCGTCAGCGACTGTTCGGACATATCTCGTAGATCTCTTGGCATCGCTCTTGCCAAGCCCACTGTGACAGGGGTGTCCGTAGGGCTGCACTTACAAGTTCAAGAACAATGAAGAGAAGATTGTTAACCACGAATGGCCACTTTCGGCCGTATCGATCGCTCGCGATACCGAAGGCGATAGAGCCAACGGATCGAAACATGAGAACGAGGGTGATGCCCCATGTGATGTCGGTCTTGGATTTGTCGAATGTCTTGCTCAGACTTGTGACAGAGAGAGATACGGAGAAGAAATCGAATGCGTCCCATGTCTGTATGTCATTAGTTAGTCGCAACGGAGTCTCATTCAAGAGATGGAGCGTACCCAGGCCGCGAAGGCGACAAAGAAGAATGCCCATTGCTGGGAGTTCAGCATGCGCACGAGCTTTATGGGATTCGGCACATTGTGCATGGGAGGTTTGAGCGAGGAGAATCTGGTGACTGCGTAACGACCTGGGGACATGCCCTCATGAGGTGCGCGAGTGTTGTACTCGTCTTGAGTCATTGTGAGTTTCTGTTATCGTACAAGAGGTTGTAGGTGTTGATGGGTATCAGAAGACGTCTAGATGACGTTTGTGGAAGTGACCCTCTTGGGCTACGAGTTGGCGTTGAGTGCTATCAACAACGAACTGGTATAAATGGAAGGAAGTCACCACGATGGATGTGTATGAATGTGAGTGAGTATCAGTAAGACACACAATCAAGGCTGTCAGACATATCGAAAGACAACCCTTCTCCAAGCGAGGATCATCCTCACTTATATACTCTTCCCCATCTCCCCCAACTTGACCAACTCCTCCAAAACTTAATGCACCATCTCCGAACCGTGAGCGAATATCCCACGAACCTATCATACCCTTACGATACTAGCATCAACAGGGATCAGAAGAGTCGGGGGTCCCCATAATTCGCAGATTAGAGGGTGCCGGTTCCGGAGACGTGATGTTTTGATTCGGCATCTACGAGGTAGTGCTGCAGATCTCGGTGTTGGGTGTTGCAAAGACAGGGATCTCTGCTGTTGTGTGCAATCGTCGCTGAGATCCACGTTACATCACACGGTGAAAGATTTCCTAGGAAGTCTCTGTTGCGATATCTCAGCTTGTGTAAGCCAGCTCGATTTGTGATTACTCCCATGAGCAACTCTCATCGAAGCAACGCAAGTCAACAACATCAAAATACCTTCTTTATCTTTCTATTCTCAAGTCCCCGGACGTAGTTGCCTTCCCCTCACGACTCATAGACTAGACGTGCCTCCTCCGCACTACTCAAACCTGGAGAAGGCTTCTTCTCTCTCCAAGTGTCAGTCCCCGCTTCATTCCCGGCACACGACGGCCGATAAAGTGGGGAGAGATGCCCGGAGCTATTCTGGTTTGAGTAAGCGGCTCCTGGTGAAATCGGCAATCCGGCATCTGAAGTGGAGCCTATGTGCCTACAACTTGACATCACCAGCTAACATCACTCAACTTGCACTTTTGATCAAAGGCCATTTTGAGGAAGAATACGGGACGAATGACTCAGAAACACCAATATCATTCGATAGATTCATCCCTAGAAATTTACGCAATCATCGTATACCAATTAAACACCAACATCAAGTCTCATCCCTCAGCACTGACCCCAAGCTCAACCCTCCTCCATGCCCATCCACAGCTTATTTGTTTCCACAAGCTTGTTTCCCCAGAAAATCCCTCTTACTCAATACTTGCGCCCGCTGATCCCTCTAGCCTGTCAGCTAAACCTTTTCCAATCCATCGTTTCAAGCTTGAATGTAACCGAAATCCAACCTCTTGCCGGTCCTTCCAGAAGCCTTCTAGAAGCGTGATGCTTCGTCATTCCAGCTACCACATCACGAACCCTCCACGTTACTTTACATCATTCCCGACTCCCCGAATTACAAGGGCTCTAGTTGCGAGCCTCGTTTAAAACCTGGTTACCGGGCTTGCCATATTATCTGTCAGTTATCAACAATTTCATAGCTGTAAGTTATCCTCGGCAATGCTTCTAAAGTACAGACAGCTTTGCTGGTTGAAGATAGTGAAGTGGATGTGATTGGTGTCTACTGCCCACTAGCTTACGTCCTTCACAACACTACCGTGAATACGTTGGTTCGTCATTCAGGGATATCGAGATGGACACTATCAGACCATGACGGGTGAACTCGGGCTGGTGTAAGTCAAAGTTCATCTAGAACCCTAGTAGCCAGATACACAACAGGAAGCTCAGACCAAGAGTCCCTTGAGAGTTTCCTAGCCTCAGAACAACCTCGACATGCTTAGTGCTCGGATAGGTTCTATCCTATAAGAGGGTCGGTTACATGCACTTCACAGCAAACATGGGTTGTGATTGTTGGCGTCTCGAAAGAAAGGAAACACCGACTTCTTGAATATATCGACTGGGTACCTGTAGGTACCAAAAAAAGACTCTCTCCCCAACGCCCTTCCAGGGTATATTGGGTATTCCTTCGCAACCTAGTCCTACAAAAACCCTGGCAACTCTCTTGTTAATGTACCAATCCCCCGGCTTCACCATTATGATCTTGCATCTGCCCAAAATTTGATACCAATCGCTTAAGACCCTCATTATTTCTGTTGAAGATTATTCATAGCTTCGTCATTCACTAAACACCTCCGCCCATAAAAGCCGCAAGATCGTCGAGATCAAGGAGTTGTCGCTCAAAGGCTTGGCAAAGCTCTGGTGCAGTCATATCCTGGCTCGTTGTCTGTCCATCCTGAGGAGGCACAATCCCATTTGCCATTTCTGGGCTAGGCTGCTGTTTGATATCAGGTACAGTTCCGTGGGTTGTATTGGACGGTGGTGGCGAAACTGTTGTTGGGGTGGATGCTCCCCCAGAGCCGTTGATGGTTGTAACGCCGGGTCGTCTTGCCAGAACAACAGGAGGTTCACTGTCGCCACGCACCGACTCTGAAACAGATCGAGGATTACCTTGGCCTGAGACGCTACCTGCGTGGTTGGTTTGCTGGTCATAGTCCATCGCATCCGGGTTGGTGTCAGCATTGGATGAGATTTCGTCCTTAACACCTGCACCGTGAGATGTCGAGCCATGGCGCAAGGAGCCACCATTGGCGGCCGCAGCATCGTTGTTAAGCACCCTTTGCATAACGGTGAGATGTCGAAGCCAGCTACCCATGAGAGGCCAGTTCTCAGTGCCATCACTCATAAACCGTAGACCATCCTTGACAATATGAGCGGCGGTCTCGACAGCATTGGGCGGTGTGAGACCCTTTAGAGACAGGTAGGCGACAGTGGCACTGGCTGTAAAGGCTGAAAATAGCATGAAAATCGGGAAGCAAGGGGTGTGGTCCTTCTCAGAACCTGCCTCGACAGCGGTTAGTAGCGAGATCGTGCCGTGACAGGAAGTAAAGAGCCGATCAATGATATCGTGACATCGAGCGTTAAGGCGGAATGACTCTAGGTTAAAGTTGACTGAAGTAACTTCTTGCAACAGGCGCCTTCGATGAACAAAGATCGTTGCGCAATGTAGGAGGCAGTGAAGCATGGCAAAGGTGTAGCCAGAGCCCATCGTCATATGTAGGTTGATCTGGCCCGGCTTGTCCACAAACTGCATGGGCAAAGAAGCTCGGAGACCCTCGATCTTGGCGATTAAATCGCCACAGTCCTCCTCGCGGAAACTCGCGAGAGTAGTGGTGGTAAGCATTCCGACAACATCGCGCCAGATTGTCGATGCCAAGACGATATAACCAAACTCTCCAATCTCGGATGGTGGTTGGCCCGGTGGAACAGCGGTAGGATCAAGCTGCTGTCGCAGGGTCTTGACAAAGACAGCATTGCCGAAGGCAAAGTTAATGTCCGAGCAAGGCAAAGGCACATCTGCAGTGTCGTGGGGAGAGAGTGCGGCGAAACGTCCCGGTGTGCTGGTGAGAAGGCAATCCAATATGTAAATTAGCCAAACAGTACGCCGGAGAGATTCATCCCGCAAAAACATGTCGCCCTCCGGAGACGCATGGTGGCTGTTCAAGATGCGGTACATCTGCACCATGCGTGCCGCTTGCCCCAAGTAGATGTAAGCACGAACAGCATTTCGCGAGCCCCATTCGTGGATAATGATCAAGCACAGAGCCTGAATGTCGACTAGATTGGGATGGTCCAAGTTTTGGTTGATGAGCGTCATGGCCTTTGCAGCAAATGTCTCTGCAGCTTGAGTAGGACCTCCATATCGGCGGATTAGACTCGGAGAGCTCCTAGAGACAGCATCATGTTAGCGGTGGGACTTTGGCATCAAAATGACGTCTAGATCAGTGACTTTAGGCATTGCGGCCCTTGATATTGAAGAGAAAACAGGCTGTGATTCGAAATGCCGTGATTCGGGAAGCCTCGGCTCAAATCCGGACTACGGTGTATCGAAGCTCAAACCGGTGCGACCGTCACCGGTCGGTGGATCCACATACCGGGGAGTGAGCGTGTGAGGGATACGACAAAACAAGAGAAACGTACCTGGCGGCACAAGTCAAAAGACCGTAGACCAAAGCAGCATCCAAAGACGCGCTCTTCAACTGTTGGACAAAAGAGGGCTTGTGAAACGCAACGCAAGCTGGAAATGTCTTCGATACAACACGCTCACACTCCGCGATCAGTTCGGGAGTGAGCCTAAGAACTGCAGTTAGCGAAACTGAAGGAAACAGACTGGGAATGTGGTCTAGGGGGTGGCACTGCCCGTCTCAACCTCCAGGGCCTGCGCTTCAAAGACCCAAGAATTCAATCAAGCTCCGGCGTGTATCTTTTGAGAGTTCAATTCAAGATTTCAGGAAGCCACAACGAACAGTGAAATATGGTCCAAGTCAAGTCCGGGCTCATATCGTCTCAAAAGATACAACTCTGGAGTTTTACAGAAGACTGTGTGATTCTCGGGGGCTCCCCGTAAGCCGACGGCGATAAAGTGGGTCGCGCGATCGGGGAGAGCAACCAAAGAAGCGCGGGCGCGGGTTGTGGTAATGAGAAATGGGGAACAGGGCAGGGGTACGGTTCCGGCTAAGGGGCTGATGGAGGCATGTCGAGTGGGCGGCTAGCCACTCGGGCAAGAAGACGAAGCAGCCTGAGGGTGCCAAAGTCTTATGATGAGACGAGACAGGGAAGCGAGGCGAAGATGACTCGTCTGCCGGTCCACCCGGGGTTAAGAAGTGCAGTTTGACAAGACAACTGGAAGATGCCGCATCTGTCGGCGCTGTTGATGCTGAGGCGCGACAGCGAGGGCTGTGATAAGACCCGAGTGTGGGGAAATGGTTGTCGGAGAATAGCAACGACAGAAGAAATAGGACAGAAACGATAGACAACAAGGAAAATGGACGACATACTTATCGGAACCTGTTTGCACATGACGAGCAGCACTGGAGCCTACCACGGGCTGTCGCGCTTCAGCAACAACGCCGGGTCCGGCAGCAGGAAGACTGTCGCGAGGTGGCCGGTGAGGGTTGGCGTGTCGCGCTGGGCTTTGACCATGGTGATGAGCCATACTCTCTGAAGGTAGATAGCAGTCATGCATTCCCTTTGCGCAGTTCTTGCATGGTGCTCGGCCATTCTCATAAACGCATTTAGTCTTCCCTTTGCGACAACGCACGCAAGCGCCGCCAGCCCTGAGGGCGGTAGAGCGTACAACGCCAGACGACATGGTCAGCCGCGGGCTATTGGAACTGTGAGTCTGAGGAACGATTGACGGCTATAGGGGTATTGGTAAGTTAATGTTGCTGAAGATGATGAAATGGCAGCGAAAATGGTTGATGAAAGGAAGAAATTCTCGGGGTGGGCTCCGTATGAAAATAACGGCAGAGGACCGGAGGGCCCCGTGTGAGGAAGGAGGAGGCAAGCGAGGCCGAACGGAAGGAACGCGTGAATTTGGGGGATTTTCGGGCGGCTGAACAAGGCGGGAGCCACTACCACGACTCCCACATCAAAATGGTAAAAAGTGAAGAACAGAACAAGAGATAAAACGTCTGTTGCTGTTGCGAATTCAATAGAAAGAGTAGCTTACGCACTCGTTAGGAGAGTTGGTAGGCGAAAACAACCGAAATGGCGGCGCCGTGCGATCGGATGAAGGAGAGGACCCAAGCCCGGGGCGATCAAACTAGGTCGGAGAGGCTTCACCTAAGTCCGGCTGTCCAGGCAATTCGCACACAATGTCCAGACAACAGCAGAAAAATGGAAATAACAGTCTCAGACTACTATGAACAGTAGAAACAAGACCTTTCACAAAGAAAAATATCGCGTGTATGGGGCGGGATGTGAGGAAGTGGAAATGAAGAGGAGAAGGGGGCGGAGGAAGCGGAGGTGACTGGCAAGGCAAAAGCATGAGAGCGACAAAGCGGACAGGACAGCCTGAAGACAAAGGCAGGAACATCAACAAAAGAGGCAGAAGAAACGGGGGACGGAGAACGGGAAACGGAGGAGAGCCACGGGGGTGTGTGGGTCGTAAACCGACAGGGCACAGGTTGAAGGAAATCCGCACCCGAATGTTACAGGCCTTCGACCACTGAGCATGTAGCAGTGAAGCATCTAAGGTCTGTTCGAAAGACATGAATAACTCATAAGTAATCGCCATAGGCTACAGCGACTATGTATTAGACTTATACCTGAGGAAGCTTAAAGACGGATAAAACCCCACGATTCAACAGGTATCATTCAAGGTGTAGCTATTTTATTGTAACCCCCATGGAAATGAAGCTTGGAAATCATGCTCGGCCGCTGCCCGCACCGCAAACCAAACTCAGCGCTACGGCCTCTCGGCTTCGGGTTCTCAAGGGGGCCGTAGTGCCATCGCCGTGCAATGGCTGAGTCTTGAGAAGCCTAATTGGGTATATAAATAGAGGCGCAAGGTATCAAGGAAATGATGGAAACTATTCGTGAGTAGATAGGAAGTGGCCATCATCAAGCTTTCACATTCTCCTCTTGACAAAGATGGTCTGGTCATAAACATCTCACCAAGCATCCGGGCTCCATACTCCGGCGTTTAAAACGGTAGCGGGGCCACCCACGGAGTCTACAACAGCCTGATGAATTGAAACAAAGAACAAGCAAGCAATCAAAACGCGGGCGCAAATAAGGTATTCAAATCGCGACCAGGAACGAGATACGTACCTGCTGTATGTGCATGTCACACCGTCCTGCGCAGGTCGACGCATGAAATTGTCGCGAGGTTTCATCACAGTCGCTACGATCTGACTATCCCCAGAATCCCCAGGACTGATCATAATAAGCCTCTCATTTGACAGACAGCTTGGTCGATGTAACCGCAGTGGCATCAGCGGCATCATCGTCTGCAGGGCAGAGATGGGTCGTTTTTCGGTTGTTTTTGGCGACGCGCCCCAAGCATCGGTATACCCGGGGCGTCGGAAATGTCGGAGTTCCAACATTGATTAAGCTTCATCCTCCTCCGATCATCACACGTCGACCGTTGTAGAGACAGGAAATATGAGTTCCTTGAAAAGCACGGTTGTTTGACGCCCGAATTCCAACGTTGTGAAACCCGTAAAAACTGGTGGCGATGCCGATTTTATTCGCGCCGTCACCGGGGCTTAGTGGTTTTCATTTCCCCTTCCCCAGGCCGAACCGCCCGAGGTTCCCCCTTGGCATTCACCATTCACCGCCGACATTGTTCCCCCGGACGCTCACCACAGTGCACACAAATTTGATGTCAGAAATGGCGGGTGGGATGTTCGGCAGTCTCAGTCTCCAGAGCTGGGGCTTGTCCATCGTTTTGCCCTCCGAGTCTGGAGACGGGGCTTTGGGTGTCCAATTCCCCCCTCAAAGAATACTCGTAGGTGTTTAAACTGCTGAGCGGTTGATCATCATTTCGAAGTACGGAAGAAATCTCCTTCTTTTCTCAACGTAGGACAAGCAGACGCCTACTACGTCGCTGTCCTCCCCGCATCAATACGTTGTAGGCAATATCGAAAGTACATGTGAAGCTCAACCATCTTGTGCTACCATAAAACACGAGCTGTTATGCCGCTATCACCATGTCTAGAGGGTTGGAGCCTCAACATCCCACAACCCTTTGTTTATGACATTCACTCAACAATATCTCACATCTTACTCGCTTCTGTATACAGGCAATGGCAACAATGTCTTATTTGTGCACTCAACCTCTTGTGCAGCCCTTTATTGGTTCCGGGCCGGCAAATAATGATCCGAGCCAGACTCGGGGTTATCAGTACCCTCCACTCTCTTCCCGTCCTTGTGGCAGCCTGCTTCGTCGGCGCGTGAAAGAGCAATAAGAAGATCATGGTTTCCTTCAAGACAGCCTTATTTTCAATATCACACACAGGCCTTGGGGATAAGTGGTCAGAACCACCTTAACCCCCGTATTCGCCATGTCCTGTGACACTTCCGGATAACAATGGATGTGGCCGGACATGGTCCAGGTTTGTCGGGACTGTAACCTCCACTCCGCCCGGCGGCGCCAGCTTTCTTCGAGTCTTGAATGTAATACGGTTTCGTTTTCAGAGTAACGTTTGCGTCTTTTCTGCGCTCACCCTCTCACAGAGACATACGGCACGCACCCTCCGTGCCCGGCCGACAATTTCACCCACTCGCAGGCGCCTCCTGCTCTGGTGATGAAAAGGAGGCGCGTCTCCGGCAGAAGTATTACGGTGGGGCCGTTTCCGAGTACAGCACAGTGATTTTACATACGGCGGCACCGTACCGTAATTATCACCGCCACTGCGTTCGGATGGAATGGATTACTACACGCCCCGTGACGATTTCCTTCGTTTATCCTGTCCAGTATATAAATGGATTCAGTATGTTGTTTAGTGGTAAAACATGGAGCTTTGGACACTTGGTCGCTGATGGCACCGGCTTTTGCTGTCATGGTACTTTAACAACGAGGCCGGCAGATTGAATGCCAAAACGGTACCCACCTCCGTCTTGATCACGGAGAGGACCGGTGTCGTTTTGACAGGGGACGGGGAAAGGGCTCAACGATCCGTAGGCTAGCGCTTCTGACCGAACTTGTTCAGTGCCGCGGAATTTCGGAGATATCCTCTTCCGACCCGGATTCAATCATCCATCAAAGGTTTGTTCACAGATGAGCACCAACATATTGAACAAGCAGAGATTCGTCCAGTCTATTTAGCTGGCTAGCTATCTTGTTGATGATTTTTATTGGTTTCTCCCGCAGTTTTATCATACGCTGTATCGTCGAAAAAAGAACACGTTTTCTCCTTCTATAACATCCCATTTCATCTTGACAGAATGCATTTATTTACGCCTTGGTCTCACGGACAGGAAGTGTCTTCTCCTTCTTGCCGCCCTCCTTCTTTTCGGCCTTCTCTGCTTCCTTGGGGGTCTCCTTGACGAAAGGCAAGAACTCGGGTTCACCAGGAATATACTTTCGCAGCACCTCGGGCACAATGAGACCTTCCTCTGTTTGGTAGTTCTCAAGAATGCAGCACAGTGTTCGCTCAGTAGCACAGAGTGTCTGTAAAAGCGAATTAGCCATATGACCCTAAGCACAGAGATCATCCCAAGACTTACGGCGTTCAGAGCATGAACATACTCCTTCTTTCCACCACCAACGATCTGCTTGCCCTTCTTGGAACCATGGCGAATCTCAAGCTCTCTGGTCTGGTAGTCTGTGCAGTTGGAGCAAGAAACAAGCTCCTTGTATTCCTTCTGGAAGGGGAACCATGCCTCCAAGTCGTACTTCTTGGCAGCAGCGTTGTTCAGAGCGCCTGTAACGATACCCACGACCTGGTAGGGAAGGCCAAGGGACTTGTAAAACTCCTCGGAGTTGGCCATCATTTGATCAAACTGGTCCCAGCTGTCATCAGGGCCACAGAGAACGAACTGCTCAACCTTCTCGAACTGATGCACGCGGAAGACACCCCAAGCATCACGGCCGTGGCTACCGGCTTCCTTTCGGAAACAAGTGCTGTAGCCGCAGTATTTGATCGGGAGCTCAGAAGGCTGGATCCACTCCTCGGCATGAAGGGCGGAAAGGGGCTGCTCGCTGGTGGCAATCAGATATCGATCCGACTCAGAGGGTGTAGGTCCTTCGGAAACACGGTAAAGCTCCTCGTCAAATTGAGAGAGCTGTGCAGTCTTGGCCATCTGGTCGCGGTTAAGCATGAAGGGAGGTTGGTTAGGGGTGTAGCCTGCAGCACAGAATTCGTCAACGGTGGTCTGACAATTTAGAGTCCAGTATACATACCCTTGTTGAAGAGGAAGGCTGTGGCGTAGTTGACGAGGGCAAGGTTCCTATCAATGTCAGACATCTTTGTCGCCCTTCAAGCCCTTCCCACTTACAGAAACATGCCGTAGCCAGTCAAGCAGTAACCTCGATGGCCAACCAACTTGACTCCTCGAACAGGGTCGTATCCTCCAAGTCGCAGCAGCACATCGTGGTGTGAAAGAGCAGCTTGCTTGGTCTTGTCGAAAGTCTCAGGCCCCCAAGTTCGCTCGATGGTGTTGTTGTCCTCGTTGTCGCTGACGTGGACGGAGTCGTGCACATAGTTTCCGACGAGCTTTGCCTTGACTTTGAGCTCGGCATTCTTTGCCGCAGCTAGCTCCTCCTGGATTTTCTTCTTCTCTGTCAACTCCTCCTTCTGCTTAAGTAGCTCGGTCGCGTCCTCCTTGGCTCGCTTCTTGAGGCCAATCTCCTTTTGAACCCCGTTTATTTGTGTACCGATCTGTGTAACACCATACTGGGCTTCCGAGATGTTAGCTGGTGCAAAGGGATCAAAAATATTGTCAAGCTATCCCATGACTCACTCTTGCGCGCATCTTGCCAAAGGGCAATGACTTCGTCAACCAGCTCTACAGGAGCATGTCGGCGACGTTGACTCTGTCGAATCTTCTCGGGGTTTCCGCCGCGCTCCTCAATAAAATCCTCAATGTCCAACATCTTGGCGATTCACGATGGTACGATCTTCGTTCAATCTGGTTGAGCCTAACGGTGGATTTTTTACTGGTGTTGATAACCCAAGAAGGAGGGGGAGGGGCAATTGCTTCGATCACCTGACTTGCATATGGAGGGGTCTTTTTTCGAGTTTGGACTTTGATGGTTGTGGAGACTTGATCTAGGCAAGTGAATCAAGAAGCCGTGGAGAATGTTGAAGTACCTAATTGTTGTAGAAAAGAAGACCGCTATAGAAATTTCCAAGCTATTTATTGTTAAGAATACCTAAGAAGTACCATCCTTCATTTGGAAGTTGAGTCATGTTGAGGTCTCTCCGTGTGTGAAGGACGCCGAGTAAGTAACTGAAAGTTGCTGTAAGCATCTGAGCCAATCGCATAATTGATCTGAGACCCACTTTGTTGCTATAGGGTAGGCTCTATACAGGGAGTCATGATAGTGACTTTAGAGTCATCATAGGCCCGGGCTGTAAATAAGAGAATCAAATAAATTACCGTTTTTCAATAGTGTGCTACGATGGTGTGGGTTGTCATTTTACTGGGACGAGTATCGAACAAGAAGCAATATGGAACGCCCCATATAAATCAACTTAGTCTTTTACTAAAAATGAAATGGTAACGGTCTTCGGTATCAGATCGACACATCTGCAATTTATTTCGGAATTCTAGAAGATACAATGAACTCGACGCGATAAAATAAAATGGTTTAGTTGGTAAATTTGTTCCTGGTTCTTGCTTCCTCGGCCATTATTATCCATTGTTGTCTTGAGCGCCAGGTCAGATGAGCTTCCTTGTAGATATATGACTTGATTGAGGCAAGAAGTCATGGCCAGTTGCTCTCTGTGGGAAATCTTCAGCAACCTGAAATACAAACGCAGCCTTCCCTACTACCAATCACTCGGCGCAGCTTATGAAGAGCCCCCATTCAATTCATATACTTCAAGAATGAGAAATAAGTTGTCTATGTTTCGGCAGGCTGGGAAATGTATTGGGTCAAAGCCTTAAAGTGCTCGGCGCTTCAATGAACAGCAGCTTCCTTGGTGTTTCGAGTGAACATTTTGAGCCGAATTTTGAATTGATGGTATGTATCTTCGAACCTCTTCTCTTTTTTATCTCGAGCTGAAACAAAGATGTTGAAGCAACAAACACAGACACCTGAATTAGGCAAGCTACTTGCAAGGGTCAACAGGACCCATGCATCGCCTCTGGTAGCCTCCATCATTGGATGAGGCTGAGCCTTGCTGACGGCCCCCCCAAACCTGCACTTTCCATTAAAGCTCATAAGCCAGCCGTACTCAACATTGCTTGGATTCAAGGTTACCCCGCCTGAGTTCAACTTTCTGTTTGGATCGCCGTCAAAATGAGACTTGGACGTCGTCGAGAGGAAAGTCTCTCATCATCCGACGACACGACGGTAAGATAAAGGATATGACGCTACGAGTCCCGCGTATGGACAACCGCTGACTATTGTGATTTAAGATATCGGATCAGGATGATGAGACGCATTACGAGTACATTCTCAAGGAGATGTACGTGCCTTCTTTAAACGATAACTCATTTGCCGACCAGAAAGACCTTGTGGAGTGAGTTGAACTTGAAACCACAGTCTATTCTAAGCTCACCATATAAAGCCTTGTCTTTGTCCACGGACTAGGGGGAAATCTCAGAACCACTTGGAAGCAAGAGGGTACGACTGAACCGTGGTTTACGAAGCCAGAGTTTCTCGGGCGTCTTAAAGATTCGGTTCGCGTCCTGTCATTTGGCTACAATGCTCACCGTTTCGGTGATGTCGCCAATACGAGAATAATTCATCACGCCAATGATTTACTCAGAAATCTAGTTCTGAAACGGCTTGATCACCCAGTATGTACAGTCAATGTTGTCAATGAATTGGACTAACATCTCTTCAGGACCGCCCTTTAATATTCATCGCTCACAGCCTTGGTGGGTTAGTGGTCAAAAGAGTGGGTTGAGAACCAATTACTATGTATCTTCCGACTGACAAGCCCCAAGGCAATACTACTATGCGCAACAAACGACGATTGGAAAGCTGTGAAGTAAGCCACGAAGTCCATCATCTTCATGGGAACCCCTCATATGGGATCCGAAAAGGCTGAAGACCTCGTCGTTGTGCAGAAGTTGGCATCTTTGATGAAACTTCAAACGGCTGTTGCGACAAACCTCACAAAAGAACTCCGTAGTTTCTCAAACTCAGTACAAGATATCAATATGGAATTTACTATTGATGTTCATCGTTCGATCAAGCTCCTATGCTGCTATGAGTCTCATCCGCAGCGATTACCCAATGGAACCAAAGAAATTGTAAGTGAACCCTTTGGCCATATTGATCCTGCTAACGTCGCCAAGATAGTTCCCCAATGGTCTGCTGTCCTTCAGGGTGTCGATAACATAGATCTAAATTGTACGCACTCTGGACTACCCAAATTCGCCTCCCCTTTACACCCGAGATTCGAACTGTTCTGGGGCGAGGTTCAGAGGCTAGTGAGACTGGCTGAATCACCACCGATAAAACCGATAAAAAAGGCACCTACGTGGACAGATGAAGATGCTACACAGTATGAAACGCCCTTGACCTGCTCGACAAATGCTGATTTCCCTAGGCCGGCACCTCCTCGACCACGTCAGAACGCTCCTCTCCGGCGTCGACATGAAGTAGGGAAAGCATCGAAAGCCTCCAGAGAGTCGGCGGTTCGCTCAAGTGTCGACAAACTATTGAAGGAAGTTACAAGCCGCATTAATGTCGACTTATCAATAAAGCATGAGACTGTTGTGTCTCAAGCTCAGAATCGGGCACAACCAGAGAAATTTGGTAGGCTGAAGTATCGTTACAGGAGTGTATGGTATGCTGACTTGCAAAAGACGTCAAGGAGTTCAACGATTTCATCCGCCTTCTTCGCTCCGTGACACCCGAGAATAAAGGTCTTGATCGCGAGGCCCCGCACTGGCAGACATGTTCTTGGATATTAGAAGATCCCACTTTCGTCAAATGGAAGGAGAACAAGAATGGTAGCCTCCTATTCATCACAGGGAGCCCTGGATGTGGCAAGTCAAACTTGGCAAAATACATCCAGGGTGCAATGAAAGATTCGAATGATGAAAAGTGGGAGGAGAACCTCGTCATACCATTCTATTGTGATAGTCTGGAGAGCTCTCGACATAATCCGCCAATATTGGATCTTGTTGTCCAATCTATGTTGAACAAGTATACCACCATGTCACAAGCGACAAGGAAAAAGCTGGAATCAGTCTTAGAAACCCTTGGGGTCGATAGACAGAAGTCACGATCGCCTCTCGAAACAGAGAATAGTGGACATTTCATCCAGTTGATGGAAATCGTCCAATTACTGGTGACGGCTGAAGATGCCAGACCAACTTGTCTAATAATTGACGGTCTGGATCAATGCGAAGACGAATTCATCATCAGATTACTCCGTGGGTTGGACACGATATTTCGTCGTGAATCTTCTGCTTCAGCCCTCAAAGTAGTCATAACATCACGCATGGCAGACTCGATCCGGGGATTCGCGCTCGCAAATAACCACATAGAAGTCACACCAGATCTGATCTTCAATGATATTCAAAAAGTAGTGGATGAAGAAGTCGACCGCATCATCTTGAGTCGCCGGATAGCCACTGTTGGGCGAGCGTCTGTTTCAGCCGTCATTGTCGAGAGGTCAAACGGAAGTTTTCTTTTCGCATCAGCAGTCCTCAAAGAACTCTGGCACATCAAAGACACAGGAGCCAATTCAGTCTTTACACTCGTTACAAGCTGTCCGCCAACCATGGAAGCGATATATCAACAAGACATGGACCGCATTCAGAATGAACGCACTGATCTGTTTCAGCTGATTCAGATTATCTGCATAGCAAGGTCGACATTGAGAATAGAGGAGGCCAAAGAAATCCTTCGGTTTTTAAATCCATCAGTAACGAGGACTTATGATCTTGTCGGCGATTTGACAAGAACATGCCAGCGACTAATCAGATTTGGCGCCGAGGACACTCTCGAACTTTTGCACCAGACTCTTTACGACTTTATTCTCGACACATACGATCTCAAGCTCGTACATCAAATTCTCGCAACTGCATGCCTCAAATATGTTAGGGAGATAGATTGGGAACCATATCATGATCCATGGACAGAATATTGTCGGGATGCTTTAGCAGATCGCTATGTATTTCTGGAATACGCTTCAGCTTGGTTTAGGTACCATTTGAAGTTTTTTGGGCCAGATACCTACAAGATATCTTGGGATTTATGGGATTTCATCCGCTCCCCGGCTGGGGAAAAGTGGCGATATTATACGTTCCAGAAACGTACATGGGGATCCAGGAGCCCATCGCCTACACGATCGCTTGCGTTATTCAGGGCTCAGACACCGAGTCCCTCGCGATCTAGGAGCAGCTGCTCAAATAGGTCGAGGCCTCGATCGCCCCCTGCAGCAGAACGCCCACAGACGCCTTCTTCAGCTGCTGGCAAGCAGACTGAAGATATGACCGAGGCCGGATACCTATCGGACGACACAGATGATAGTGCGAGTACGTGTGTCTCCGATGGATCTGAGGGCCGTGGGCGGTTGATCACCGCCGCTCAATCCTCCCTTCAATCAGCAAAACCACCGTTGGTGTTGCTTGCTCAGTGGGATGCGGATCTTGTAATCAAAGAGATCTTCTCCAAGGCCTTCGAACCTACCCCAAGCCACTTCCTTCACAAAATCCGTGATCTTCTCCTTTCTGTTTCCCCAACATCAACGCCACAGGTTGAAGAAGACCTGGAAACACTAGTCAACAATATATGGGAAGGCACCACAGCAATACACTATGCTGCAGCCCAGCCGGGGGCAGCATTGGAGATACTTCTCCCTTTTGCAAAGAATGTAGACCTGCCAGATAACGACGGGTCAACACCTTTAATCCTTGCCGCAGTCCGTGGCCATTGCCGGAGCGTGCGGGCTCTCCTCAAGGCCGGTGCCAAGGTAGATGCTGTTGATCCATGGAACCAAACAGCACTGTTCACTGCGGTTGATGTTGGCTCAGTAGATGTTGTTCGAACACTTCTTGAATTTGGGGCCGATCCTAACATTTCATCTATCAGCGGCCATTCACCACTTGCACTAGCTACAGGGAAGAACAACTCCGAAATGGTTGAAATCTTACTGGAGTTCTCAGCGGACCTTAACGCTCCCGCATTTGACGGAAAACCCATACCTTTCTTAGCCAGCTGGATGGGGAGTACCGATGCTCTCGAGATCCTGGTACAGCATGTCGATGTGGATCAAGTTTGGCGTAATGAGCACTTGATTCACATGGCATGCTTCAAGGGATGGAAAGGGGTAGTTGAGAAACTTATAGAGAAGCATGCGAACCTCAATGATCCTCCCAGGGATCTGCCGAAAGCTTCGCCAGTGGCTCTGGCCGTCGAGTCGGGCCATAGCGATATTTTGAGGATGCTTTTGGCTGCGGGTGCCGCAGTCGAGTGCCCCGTAAAGGGGATGAGCTCTCCTTTACATATCGCCGTGGCGGCTCAGAATTTATTGGGCTGTGGGCTACTCCTTGATGCTGGATGCCAAGTCAACGCAGAGGATAGGGATGGAAGCACGGCTCTTTCAATAGCGGCAGATCTGAACGATCTCGAGATCGTCGAATGTCTTGTCTCCCATGGTGCTGATCCAAGTAAACCGGACTATGAAACACCCCTCCATATTGCGGTCGACTGGGGAAACCTTGAGATGGTCGAAACTATTCTGTCGAGTCGGTTCTTTTCCGATATAGACGCGAAAAGTGAAAAGGAATACACTGCTCTGGGTATTGCAGCGACAACTGGGAGATTGGACATCGTCAGTATGCTTCTTGATCATGGAGCGGATCCAAACAAGCGGAATGGACCGCGCAGCTCAAGCGCTCCACTACATATCGCAGCCAACAAAGGTCATCGAAGTATCGCGATAGAACTCCTGAAGCGTGGAGCAGACCTTTATCCGGAAAATACCAAAGAATCAAGTGCCTTTCATGCTGCCTGCATAGGAGGCTGGTTGGATGTGATAGAAACTTTCTTGGAGGTTGTCGACGATGTAGGCGAGTTGGTCAACTTCGAATGGGGCTGGGCAGGGACCCCTTTAAGAGCAGCGGCATCAGGTGGCAGGCTGGATGCCGTAAAGCTACTTCTCGGTAAGGGCGCCGACCCAAACAACCAGCTGCAATCCAAAATCAATAGGGGCCAGACTATCATTCATGCCGCCGCCGAAGGAGGTAATACTCAAGTCTTGGAAGCCATCCTTGAAGCAGTTGATGATTCGTCTCTTGAGGTGCGTGATCGAGCTCAGAGGACCCCGCTCTGGTATGCTTGCTTGGAAGGACATGAGGATATGGTCAAATATCTACTTGAAAAAGGAGCCTCAACAGATGTGATCTTTGATGAAGGAGAAAACATCATACCTATCATTGTGTCTGGCGGATCTGAGAACAATTTGAAGCTCGTATTGGAGAAGAACCCCAGCCTCGACACCGATTGCATCTTACCAGATGGCGAGACCCCTTTATTCAAGGCAGTTAATTCTGGTTACGACAAGCTTGTGCCGATCCTCTTGGAACGTGGTGCAGATGTGAACAGGAGATCGAAATATGGAAACGTTCCAATCTTTGGGGCGATCACCAATCGTCAGAATGATACTTTACGGATTCTTCTTGAGCATGAATCCATCGACCTGACTCAACGGGACTCCTTCGAGCGAACTGCGCTTCAAATCGCACAGCAATCGGGAACACGTTTGATGCCTGCTATGGTGTTAGGTGCTGCCAAAGACTCGGATGTGGAGAGGATCCTTACCAAAAACCGAGATATGTACGGGCTTAACGCCTATGACCTGACCAGACCTGAGGCCAATAATCCTGCGCCATTCGATCACTGTGTCGAAGGTGTACGTCGGGACGCTCAAAGCCTATTGGATGATTTCGACCTTCACGGGGTACGATGGGAGCGCCTTGGGAAGTTTCTGCTTCAACTTGGGTCGTACAGTTTCGCTCAAATTGCTCTTCAAAGGAGTGCTCGAGCTGTAGAGACGACGCCCTTAGTTTTGGAGCATGACAACTATTGTGATATGTGTCTTGCCACAATTGTAGGTCCTCGCTACGTTTGTTGTACATGCTGCACAGTCGACCTTTGCGAATTGTGTGTCAGACAGGACAAAAAGCCAGGAAATCGTACTTGGACCTGCGATTATCATTCCTTTCTTACTGTCCACTTGCCCAAGATTCAGATCCCGGATGTAATGTTAAGGGCTGAGATCGACTTCCATGTGCCAACGCTACTGTCTCCTATTGAAGAGGTGGTTTCAGAAACGAGCGAAGGGGGAACAGCAGGAGAGGGTGATGAACCTCTTCAGGAGTGTCTATCTCTGCAAGGTGATGGCGAAGCCCAGGATGGCGTTTCGTTGTCCTCCGGTGACATTTCGAACAGCTATACAATGGCAATCGAATCTCTCACCGAGCAGTCCTCGACAGCAGTTATTAGCTACTCTGTTGGCGATGGCGGACTTTCAACTAACGTGACTAACAAGTCCAGTGGATTAGCAAAAGAAGGGTGGACAGACAGAACAGAGGACGAACTCCGAGAGTTTCTCGAAGCAGTTCTCAAAACTTTCACCACTTACCAGACGCCGAATGGAATATCCAAATGGAACTTTTCGGCTGATGGGTGGACTTTGAGGTACAGAGATGATTCTATGAAATCCTCATGGACAGAAGGCGATGAGAACGCAACGATTATCCGGCCTGTACGGGAGTGGACACCACTTCAGCCATTGACAGAAGCATACTATTACCTGTCAGGGCTTTCCTATCTCATGGCAAACGTACCGCTGTACTTATTTGCAACCGGACTGGCGTTTCGTGGATATGAAGAGGAAGCTTTGAAGAGAAGGAAGAGGTTGCAGAGGCTTCATAACAAAGTGATATTTCCTGTGAGGCGTCCCTGGGAGGTCGTAGATTGAGGGGAGAGGATCAAGAGGGTCGAGCCAAAAAGAAAAGAATCAGCAGAAAGAGCATAACGATTGCATAGTTTTCGACAGTGTCGAGGATATTTCGAGGATTGTATGAAAGAACTTAAGGCTGTCCGGTTGGTCATGCCGCCTGTCTACAACTGGCAGGGCCTGCGCTTGAACGATTACCAAGCCACTTCTATAGCCCAGGTCGCATTTTTCACAGTAATAAGCTATATACTTAGGAACCAGGCAGTCTTTTAGGGGATATGCAGTGAGTTGGACTGTTCAGGGCTCCACTTCAACTGAGAGATACGTGCACTTGTCCTTGTTCGAAAACCTCACACCAAATTTGTCCCTCTTGTTCCCTCTCTCGTATCCTCTTCCTGTTCTTCCTTATCGCCGAACACTGCAGACGCAAAAGCTATCTAAGCCCGGACGAGAGACGAATATCCAAACAAAGATCCAGACAAATATCTCGGCTCTTTCTTTACACACAAGTGAGAATCCCCAGTCGTCAACTACCTCCGTCAACACAATCTAATTACGCACTTCCCTTAGTGCCCAAACCTAAGTCGCAATGACTCTTAAACAGCAGGTTGACCACTACGCCAGCGTGGTGGGAGCCCCCGTACCAGACGAGCACGTGTGCGTTGCGTACAGGGCTGGTACCTGCGAGGCATTGCAGTTCCTCTGCAGGGCATGCAGGAGGCTCAGCCCAGCTTGGAGATGCTGCAACCTCTGCCTATGAAGCCTGCCGTCCGTCGGAAGCAGAGGCTTCTGCTTCCGATGTGTACCGAAGCAAAGACATGAGTTTTCGAACTTGCCGCCCCCTGATAGTTGGGAACTGGCGAAGAGGGACGCGATGTTTATACTGGCGTCCTTCTATCGACCAATGCCTGTCTGTCTTTTTTGCCGCAAGTTCTCAGACGGCGGTATCGACTGTGGTGAGCATGGTGATTTCGATGCAGAAAATCGTCAAAATGCTATCTCAATCGACCACACAGATGCCATCATGGCTGGGAAATATCCGCAATCAAGCACCCACAGTTTCGACTGGGAGCCACGACAGGGTGTAGTCGGTGGTATGGAGCTTCCTTCTCTTCGAGACGCAGGAGTGACAATGGATTGGTTCACAGAACAGCTGAAAATCGAGCAAGAATGGGCCAAGCTCTACCCTCACACACTCTCGCCCATCGCCCAGTCTGGGATCATGTTTATCATGTTGACAAGCGCGCCTCCTGACTCTTGGGACAAAATCAAGTCCCTGGTCCTGGTCAACAAGTTCCTCAACGGCTTGGTTAAAGGGACACACACAAAAGCCAACGAGACCAGACTTGTCTGCAGTCCGTGGCCGAGACCCGAACTTATGCCCAACATTGACCCTCGCGGAACTCTTAAACCTTCACCCCTCGAATGCCCCAAGGCGAACCTGCAGGAAATCTTCGCGACCTTCTTTGACCATGTCCTTTGGACGAGAGCGACCGCCGTCCACTCATTTAAGGACCAAAGTCTTCGCAGTACGTACAGTTACGTTCAATGTGTGTATCGCGAAAAAGCACTACTCCCGGGTATCCTGGGGTGTCATCTTGTCGCTACCCACGCCGGCATGAACGCCAGTCCTGAAATCCTTGTTTACGGACCAGCCAACGATGGAACTGAGAGGCTTAAGCCTGTCATCTCCCTCAAGAACACCCAGATGGGCAGGACACCAGCCCCATTCATCAACCCAGCTCTGCTCGCCTGCGAGTACGAGCGCAGACACCCCTATTGGTCTCAGCACCAACAGAGAAAGCCTTGGGAGCTCCCGGAGAGGTACTCTCACCACTCTGTCGGTGATCCGGCGATGCTGCAGATGATCATGCTCGGGCATATTGAGTACTACATAGACCGTAGCAGACCATGCTGGTCGGACGAAATTTCAGATGCCCATAAGGATGATGAGGATTGGCAAACCCAGCCGCAGCATCCTCTTCTGCGCCATCCGCCGATGATACTGATGCATGCCAACGATGGCCCCGGCCCACGAGATACACCCATTAATGCGATCATTGGCCCTTCAGGAATTCCGCGTGCACCGAACTTCGGAAAGAGGCTACAGCTTGCCCGAACCGAGGTCCCAGGCCAGGCGTTTCAGCTGGCGCTGGCCGAGACGCACACCGTAATTGATCAGTTCGAGACACTTGACCTCGATGATTCTGAAATGGAGGAAGACGATTCTGTAGAGGAGGAAGGTGATTCTGAAATGGAAGAGGATGGTTCCGAAGACGAGGATGACTCTGAGATGGACGAAGACTGAGTTACTTAACTCTGGGGCGGAAGTCAGTGGCTGAGAGATTGGCAACTGATGAGCCGAACATAGAGAATGGTGCAGTCATAAGGACAGGATCCAGAGGTAATTGAAGGGACGAAGGACTTGCTCGTCTATGTAGAGCTGTGTATTAAATTATGTGTAGTATCGACAACTGATATCTTCCAATTGACATGAAGTTGGAAGTTTCGAGCAATCACCATAACTTGACAGAAAGCGATTTCTTCTAAGTAAAAGACTGAAATAATTGAGCATTATCAAGTATGAGAGGAAATATTGTAAAACCCTGAAGATAACAACCGAGAATAATCGAACTGAATATGGTGCATAACGTGGCCTTGATGATATCTTAGCGGCCCAAAATTATACCACTACCACAGATCCATCAATTGCCAACTTCCAGATATGTCGAAGCAAATCAACATTCCTTAGCAACATCGCCACTTGGCATCGAAACCGAGTACTCGAGTCCTAATTTTACCGCCTTGCCCGCATTCAACGAGACCTCCCAGGAAACTTGTCCGCTCTTCTTGAGAGATGCCATCGCTTTACCCCAGTCTTTATCCTCCGCAATCTCACGTCCAGGAGCGCCAGTCTCTTGACGCGGTCCTTCGACAGTCAAACCTCGAGGGCTCAATAACTCAACTCGAAGGCGATCATCCTCTGAAACAGGGATTTGATCCAGGACCAGAAGGCTGATGGGCTTTTTAGCAGTTACGCGGGTGTTGTGCACTGTGACAGCGCGAACATAGACAGAGCTGTCTTCCTTGCTGAACACTCCGCTCGTGCTTCTTCGAACATCAGGCTTAGGGTACATGACTCTAATCGCCGAGTCCACACCCAGACTAAGCGTGAAGACCTCACCGGAGCTACATCGAGGAATCTTGGTCTGTCCCATAAAGCTACCGTCAAGCGTCAAGCTCGCAGGCCCGCGGAGTAAGGTAAGTTTACTATTGTTCTTGAGTTTAGCCTTTAGATAAGCCGCTGGCTGATACTTGGCAACAATAGTATGGCTGAATAGAACATTCGTAAACTGCAGGCGAGCGACACGTTGCTTTGAAACGGTGAACTTGGGCACGAGAGTCTTGAGGCCGGGAAGATCGAAGGTTGTGGTGAAGCCTGTTTCTTCAACCAGAGAATTCTGGAACTCGAGTGATGGCTGGGCATCCGTCATGGTTGTATCTTCATCCAGCAAGACATCAAAGTCGTTGTTAGAGGAGAAGTCCATCTGCGCCATTCCTGGGAATTGCTGCTGTTGTTGCTGTTGTTGCTGTTGCTGCTGCTGCTGCTGCATCTGTTGCATCTGTTGCTGCTGCGCCATCTGTTGCTGCATCATCATGTGCGACTCAGGCGGTCGCATCTGCGACCCTGTATATTGTGGTTGTTGCTGCGCCATCATCGCAGGAACAGGAGCAGGAGGAGGCGGACCCATGGAGTCCTGCTCCTGTCTAGCCATCATCAGCCTCTTCTTGTTCTGCTGTTCCAACATCATCAACTGCATCTGATAGTCATTCAGAGCATGGCCTGGAAGACCAAACATTTCGCGCCTAAAGTTAGGAGGCTGTTGTGGTGTTTGTTTCTTGTTACGCCAGGTGGCCTGTTGCTGAAGTTCCACCACACTTTCAAAAGCACCACTCTCGCCGGATGAGGACTTCTTGTTGCCCAGCTTGATACGCCAGGGCGTGAGAATGGGAATTGACTCATCAAGGCTCGAAGATGTGGCCTGGGAAGTGGACAATGTGATCTTACAGTTCTCCCATATCTCAGATGTGGTGTTGTGTAGACCAGCATCGAAGCAAAGTGTACCCGTGGAGTCAACAGTTGACAGCTGGATGTCATAACTGGGAGTCCAGAATGCCGAGTTGGTGACATACGACAGCACAAGATTACATGAGGATGTCTCTTCCAGGTCTATAGTCTTGCTCCTGGGTCGCTGAACAAGTTCAACCTCGCTGGATACAGATTCCCGGCGAGACGAAGCCGGCGTGTAGAATGAGTTCACCTCAAGCTGTATGTGTATGGAATAGCAGAACTGAGGCCAGCAACGTGAGCGCTCGTTGCGAATACGCTCCTTCTCCTTGCGCTTCTCCTCTTGACGTTTCTGGCGCTGTTCCTGTTTTTTCTGGGCGACTTTCTGGATTCTGGCCATGTTCTTGGCCTCCTTCTTCTGAAACTTATTTCCAAGCTTGTTCAAGCGCATTTGCTCCTTGGTAACCTTGTTAATGGCCTCCGTGAGTTCTCGTTCCCTCTGCACGCCGACTAGACGTTCTTCGAATGCTTTTTGGTGCTCTTGCTTATAAGTGTCAAGCATCTCACTGATGTTAACACCCTCTCTCTTGTCAAGAGACTTGGAGTAGATATCAAGGATCTTGATACGCTCATCAGCATTGCCAATGATTTCTCTGGCTCGCTGCTGCTCGTCTTTGAGTTCGATGAGCTTCATCTTGGTTTCCAGCAACTTCTTGTGCTGCGGTACTTCCGGGGGCTCATCATCTTCTTGTTCATCATCTTCACTGTCTGGGTCATCATCATCCGAGTCTGGATAAACTTCATCAAAAAGTTCGCGGTTGGGGAGAAATTCAACACTGATGCCCGCGATGGTAGCAGCGCCGCTACCTTCAACGGTGACCGAGTTCTTGTCAATAGTCGGGCTCAACCCGACAATGGATATCTCGTTGACTCCAGGCTAGCTAGGTAAGCATAAGGAGAGACGTTGGTCAAGAAAGGCCTACCTTGAGAGGCACATCCTTGATCTCTCTCTTGACCTGTGCTTGGGTAGGGAAGAGGATGACAGAGCGTGTTCCAAGGTCACGAATCTTGTATTCGACCTTATGGCCAACGTCTGTGTCGAAGACGGGAGCGGCGAGGTCCATCATGATGAAGAGGTTTGATTGGGATAACTCTTGGAGGCAGCAACAACACAAGGAGGTGTCACGATGGTGGACTGGAAGAAGAAGTATAAAGAAGGAGGATGGTACGATGAGAGAGATGGAGGAGAGATGCAAAGAGAAAGAGGACTGTTGAGCATGCCAAAACAGAGGACGGAGGGGGGGGATGAGATACTTATACTCGGACGACAGATGCTGGGGGCCAGGCAGATGGCAGGTCAGAAGTCACTTGTACCAGAATAAGGCAGAAAAAACCATAGCGGACAATTAGACATGAGGTTGAAAAAGATGGAGGTCCTAATTGGTATAGAGCTTGATCACCCACTAACACGATGCGATGCTACTGAGCATCCGTAGGGCTATCAGTGATGTAAAGGAGTCAATTGATTATAATTGACCTTTGTGACGAAAAGATGATATTTATTTTAGCAAGATAACAAGATACGAAAAATATTGTTTGGAGAGCGGCCGACTCTAACGGATGCTTCATCTCTTATACGAGAGAGGGACGAGAGAGCGAGGGGACAGGAGTAAGAAGGGAAACGGTGGGGGACGTCCCTTGGGTCTTCAGTGATTGCCTGCTGATTCATCTGAGGTGGACGCCTTATCCTAATGCCTGAGACTTCAGGTGTCATCTTGTTCCCAGGCCACAACATTAGGCTCCTAATTTTGATAGCATCTTGTTAAGATGAGATAGATATATGCTTACAAAAGCTCTGATTTTACATGTTGGCAAGTGTTTCAGTATTTTTCCTATTTGCATTGGCAAACATCGCATCAAATGGCCAACATGTCAGCAGGAGTTCACTCCAAACACACCCTGGAGCTTGATATAAGAACCAAGGTTATTTACATGCTCTTAATAACTAACAGACCCCAGTGTTTGCTTAAGAAAAGCCATGAAATTATTGCAAACGATAGTGTTTGTTGCACCGTAGGCCACATCTTCAGTTCAAACCCTTAATGAGTCAATTGTCCAGATGACATCTTGTGGTTTGCTCACCACCTTACACGGCATCGCAATCAACCTCACCAAACCTGAACCGGATGCTGATACAATGCTTCTCAGTATTTATAAATGCGAGCAATATCACCAACATGCTTTAGATTTGACATGTGTGCAGAACCATCTTAGGTGCTCTCAAAAGCATGTTCGGGCATTATCGCCTTTATGATCACCATCATCGTCACCCTTTGTACCCCAGAGAAAGACGCGCGCAAATCCCGCAGAGAATCAACATGGCTGACGGCAGGCGTCGTGCCCTGAACGGTATTGCCGACATCGATTATGGCGACGTCTTTGAAGATCTCGGTGAGCCACACGACATAGCTTTCAGACGCCGGCATCCATTCATTCCAGGACCTGGTGGAAGACAAAACATCATCATTGTACACTCGAGAATCGGACAATCGAGGAGAAGATACAGTGTCGACCAAGAAGTCCTGTTCAATCTCCTACCCAGAGTCCGGGAGGCACCGAGACGCGGAGCACTGGTGCTGAGCACCTACTTTCGCGAGCCATACTTGGAAAATCATCCAGAGGATTTGATGAATTGGGCTCTCGACTTTATGTTCCAGCACCTCTCAGAATCCACCAGAATTGAAGCGATGGACATGTTCGGCGTTGCTATGCAGGACATTGAAAATGATCCAATCCGTGGCCGTGCAGTCAACGAATGGGCAGCTAAAATGCATGCTCTGTGCATCGTGCTCAGCAATGATCAAGGGCTGGGATGCTCAGAAGATCTTCTTGGCAGAATTCTCGACTTTTTCGAATTTCTCATCCGAGAAGTGCATAATCTTTTGGGATGGAATCAAGCAGCGGTTCTCTTTGAAGCTTTTGCAAATATCGTTCGGACAAATCGAGGGGATCAGGTGCAGCAGATTCGAAGGATCTGGAATCGATTTGACCCAGAGGTTCAGCACCAGATATTGGTTGACATTAGGAGTGCACTGCCTGTTGAGGGCATTGATGATATGGCGCACCGCATGTATCGAACATTGGGATACTAGAAGCCACCAGAAACTGGAATGAGGAACAAGAAGAGAATCTGGTCATTTTGTGAATAGTTATGCAGTATTCAATAGTTACGAATCATAGCACGAATTGCATAAGTCATCCCCAGCCTCATGAATTCCATCACCCCACCTCTCGCTCAGCCTATCCCCCGGCCACTCGGACGTCATGGGCTGGCCTCGTTTATTCATTCAACCAGCCTCTCTCGCTCTCCACCACAATTGTAGCCAGCGCATACGTACATACATACTCATTCTTTGTCGGTCACCTTGGGCAGAAAACCACCTGTTGGGTGAGCTGTTACGGACAATTTGTTCATCTGTTCAATTATACGTCGTTATTTGAGCCAAGACTGAAACCTGAACGCCATAATGTCTGATACCCGCAAGTCAAACAAGTCACCGCTTCAATCGCTGGATCCTCAGCCCATCCGTACTCCGTCTCCCTCTCGGGACCGTGACCGAGAGCGAGACCGGCGGGATCGTGCTTTTGATCGAGGTCCAGAGAGAGCAAAGTCATATCCAGGTCCTGAATCTCAGTATGGTCCTCAGCCTTATGGACCTCAGAACTACAATCCCCACGATTATGCCAACCAGAGCTATAAACCTCAGAATTACGACTCACCAGGCTACAACCAGCCTTACAACCCGCAGAACTACCCTCCCGTAACTGGTCCTCAAATTGGCCCAGGCAACCTCCCGATCCGTCCCGCCTCTGAATCATATCTTCCCAACCATGCCGGAGCCATGGCTACTGCACCAACCCAGCAATTGGTCCCCGCCACAGCACCGAATGATCTGCGAGAGTTACAAGCTCTCAGAGTCAACTGCCAGTTCAATCTGCGCGAGTACATGAGCCTGCAGCGTCAGCGACGAGGTGGCGATTCCGCCGTCTCTGCTTATGAGCTTGAGACGCGGATTCGAAACCAGACCAACATGGTTTTGAATGATCTGAGGATCCTGCAGGGTGAGGTGCGCAGCATCGCTAAAGAAGCCGAGAACCACCGATGGCGAAGATGGATCATCGGAGGAGCCATGTAAGTTACATCCGCATCCCGCTCGCTTGGACCCAAGCAATTGACTGACTTCAACAGTGCTACGTTCATTCCCTTCATCCGCCGCTTCTGGCGCCGAAACGACGATGACGAAGATTCTCACTCATCAGCCAACGACACCGAGTACGCCTTCAAAAAGTCAAAGGGTCTTCTCGAACACATTAAGAACGGTATACTTGGCAAAGGCCGGTTCGCCAAAATAGCATTCTTTGTATTTGCCGTGCTCGTTGTGTTTTCTAATGAAGTGTCTATCCGAGTAGCTCGGACTGTGCAGAAACGGCTTAAGAAACTGACTGCGAGAATCGAGCACGGTGATCCCGATATCGATGAGAAGGACATGAAGCTTCTTGAGGGCTGGCGATGGAGGGTTCTACTGTGGTAAGACAGTGCCACAACGATGACATGAAAGGTGCATAAGATGAGAGGATATGATTGAAACGAAGCCGAGGCGATTGTATTTACTGAATGATTTTTTGTTGTAAGATTGCAGTTTATTTATTTCTATGATCTCATGAGTTTTCAATACATAGTTGCCAATCTAATGACGGGAGTTTCCTGGTAGCAATTACAGTTGAATAGCTTGTGTCCAAGCTGTCGCTAAACTATGAGACCTCCACTGACATCACTGATCCCTGCAAACTCATCTCCATCTCGATTATAGTCCAACCACAGAAAGTTGCAGGTGTCACAACCTACACTTATCATAACTGAAGAAATACTGACAGAAGGAAATCCTTCATATGACCCAAGAAAATCAAGTCGGCTATCAAGAATGGGCGGCAAACGCAAAGCCTCACAAGGCCTTCGGGATCACTCGCTCCCTGTAGACCAACCGATGACCCTTGAAGGCCCCCCAGGAGATGCAAAATCTCGAGATAGTCACTACACTGAGCTATACTCGAAAGCGCCAGATTTCCAACAGCTTGCTCTTCAAGATGCAGATTTTGCGCGATTGTGAATACTCCTTCCCTCAAAATGCACGAGAACCTCATCTAATACATCATCTCAGGTGGAATCAACACAAAACTGATTTCTTCAATAATCCGGAATGTGTTATGCAATTGACGAAATCGCTTCTCAAGCTAGATTTTGAACTGAAGCTAGAACTTCCTGGCGATCGACTATGCCCTCCTGTGAGTTTCATCTCCTTTCTTGACGCGTCTTGCTCTCTGACGCGCCTGACAGGTCCTAAATCGACACAACTATTTACTATGGCTGAAAGGCCTCCTGGACAGCACTTCATATGAGAACCAGGATAGAAAAATCGTTGGTGTAGATATTGGCACTGGTGCAAGTTGCATATACCCTTTGATGGGTTGCACTGAACGTGACTGGGAGTTTATCGCCACTGGTAAGCCCTTCATCACCCATTGACCAGGAGCAACGCTAATAAAAGCAGACATCGATTCAAAAAGCCTCGAGTATGCTCGCAAGAACGTGGCGCTGAACAAACTCGAACAAAGGATCAAGGTCGTGGAGCGAAAGCCAACCGATGCCCTCATTCCGCTCGATGACCTCAATGTTGACAGCCTCGCATTCACCATGTCAAATCCACCCTTCTACAAATCCGAAGAAGAGCTACTGGAGGGCGCGAAGCAAAAGTCTCGCCCGCCTTTCACAGCATGTACAGGAGCCAAGGTGGAAATGGTCACTGACGGCGGCGAAGTCGCTTTTGTTGACCGCATGCTCAAAGAGTCTCTCGTCCTTCAAGAACGTGTACAATGGTACACATCCATGTTCGGGTTTCTCACAAGCCTAATCGAGTTTGTGGACAAATTGAGAGAGCACAAAATCGACAATTATGCTGTTACGGAGTTCGTCCAGGGCAGCAAGACAAGGAGATGGGCTATTGCATGGAGTTTCGGAAACATGAGACCAGCCCAATCAGTTGCACGCGGCATCAAGACAGCAGTTTCCAAAAACGTGCTTCCAGAGATCACAGAAGAGAACGTCGTTAACATACTTTTACAAGAGAAAATTGGTGACTTTGCGAATCGATTTCGAGTTGAACTTGAGAAATTAGACTTGATCACATGGGAATGGGACACTGGACGCCTAGAAGGGATCGGACGAGCAACAGGTCGCGTCTGGGCACGAGCTTGGCGCCGAAGAAAACAAAGAGGGGAGACTGAAGACCAAAAGGAGGTAGACGTGAAGTGCGAGTTTGCTTTCAAGGTTTCCATACGAGTTGGTAAGGATGATGTGTCAGTCCATTGTCGATGGCTTGAAGGTCACGATCCTGTCACATTTGAGAGTTTTCGGGGGTATTTGAAGAAGACGGTGCGGTCCATCAACTCTCAGAACACTGAGAACAAAACATAGAGTTAGAGAACATCTAGTTTAGCCACAGGTGTCTCTGTAAGATAGGATCGTGCTTCATAACCCCTAAAAAGTACTAATAGTAATACACAGCTGGCTGAACTAAGCTCTAACTCTCAGTCGGAAGCCTTCAAGATCAGCTAAAACTTCCTCCTTACCCTTCCCGTTCACCAATGCAACTCGAATAATGTCTTGCTCCGATTCAGGCGCCATTTTCTCGTTTCTGGGAGGGTTGTTGTCCAGATTTGTCGGGAAAGGATAGCCTTCTCCAATAGCAGCGATAAACATCTGGACCTCATCACTGAGACCTTGCTCTCTATATGTAGCAGTCAAGACGTCCCATGTACCCTCCACAAGTGGCAAAGCATCAATTGCTTCCATCGGTTTACCAAACGCACTGCTGATTTGGACGAGATTAACAAGGCGATTGATATCCGCAGACTTATTCTCGCCAGCTGCATGGAAAAGAGCAGGATTGAACCACAGACCATCGCCCTTTTTCAGGGGTAGTGAGATATAGTTCTCCAGAAAAAACTCATTAAACTCGGAGAGACGATACGCCATGTACCCAGGTGCAAATGCCTGACTGAACGGCAAAAGTCTCGTCGGGCCGCTCTCAAGAGGTACGTCGACGTGTGCTATAGCGCCTTGCAGGGTCAAGCATTGACTTGCAACTTGCATTACCCTGGGATATTTTCCACAGGTCTCGGCAGACATGAAACCTAGGTGATAGTCGCGATGAGAAACTTGAGGTTGTCCTCCAGGCCGGACGTTGTTGACTTGAGTAGTGATGCGATACCCTGGGCCAAGCCAAGAAGAAAAGATGAGATTCAGGTAGGGATTCGAGAAGTAGTTGAAGAAGGAGTCTGGGTCTTGAAGGCCATGTTTGCTGAACGAGTTCCAGATTCGATCGTTTTTACCAGCACTTGCGAAGTGATCACCTGCTGTTTTGGTACCCTGACTCTCCTTTTTGATAATATGATTGAAGGCGGTGGTTGACTTGTTGATTACGTCCAAGTTGGTGTAAAGACTAGCTGTGACAAAAACACCAGGGCCGTACAAAAGAACTTTGTACCATTCGTCTTGGAGAGCGGACTTTTGATCTTCGGTAAGGGTTGAGAAGTTCGAAAGATTGTAAATAGGTACGTTCTCTTTGATGTCTGCAGCAAGAGGGTAGTCTTCTTTGGTGGCTTTCTGAGAGCAAAGTTTCTTGAAGGCATCAAGAGAAGGAGGCGGAGAGAGTTTGAAAAGACGAATGTGTCCGTGTCCCTTCATGATGCTGTTGAATGTATTTCCGTTGGTGGACATTTTGAAAAGGTGATTTCGTCGTGGTAGATAGAGACTTAGAGTAGCGTCAGTTCAGGATGTGGTGGAAGACCTTCATCAAGAAATACCTTTTGTTCGGGGAGAATACCGAGAAAAGTGACAATGCTTTTGATCATCGATGATTCCATTGTGTCTCGGGATATTAGATGGTGTTCAATTCCGTCTTAGATGAGCCGATGATATGATATTCCTGCAACACAAACACACTCGGGCCAAGCATGGTGGTTCACGAGGTCAGGAATCGCCGAATAATTTAACCGAAAGATTTAAGCATATGGAAGAGCCAATGAATGTAAATAAAACTGACAAGCTATAGGTTACCTTGATACTTACATGCATGCATGCTTGGAGATCGCAAATGCGGGGATACTGTAACAGAGGTCACTTTTAGATGAGTTCGCATCTTAATTGTCTTGAATCTGTTAGGCTAATTGCGATGCTGTTAGGGGTTCAATGAACTAGACACTGGTGTCGATGACAAGAGCTTACATGGCTCCTATAGACAATTCATTGGATAAGTAAATATACGATTAACTTGATGATCAACTATTGAGTGAACAATTTTGAACAGATATTATCACAATCAAGGCTGATATTTTACTCTTTTTATTTAAGAGATCATGTTTTTGATCTCGGTCGTTATTCTGTGAGGCTTTCCCACCTCGTCATTACCATGCTAAATAAAACCAATCCCTTTTTGCTCGCTCAAATGCTTTTATGCAACTCCCACTCTAATTGTTGAGGTTGCCAATGGTGATAGACTTGATGTTTTGGTACTCAGCCATACCATACAAACTACCCTCCTTTCCGTAGCCGCTCTCCTTGACACCGCCGAAGGGTGCCTCAGCAGCACTGATCTTGCCTGTGTTCGCACCGACCATGCCGACTTGCATCTTGTGGGCAACACGCATGACACGGCTGATATCCTTGGAGAAGAAGTATCCAGCAAGACCGAACTCGGTGTCGTTGGCCAGACGGATGGCATCCTCCTCTGTGTCGAACTCGAAGACGGGGGCAAGAGGTCCGAATGTCTCGTCCTTGGCGACGGCCATTTCTTGTGTAACGCCAGTAAGGACAGTAGGCTGGTGGAAGAATCCGGGGCTGTCGGGGGTGCTGCCGCCGGTAGCGATCTTGGCGCCCTTAGAAGTGGCATCGGCGATGTGCTCCTTGACCTTGTCGACGGCAGATTTGTTGACGAGAGGACCTTGGGTAGTAGACTTGTCGAGACCACCGCCCATCTTCAGAGCGTTGACCTTCTCGACGAGCTTGGCAGTGAACTCCTTGGCGACACTCTTCTGGACGTAGAGTCGGTTGGCACTGAAGATATGTTAGTTACATTTATTAGACACGGCAGAGATCTCGACTTACCAGACACAGGTCTGGCCAGAGCATCGGAACTTGCAGAACATGGCACCTTCGGCAGCGAGGTCAAGATCAGCATCCTCAAAGACAATGAAAGGAGCGTTTCCACCAAGCTCCAAGCTAAGCTTCTTTAAGGTACCAGCAGCAAGCTTAGCAAGGTACTTTCCAACGCCAGTAGAACCAGTGAAAGAGATCTTCTTGACGAGAGGGTTTGTGCATAGCTCAGTAGCAGCCTGGCGGTCGCGAGTGGGAAGAACCTGGATGGTGGAAGGAGGGAGACCGGCCTCGATGGCGAGCTTAGTGAAAGCAAGGGCGGAGTAGGGAGTCTCGGAGGGGGGCTTGATGACGACGGAGCATCCGGCGGCCAGAGCGGGAGCGATCTTGCGGGTGATCATGGCGGCTGGGAAGTTCCAGGGGGTGATGATACCGCAAACACCGACGGGCTCGCGGATGGTCATGAGGGTGGTGTGAGGAGAGGATGAGGGGATGGTGACGCCGTAGGATCGAGTGGCCTCTTCGGCGAACCAGGAGATGAAGCTGGCAGAGTAGATAACCTCACCCAGGGCTTCGGCGTATGTCTTTCCGTTCTCAAGAGAGAGGATCTTGGCGACTAGGAAACATGTTAGTGTGCGATTGGAAGATATTAGAAAGCGTCAACGTACGGTCCTCCTGGTGAGAGAGAACCAGGTCATACCACTTCCTCAGAAGGGCGCCACGGCTGGCACCAGTTGTGCTCTCAAAGTACTTTGTCTGGGCAGCATCGGCGCTCTTAATAGCAGTCTGGAAATCCTCGAGGGCACAGTTGGCAACCTGGCCAAGGACGGTGGCAGTGGAGGGCTCTGAAGTTTCAATTAGCTTCTGAACACTCGGTAGTCATGATGAGGGCATCACGAACCGAAAACGTCGAACTTGTTCTCCTTGGAAACCCATTTTCCATCGATGAAAGCATCCTGGATGAAAAGGCTCTTGTCCTTAAGCTGTTGGGTTCCTTGTTAGCAACGCGAATCTCAATGAGGGGCAGATGCCTCATGACTGAGGGGCACATACGCCAGCAATGACCTCCTTGTGGTAGCTCTCAGCCATTATGTCTGTGTTTATGAATTTGATGATGAAGAATTCGCTCGAGTCAAAGAGAAGGAAAAGATCAAAAATTGAGAAGAGAAAGAGGTTGAGGGATATGGGCCGAGCTACAAAAAGGTTCTGGTCTACCTCCAAGTAAATAAAAACGAAAAGATCCACGACAGCTCCTAACAAACGTCACATGGGCGCGCTAAACCTTTGTAACCCCACCGGCCGAGTGTGCTTTAACCGTTACATTATGTCCGTACAGTGAATTTCTGCTCCAATTGAAGCCAGTCATGTTGAAGAACCTCCCAATTCCGGTCTCAATTGGGGTCATGGAGCTGCGAGGTCGGGGATGTGGAGGGGAGGACCACTGTAAATTAAGCGTTTCCTCACTGAAAATGCCCTCTGGAAGAACCGGTAAAGACCGGGACCGGGCCGGGGTTGACTTACGGCTCCGGTAGTTGGAGATCGGGAATTAGGATCCGGCCCCGGGAACCGATGGTGTTCATGTCCATGTAGAGAAGTTGTGCATTTCTATTACTGTTTATGGGTTGGTATGCCGAGGTGGTTGTCAACTCGATTGGCTTCTGGGGCGAGTTTCTGGGGAACACTGTGGAGATGGCTTCCCATGATGAAAAGCCTAGAAATTTGCCAGACGCACTTGGACTTCTCATGATGATGCTCCTGCATGGTTTGTCAGCATTTGTATGGGGAATTTCCGTACCAAAAGACCTGATGATTCAACGGAGCCGAAGTGGACATGGAGTTGTTTTGTAGGTCTCTCAAACTACAAAACAACTCCAGGTCCGGTTACTTGACCGGGCCGTGCTGGGAGGTTTGAGGCATTCAGAATGCGACATCGCGGCTATAATCCCAAGGAGAAGAATCTTATTTTGGGTTGTTTTATGTACTTGTGCATTGCATTGTAGTATCATTGCCCAATGTCTGAGCCGTACAGTGATGGGATCAACCAAAGCACAAAGAACAAGATGTTGTCCAGAGCTATTGAATAGTCCCTCAAGGTAAATCCACTTCCCCATTTCATCCTCGCCACCATGATAGACAGCGATGTTCTATTCTTGCACCAACTCCGACAGATCCCGGCCGCCTCATGCGATACCCCCATACTAGCCATCGCGCGAAACTTCTTGATTGGGAAAAGCTGTTACCCCTTCTTACACAATCTGGGGTAACCACAATAATTGACTTAAACCATTCTAAGTTATCCTAAGCTTGCCGATGTCAAATATATAATAAGTGTTGCTATCACTTGGGATCGAGGCCTCGGGCTTGCTTGTATTTCCAAGAATGTCTTGACGCTTGATGGATAGCGATGCTGATGAATTTAACCCCCTGGCCCATCGACCCGAAAAGAGTCCTTATCGACATAGCCTTGAAGTTCTCCGGCTGGCAAGAAGAAGAGAATCAGACTCAAGTGTTGCTAACGACGGAACTAGTCAACCCAAAGAGCTATCTCTTGCACCGTCTTATTGGTCGCCATGAAATGCATGGGCTCACTACCAAGGAAATAAACAACAAATTCTATGTGAATGTAAGAACAATCAAACAGCTGCAGCACCTTCCATATTCCTCCCATTTGGCACGTCGATTAGATCATACTGGGGAACCATATACCAGCTGGCTTCAAGGCTTCAAGATGTGGCACCAGACATTCAAGCAAAAGAAGAGAGTCGAGCAAAAGTATTAAGGCCAATGTACTCCAGATTAGATAGAACCAATTGTTGAATAGTAAGTATCCCAATATTCAAAATCCGACTTTCGTGCAAGTTGCTAGAAAACAGCATCGCCTCGGTACGCCTTATCTAGCGTAACTTTACAGGCATCATTCTTCATTCTCTTCGCATCCCACATAACATATCCAAGGCTTCTCAGCCCATAAATGAACCTCATTGGGGCAAAAGCATGATTTCCTAAGCGATATCTCTCATGCACATGATCATAGTGTACCTTCATCCATGTCTGTCTTGGTTGATCATCAGTAAAAGCATCATCAGCGTCAACTTCACTGGCTAGCCTTTCCATATCTTCGGCCCGCCAAACTCCATTTCCCTCATCTGGCCTTCTTCCGCGGTTGAACTCCTCAAGATCTTCTTCAAGCCGACTTTGGCAAGGGTTACTAGCCTCAATAAGTGATGTTTGCCACTCTTCGTAGGTTGAAGCCTTGAGAAGCTGGCTGAGACGAGGAAGACCGAGAGACAGCTGGGATATCGTCAGTAAGCATCAAATAATCCTATAGTGCCAGATAAATATTGCCACCTACACATTTCTGCTCTTCAAACGATTGGGTCTTTTCAGCTAGCCATTCAGTAAGATTATCTGCCCATTGAAAGCCATTGACAACAACTTTCCGATAGGCTGGGGTTGCAGACAAGATGGTCAGCATGACTATATTCAGGGCACAAGTTAGGATAGCTCATTTGGAGTCTGTGTATAAAGGCATTGTTAGGGTGTCAAGCTTACCACCAGTTAGTCTCGTCTCAAGAAAGCCGTGAACACAAGCCAGTTGTTCATTGACCCATGGAGAATGCCGATCAAAGAACAACTTTTTCAGTTCGTTGTCGAAGCTCATATCTTCATCTTCATCATCGTCATAAGAAGGGAAAAGGTCAATTTCCTGCTCCATGTCGAGGAAAAGGTTTCGATATATCTGAAATCGATAAAATGCGCGGGAGATTCGATAGGATTCGCTAGAAGAGAGCCCGTAGTCACTTGATATGGACTCGTCTTGGTTTACACCATGAAGCTTCTTCAAGGAACATAAAGCAAACTCATCCCTTAAGCCCGACAGTGCATCATTGACCCGGACAACTTCAAGGGCTTGACCTACAGTCAAGTGAAATTGACTGCCGTCGACATTCTGCAGAGAATTGTCGTAACAATGTGTCAGAAATTCTTCCACGCTTATACCACTTGTTTCCCTAACCGACTTTTGCGACTTGAATGCGGCAAAAGCCTGCGGAAGTAAGTTATCGGGAATCTGATTGCGAATAATATCCACAGGCAGACTTGGAGTATCCAAAAGAGCAGAGTAGAAGATTCGATGGCTTAGCAGAATAGGAGGAAGTTGTTGGATATTATCCAGCAGACGCAAAATATCAGCAACAAGATGAAGCGGCAAAGACGATATTGAAGCCATCGAATGTAATTGATGATGGACAACAATTGAAAAGCATCGTGAGACACATTGGGGTCATATAGCATACCTAGGGAAATCTCGGAAGCATGGTGTCTCTGCAATGGCATGACCTAAACGGTGCCACGTTGATCAAAGTACATGAAGCTGACACTGTGGTGGGATTACTCTCAAATTAATGTGGTCTTATTTCTCTCCCCACACTCGCAGCTCATGCTGGGGTTAAAACGCGGGGAGACGTTCCACAGGTCTAGATTGTCGATCTTGATAAGCTCCTATTGTGGTAAGTTTACAGGGTCCAGTCATGACATGTCACATAGAAATAGGTAATGGATTCTTGTTTTGATATCATGTCCTGAGATTCATTATCTATTCTCGTGCGTGAAGAACGCAACAAAGCAAGCCAACTATATAATAGCAATTTCTTTACACCATAACTTTTTGTCTAATCCGTTCCGTTCTCATCGTGTTCTCGTCAAGGGTCATTCGCAAGAAGTGAAACGAAAAATGACGCATTTTCCATGCATCTAGTTGCGCAGACCAAAGTCCAACGATTTCTTCATCACCAGCGGCCCGCCAGGAACGATAGGCTCAGTCTCCTAGACTTCAGCAACGATCTCTTCGGGTACCTCTTTCATACAATCTTCCTGCTCAACTTCGACAGGGGGTACGGCGATGCCAAACTTCTCGTAAGGGAAGTCAGCAAGGCTGAGCATGTACTCGGCCCAGCCATCGTCAAGCTCACCAACCTGATGGAGGTCGACTTCTCCAGCCTCACCAGTGCGTCCAGCAAGGACCTCAGCCTCCCGTCCATCGTACTCCTTCTTCAACATCGGGTGGGGGCACCAGATCACGCGCATACCGGCGCGACGACCAGCCTCAACGCCAGGGACAGAATCTTCGAAAACAAGGCACTCCTCGGGGGTGATTGGTCGCTCACCAGCAGGAAGGCTGTCGTTGATAGTCTTCAAAGCAAGAAGGAAGATGTCGGGCAGGGGCTTTCCACGACCAGGAGTCAGGCGGGAGTCGTCACCGAGAACACGACGGTGGGAAGGGAAAACAGCGAAAAGCTCCTCGAGGTGGTTTGTCTTGACACGGAAGTTGCCAAGGTGAGAGCTAGTGGCCAGCGCGATGTGAACACGCTGAGGCTCACTTCCGGACTTGTCCTTATCTTCAGTAGCAGCGCCGTCCTTGACCTCCCAGTATCGGGTACGGCCTAGGTGACCAAGCAAGTCGACGATGCCAGGGAGAGGCTTTGTGTGGGGAAACAGCTGCTTCTGGAGCGTAGTGTTCTCGGCGACGTACTCCTCAGAGGTGATGGGAAGTTGAGCCCAGTCATGGAAGATTTTATTGGCTTGAGGACCAGGGCGACCCTGAAGCTTGGCCTTGATGGACCATGGGAGGGTTCCCTTGCCGTACTTTTCGAGGATGATGTTGACACACTTGGTGTAGATGTCTTCGGTGTCGAGAAGGAGGCCGTCCATGTCGAAAAGACAGGCCCGAACAGGTGGGAAACTAGAAGACAGTATTTGGTTAGAAGAACGCTCGTGATCGAACTACGCTTGAATGTTGGTCAAGCAGAGGAAACATACTTGGTACGAGGAGCCATTGCGTCTGAGGAACCAAAATGCGTTGTAAGAAGCGAAAGCGGATGGGTATCTGGATGCGGTATCAGAAAGACAAGACACTGCAGATCAAAGCCTGTGATTGTGAGGGGGTACGATTGGAAAGGGAGAGGTTCAAAAAAGAAAGACGAGGCGATCGCGAGATTTTGATAACGGAACAAGAACGGAACCTAACAATGGCGGGGCAGCTTTTTGCTCGCCGATCAGCAGTGAATCGACAGTGAAATCATTGCGCTGAATACCCCGCGGTGGGGCAGTATATTGCTACTAAGCCCGCTGTAGCCTAGCAGATGATTAAGGTGGACAGGGCGGCAGGAACCACATGGAATTCATTGAGGCTCATGAGATTGTCCCTTTGATCCATGTTTCTTCATTAAACATCCATTTGTTTCTCTCAACACCACCAGTCCCCGCTATTCGCCTGCAATTGATTTATTTGCTGTATTTTGATCAATCTTTCTCGTATTAATAAGGCCAGTCTGTCTTCTTATTTCAGCGTTTGATCTTGGTCACAATAACCATACGTCATTTGTCCTTGCCAACAAATATGAGCACAACCGAGTCCAGCAAAGATGATGTGGTGAAGTCGCCGGATGTCGAAAAAGTGAAAGACAACGGCGACTCTGCAGATGGACAGGAGCTCAAGTTCACACCAGAAGAGGAAGAAGTAAGTGGCCTCATTTTCTATCCCATCACTTTCTTTTACTTTGGTACCCAACCTCGTCTACTAACAAATACAGGCTTTAGTGAAGGAATCCACTGCGTCCAAAGACGAGGCGAACACGTTGTTCGCTGCCAAGAAATACCAAGATGCTCTGGACAAATACGACGATGCAATCAATTCCTGTCCCAAATACCTGCATTATCCACGCGCAGTCATCTACAGTAACATTGCCGCCTGCCATATCCAGCTTGAGGATTGGAAGGAGGCCATAAAGTCAGCTTCTGATTCCCTTGGAGCTCTGGAGAAGCTTGAGCAGAGTGACCCTCGACTGAGCCCTGACGGCAATAAAGCTGATGAAAAGAAAGAGAAGGAGGAAGACGATGATGTCGAAGAGGAAATAATCAGTAGTGGTGCCTCACGTGCCGCTCCAGTTTCTAGTGCAGACGACGAGGAGCTCAAAACCCTTCAGGCCAATATTCAACGCATTCGATGCAAAGCTCTTATGCGAAGGGCTCGCGGTCGTTCCGAGGCTGGCGGATGGCATAATCTTGCCGGCGCAGAAGAAGACTGCAAGGCCCTCGCCGCCAAACCTGAAAGCTTGGCCCCGGCAGACCTTCGAGTAGTTCGGAAGCAATTACGAGACTTACCTCCTCGTGTCAAGGCAGCACAAGAGAAAGAGATGGGTGAGATGTGGGGTAAGCTGAAAGATCTTGGAAACGGTATTTTAAAGCCATTTGGATTGAGCACGAACAACTTCCAGATGGTCAAGGACGAGAAGACCGGAGGCTATAGTATGAATTTTCAGCCTGGAGGAAGCTCTTGAACGACGCAACGCGCTCCATGAGGATGTCAGAGACTTTACCCTGACAATCTATTGAACCGACAAACAAAACTCCAATTTTTGCAACATAGAGAAAAGCAATAGATATCCCAACGCCGTCTATTTTACCCTTTATTCGCAATAAATACCTCATACTCCAACTTTTGGCATGAACGGGCTCTCCTCGTCAAGTAGGTATGTTCTGTGAGTATTTGAGTCCCTACGATGGTGGTGGATCGAACGAGCTCGATCGACTTGGCGGCTCGTACCAATTCTGATACGGATGGTTGGGTAGCTTGAAATCAGCAAAGCTCAATGGGTTGACCGGTGTTTTCGTTCCCACCGAGCCCATGACAGGTGGTGTCAAAATTCTTGACGGCGTCAAAGACATGGAGGCTCTTCGGGCCGCTGATACCACCGAATCTTGGCTGTTCTCTGTTTTCGGGCTTGAGGTGGGCATCTTCATACGCTCCCAACCCCATTTTCTCTTGAGCTCCATCTCGACGGCACCCAAGCGCCAGCCATTTGTGCTATTGAACCTATCAAGGATTTCGAGGACTTCATCTTGTTCGTTTGGATTTGTTAGCACAGCAGCTGCGATTGCCAAGCAACGGATCGCAACTGTAGCAACCCCCTTGTCTGTGGTATGGGCGACAATGCCGCAGACCTGATAGGCATGCTGCAGCTGCAAGAATCGCAGCCTCTCTGAAGACGCTGGAGATTCAAGGGGGTGTGTCTGTGAAAGCATGCAATGCGCAGTGTGAGAAAGCAGCTGGCCAATTGTTGCCTCCCGCTGGATCATCCTAAGCACGGATTAATCACATGCTTTAGCAGTTGGGATGATATTTCACGTACCATATACCAGGAAACAGCGATTTGCTTGTCGACTTTTCCGCTTTGACATAACCAAAGGGGCGCATCTTTCTCGGGCAATGAATGTTCCAACCATCACAGAGGTTTCTAAGCTCATGCCATTGCGAAAGACGATTTCTTACCCACATTTGTTCGTTATGGGGACTAATCTCGTCGGATCTGGATGCAGTCGCTCGGAAGTTTGCAACCTTTGCAATGATATATAGCGCACGGTGTACCCAGGTTTGTTCGTCCTCATCTTCGTCATCCCGGTTATTATTACGAGGTCCAGGGCTCATCCCCCATTCGTCAGGACTCCACGTTGTCTGCCAATTTGTTGCCAGGCAGTTGAGAACTTCAATCCCTATGTTCAACCAGAAGCAGGCCAATCCAATCCCGGTACTCCTGGCATCCCATCCACATTCTCGCACAAGGGCTCGCGAACCTGCTATATGGCTCATACGCTGGGCAGGCTTTTCGCACATAATCTCGTATACGTTCAGAATAATCGCTGTCGTGGCACACTCGGCAGTGTTTCGATCAGGATTCTGAAGGCTCCGAAGGAGCTGCGTAGTTGCGGTATTGTAGTAGAACAGCGCTTTGTCATGATTCTTGGGGGCTGCTAGAGAAGTATGTTTGACACCACATGCAAGAAGGGCATTGAGGAGCATTGTCGACCTCAGAGCGTGATACGGAATACTTCGGGTGAAATGTTTCTCCCGGTTGAACGAATCCATCCATACAGCAACTTCTTCGACAAAGACTTGCATGTAATGAATCTCCTCGGCTGATGTCAGGATGTTGCGGCCCACCGGCTCGTTAATTTGGGTTGCTGAAGGTTGCACATGGTCATCCTCGAAGTCTTGTTCGACAAGCGGTCTTTCTATTCGAGGCGGTGTGTCTCGTTGGGGTATCACCAAGTTTTCGACCTCTTCTGTTGGAGTTTGCTGTGCCAGAGGACGGTTCCTCATCGCCATGAGCTGCTCTGGAAATACTTCTGCTCGGGGGGTCACAACAGCCTTTGTGGACGACGATGGTGTGGCTATATGGGACGCGTCGCTCAGAGTCCCATGTTCATTATCATTAAGCTCAAGCTTGATGCCAGTGTCTTTTTTGAATCTTGGGTTCTCTGAAGGTCCGGCTGTGGCGTTATCCCGAGTATAGTTGAAACGATGTTGCGAACCGGGTTGAAGTCTACCAGCTGAAGCATCTATATATTGGATATTAGTCGCGGTGGCTAAATGCACTGCTTCTTTCCGGTCATTGCTATCGTCGACAAGTTCAGAAGCGTACGGGGCATATCGTCCAAGTCCGCCCTGGTATTCTGAAGCAATGTCCCGCGATTCATCTTGGAACTCGACTACGACTCGGTTAGCACAAATCATTCATCTCGGCTGGAAACTCCGTACCTTCCCAGCCTCCAGGACTTGGTGTAGCAGCAGGTCGATGGAGGTTGATTTCCAGAAAGTTAAGACGTACTCCTCTTTTACATTCACGGCCTCGCTTTCGGCAGTTCATGCAATCAGGCACGGCTTCGTCACACTTGAGATGTCTCTCACGGCATGTAAGACATCCTGTTCGGACCCTTTTCCCTTTGACTGGAGTCGGATTTGACGTCGGCATGGGACTTTGAAGAGTCATCTCTCTGGGATTTTCCACGGATAGACCTGTAGGGTCTTGGCTGATGTTCGGGGGTTCGGAGATCGGTGTCGTCCCCATATGTGAATGCCGCTGAACTTCAAAATCGAACATTTCGAAGTCGAGATTGTTGTCGGTCGTATAGGGTCCTGGTGAATAACCTTGCCATTCCGGAGGGAATGGCATTGTCTGCCTTTCATTGGAGTCTTCATTTTGCATCGCCGCACCGAAACTGACACCAAGAATGGCGATGTCATTGGGGCTTGCTTGAGCAGACACTATAACCTACCTGGCTCTCTATGTGAGGCCAGGGCAGTGGTGTGGGATTTCCCGTTCAGGGTGCTGAAGCAGACGGGACGGCTTTGGAGTTTTGGTATTGCAAAATAACGGCTTTTGCTGTCACATTTGAGGCCAGATGACTGGTCACCTACAACTCGAAAGATTCTAGAAGATCGAACGGAAGCGTGGAATGAAATCATAGCTTGGGCCAGGCCACGGCTTCTGGTCCGGTTTCCCTATCCCGGGCTCGGTAGAGAAAACCGTCGCAGGTTCGGGATTGTCGTTGTGGCTCCACAGTCGGAGTATGGACTAGGAGCGATAAGGCGGGGTGTGGTAACGAACGACCATGAACAAGAGAATGAACCGGACGGGACTTGATGAATATAAATTCAAGAGTGCATCGACGGAGAGCATTGGGTGTCTGAGCTTCTCTAACAGCCGAATGTGTCTGCCATTTCCCGGGCGCTACATCACGGTTATATGGCGAAACACCATCACCTTAACCAAGGTACGCAAGCCAATAATCACGGAGCGTACTCCGGCTGTCGTGCGAGTACAAGTAGCCTCTTCTCTCGGCTGTGATTCGGAGAGCAGGCTGACTGGTACTGAGACCATTACGCCGGATGGCGTCTGTGTTCAATTTCCGTTCTGTCCTGTCTTATTATTAAGAACAGACAGAAACATTCGTTAGAAGAGATATCGTGATACTGGACGCTACAAAAGTCAAATGTCCGGCCATATGCCTCAACCCGCATGGCAGATGCATGCAAGACCATCCACCAAAGTTGGCGACAGAGCTTATAGGACAAAGCTGAAGTTGCTTCCTTGAGGGAATATTTGACTGTCACATATGGCTCCAGTGTTATATGTATGGATTACACATGTGGCGCCCAGGATTGATGAAATTCAGCTTACATGCTAATGCCTGAGATTACCGGGATCCGGAAGAGAGGGATGCTCGTATTAGGATCGAACATGGCTTCCATCCATCCGCAGGCTTCGCTTATTAAATCGGCTGTCTATATCGCTCGTGCACCACGATGTCTTTTCCTGCGGCAAGAGTCAGCCCCATCAGACGATGTACGATGCGAGTGAGCTACACGAGTTCAAGCACGGGTGCGCCCGAATTATACAACAATTTTGGAAATTCGGTTGTAAGTGATAGGTAGGACGAAAGCAGTAGCCCAAAATAACTCGGGCTTGACAACCAATGGTAGCACATTAAAGTACGACCTCAGATGGTCTTGAGATGTTTCCAGATGAAATATCTACCTTCAAAGACATATACACATTGTCACTGCATGATGCTATGTACCTAGATCGTAGAAGTTTAGAAATTTAGAAGATTATTAGTTGATCCGTTTGTCCGTGTCGATCAGCCAGGTCATGTTCGATGTGGTCCAGCAATGAATTTGCCACCCTAGATCTCGTTCAAAATAACTCAGAATAGAATCAAACTCTGTACAGCTGATGTGCTCTCCGAGATGCGGTTGACTGAATTATTAGTCAGTCTTGACATGGCCAAAAGGCTAATTAATGTTCATAAATCTGGACTTCATATGATGATTGTCCCACAGCAACTTCTAGAAAACCAACCCAAGTTGAGCAGCTTTCAATTCCTAACCATGACATGACCACAAATGCTCATCAATAACATGGATCCTTCAACGCCGACACCAAAATCCATACTGCGCGGACACAAATCCCAAATTCACACAGCAGCATTCATCAGATCAAATGAGCGCCTCATTACAGGCGATGCAGATGGCTTCGTGGTGCTATGGGACCTCACAATAATGCGCCCACGAGCCGTTTGGCGCGCTCATGAAAAGGCTCTATTGGGTGTTGGCGGCTGGGGTGACGACAAAATCATCACGTAATTGCTCTTCTGAAAATCCGCACTGACTGGGAAACGGTTTTACTAACAATGATTTGCAGGCATGGTCGTGATTTAAAGCTCATAGTCTGGAAACTTGGCGAGGCAGATGAGGAGCACCTCAGCACAGCATTACCCGTGGAAGAAGTGGCAACACCAAGACCGCAACCATGGATGTTACATCTCCTTGAGGTCAATACCTTGAATTTCTGTGCTTTTGCCATTTGCTCAAGTGCGCCTGGCTCCGTCGATACCGCGTCTGAGGTGCTGATCGCGGTGCCTAATACTTTGCACTCAGACGCTGTATGAAGAACCTCAACCACATCATGAACAGGACTAATAGTTTACAGATCGACAT